ATCCGAGTGGTCGCCTTGACAGGTTTTTCTGTACCACCATACTCGCTTGGAGCGTGAAACCCGTAAAAGTAACAGTTACTAATGCCTTCCGCTTTGCCCGTTGGCGTTCTATAAGTATATTATTAGTACATGTATATAAAATGTATACTGATAATCAGAAAACAGTGAATTCGGCACCTGCAAACTGTGTATGGGCCAGCTATGGCCTAGGGATACTGGACTTGCAACGAATATGGCAGGCAATGTGAATTATTCTCCCATCCAGTACAGTGCGAAATCGAGCAAGTGTCGGAACATATGCTTGAGTAGTAGAACACAAGAGAATGATACAGTCGTCCCTCTCTAATCCAGCACTTTATAATCCAGCACCCTCGATAAACCAGCACAATTTTCAGTACCCAAAATTTCCTCTTCATGCACGTTCTAGCAGAAAATCAGATTTGTTAATCCAGCACCCTCCCTAATCCAGCAGATTTCCGTGGCACAAATGGTGCCGGATTATAGAGGGACCACTGTACCACTATTATACTACACTGTACTTGTAGTTCTTCTGGACCATTTCAGAATTCAGTTGAGTTCCTTCCTGGTCAACTCAGGCCACGTTGTCACGGCTATGGAGTGATTCGAGATCAGTCCAGATGGCCAAGCGTGCTTTTACTTATGGTTATTCTACGGTCAGACCCATACCAGCTCTGATCATCACACTTGGTGCAGTTTGAGTTAGCAGTGTCAGCACTGCCTTGCGGTGCCTATAAGTATAAGTAAAGTTAGTTATAACGTCTAGTCACGTTTGGAGGTTGCAGCCGCCAGTCAAGGACATGTAAGGATTTAACAAGTGCGAGACCGTTGAACTCTCCAGGTGCTCAAAGAGGTCGCCAAGACTCTACGTTAAACCTGAATATTCTCTCCGCCGCAATGCCACGGACAAGTAAGAGGACGAAGAAGTCTGCCAAAGTGTTCCACAGCAAGGCTGCCAACCGGGTTGTGCCAGAAGAAGAAGAAGATCGTAAACGGGAGCTGCTGGAACAAGCTGAGAAGGCATACAGTGCAGTACAGTCTGTGTTTCTACATTGCCAGCGACGACACGATGTGTTTTTAGAAAAGGTTCGTACGAACACTGAATGTGTAGACTTCTTTCGCTCTTACCTCACAACTCATCAGTGTTCACCAGAACGTATATGAATATCTAAAGCTATGCGGAGTATTTAATTCAGCTCTTCAAGCGGATAATCAAAGAGCAAAATCTCCTGAGATAGCCAACTATGTAGAAAGAATTCCTGGACACTCCTATCATGAATCTGTTCCAGGGCCCATTACCATTACAAGTTACCTACAGCACAAGCTCTCAGAATTGGACGGTATCTTCCAGGACGTGTAACGTGTTCAGCGATGATCCAGGTCAAGTGCGTATAAAAGAACCTCCACAAACGTTTCGCACCTTGAAGGATTCTACTGGAGAAGTATGCTGGTTGCCAAACGATTTGGGATTCATGGCGCAGTTCTGGTACGTGCTCCATGCCCTGCAATGCATTGTCGATACCATTGCGACCCATGTACCGAAATCCAGGGAATATCTCTGTGAAATAGCTTCATTGGAGATGATTGAAGTCTTGGTGATGTACTGCTCCTGCTATGATGGTGATCTGCTACTGTTGAAGAGTGAGGAAGGAGGTGAACATACAGATCATTGTTGAACGAATTCAGTGTGGCATCTTCAGATCTCTTCAGCGCCAGTGAGTTTTCAGTAAGAAAATGCAATTTGCACCCTCTTAGTACACCCGTTGTTATGTGTACTGGTAGTCTCGTATGTAGACCGATATTTTCACGATCATGTAGTTCATGGACTGGAGTGATGTTCTTTGTAAACTAACTTAAGTTATACCGTCAACGATCCGCTCACGAAATTAATTAATGGCAGTCTTACGCTCTCTCGAATGTAGCTACATACATTGTACATGTAAGCAGTGCGTATTGCCTGTTATTGGTACATGTACATGTATGTTATGTTATATGTTATTCGTTTATTCTCGGAGAAGCCACACTATACACTGTCTCTGTTTTGGTACCCATTTGATGTGTGTATAATAATAATAATCTTTATTTCAGGATTACCCAAAGGCTAACGCCTATCTGGGGGATCTCCTATTTGTGTATGTACTAGTAACATAGTTATGGATGCGAGAGAAAGTGCGCAAAGTGAGTGTGAAATGTTGGTTTTAAAAAGGAATAATAAGAAACACAAGGAAAGAAAGTAAGACAGAAAAGAAAAGAACAAGCATGTAAATCAATGATTGCACATCAAAGGTGTACCAGTGCAGTCGAACTGATACTTAGCAATGTGAATACGTAAATGACGCTTGAATTCAGATAGGGAATCTAAAGTTGTCAATCGGGGTGAAAGACAATTCCAAAGAGAACCAGTTTTCTGTAGGAAAAGGGATGAAACAATACGACCATGTGAGTTAAAAATGAGCTTTTTGGGCCTACGGGCACTACGTGATATGGTTATCGCAAAGCGAGAGAGATATTCTGGGTGAAAATTGATGTACCTAAATAAAACCACAAGAGAAATAAAGATACGGCGAAATTGCAGAGATTCTAAGTGACACAATCTATTCAAATTGGATTTTGATTCATAGATATCAAAGGTTATTTTTGCAGACTTCAGGAGTCGCCGGCAAACCTTAGCCTGGAGTACATCAAGGGACTCTAACTGAGCGGATGTGATCCTAAATGACCAGACAGGAATGGCATATTCAATTGCCGGACGCACATAAGACTTATACAAGAGGAGAATATGGAACGATGGTAAATGTCTATGGAGATGATCAGGACGATAGTGTTGGGAATGAATTATTCAATGAATGAAATTATGAAGAAGAGGTTTCCATTTCCATTTCTTGTTCAGTTGTGCCATATCACACAAAACGTCTGAATTGATGACGAAACTCCATCATCATACTATAGTGCTACCTGCACTGGTATTGTATTACATGTATTCTTTATTTTACTTTGCAAAGTCAAGCGGTACAACACGAAGTACGAGTACTGTCGTCAACGTGTGTAGTAGTTGTCGTTCGAATCTTACTTGAACTGTTTGCCACCAAATGATCCCATTAGCTATTCCCTGGTGAGGTGGCCTGGCAGCAAGTCATTGACGTACTTGTAGACAGCAACAGTCAGTGAGTACTACAATTGTAGTCCGGTTCACTTTTGTATTTTCAGTATCACTTACATGTACATGTACATGTATCATGTAATTGTACGTAAGTGGGGCATGTGGATTATTGTCATGTCACCGTAGACCATGCATGGCCCACGTGACTACTACTACTAGTATTGTGCAGCGCATATGGGGAGTTACCCTGGTCTTTCCCTTACCCACCTGTCCACACGCGCTCTGGCTGTACTGTTGTCTAGGCCGAAAGTACAATGACTGCCATGATGACTGTGGACTGTGTGGTTGAGCTTCTTTTTTGACCTGAGAGTGCACTGCCTATGTAGTACTTAGTAACTTCAATCGATGTCAGAGTGCCGTGCCACGTGACCTCCACGCTTGTCGCTGGATTCCCTAGCAACCAGCTGAAATGATGGCACAAAAGGTCAGTACGGCAGAATGCCAGTCGCGGCCAGAGCGTGCAGTACTTGGCACGCGGGATATTCAAATGTGACCTGAAGACGTCAGTGACAAGCTTGGTCGTGACTATTGCCACGAAAATAGAAGATGAACTTTCGTATCCGCGTTTGTGCGGGCGCGCTGCGCCTACGGAGCTGGGAGTATGGCCGCCGACAAGTTAGCGTATGTTCAGTCGCCTTTTTCATCTCTTGCGCTGCCTGATACGCGTTTGATTTTAGTTCCATCGTGTTCCCCGTCGTCCAATTTAGTTTGCTGCCAAGTTTCACCGGCGTATCACGCCGCGCACCAGACTTGTAGTATTTTTCGCGACAGGTACTCCATTGCTGGATACACCGCCATCATGAGTGTTCGTCCAGCAAAGGGACTGGCGGTGAAGATGTTTTGTCGAGTCTTGGACTCAAGGAGGAGCAGTTATTGCAGGATAAGCCCCTGCCTGGCATGATCGGAAACGTTTCAAATGCATTGGTGTTAGAACTGATGAAGTTCAAAGCGGACCACCACCAGGATCATAATCTACTTGTCGAACTCTTCTTGTCTTGGAGAATGGTCAAATCACAACTCATACTTCGGCTACTCTTCAACAGTCTTCTTGAATTTCTCCAACAGTTTGCAGCAACAAAAAAAAACAAACAGTACAGCTACGGTATGTACATTTTGTACAGTGCGCAAGATTATTCATGAGCCGCGATCCCTGTTGTCAAGACCGATTTTGTGCCGTGGTGAGATCTGGTTTGTGTACAGTGCGGCATGGTGCTTTTCGACAATGGCGGCGCTTACCCCGCGCACTCTAAACTGGAATAAGTCCACTATATTTGCTCCGATTTGCTTCAAACTTTGCCAGTATACTCTACTTGTCTTCAGGAATCGGATGGTATTACAATATTTGCCCGATTCTCAAAACAGAAATTTACCCTGACATCGCTTAGTACTGGTTTGGTTGGTTTGGTTTTTATTATTTCAGTTCGTTGCCTCAACAGTACAAAGTACAAATATCAAGAGGGACGAACGAAAAGAGAAAATAAAACAGAGCAGAGCTAGAGAGGAAGATGCAACTGAAAGGAAAGGAAAACGGAGACGGAAACGGAGAAGTACTAGATACTACCGGTAATAGTAGTAAAAAAACAAAAACAAAAAAAAACTAATACTAGCACACACAGGTTTATACGTGTGTTATGTACTCTTGGTATGATGATTATTATTATTATTATTATCAAATTTTTGATAGGGCATATGACTGATGAGAAAGGGGCTCATTGAAAGCCTTGATATGGCAGGTAAACTCAGTAAAGCCTACTAAACCGTCACTCTAAAGGACCAGTCGGATGTTTTGTAACGAGCGTTGCACTTGCGGGCTATGCGCGCCAGTGGCACGCTATGTTCTTGTTGGCAAAGACTGCCGACGCCGTCAACCAGTCAACCGCTTGCCATAAACTCTTCCGGGCCAGGTCTTCAGCATGGCCCAGGAATGAAAGGATTTAGTGAGTCGTGAACACCAACAGCGTCCTCTTGATCTGGATGATTGACAGGCACAGCCCGTCCCTTGCTCTCTCAGCATATCCGTGTACACATGTAGGGAGCTTGGCTGTCAGACTCAGCGCACAGCACAGTCGAGGGGACGATTCCCCTGGTCCGGTGATTTCATTGACTCGGTAGCGGCGCAGCGAGGAAGGTTTCTTGAAGCTGCATCTACAACATTGTAGTGTTCCCACCTTGGAGCGCAGCTGCTCATGCCGAATTTAGTTGCATGGCCCGGATCGAGGTCGAGAACAGTCTAGCAACATCGACGTTGCGGAACTCGGAGAGGATAAATGAACATTCTTCAGAGGTTTTAGCTGATCGCATTGCGGCTATCTGTTTGAAAAAGACCTTCCGGAAACGTGAGAACCAACTAACTTCTCCCTTTTGAAAGCCGGGTCATGGCGTTGAGACCTGATGGCGGATTGCCTCGTTACAAAATTGTTCTTGTTGGTGAGGAGGGCGTAGGGAAAAGCAGCCTCTGGTATCGCTTCAAGACCGGTCGCTGTCCCGGCGACACGCTGAGCACAGTGGGAATCGATACGGCACACCAGGTGCGAGGCGTAAAGGGTCGGCCTGGAGGCGGCGGCCCGCACCATTCCGACCAGACTGCCCTTGTCGACGAGGAAGTGGAGCTGCAGCTCTGGGACACGGGCGGCAGCGAGGTGCACTACGGCGGAATGACTAAAAACTACTACCGAGGCGCGCACGCCATTTTGTTCGTTTTCGCTGCGGACTGCAGCGAGTCACTGCAGAATCTGAACATTTGGCTACGCGAAGTAGCTAGCTATGGAGACAAGCCACAAATGTTCTTCGCGTGCAACAAAGTGGACCTACCTGAAGAGAAGCAGACCGTGAACTCCTCAATGATACAGAACTTCTTCGTGACACATTGCGCAGACCACCAACAATTGAATCACAGTGCTATGCACCAGCGGATGTTCTACGCGTCGGCGAAGGATCCATGCAACGACGGCTTGGAGAATGCGATGCAGTGCATTGCGGAAATGCTGCACAGCGGGGGAAAGCTGGCGGCCGCTAGCAACGATTCTCTGGCCGAGATGGACAAGAGTAAACCACAGTGGAACTGCTTTCCATGTGGACGATGACGCAGCCTGCATGCTCAATATCCGGTTCAGATTCTACAAGCACGGCACATCATCTCAACAGTACCTTTGCTAGCTAAGCAGCTGTACAGACCATCATACGGCAATAACACACTGGCATGAACTCTAAGCGATGTGCTTCCAGGAGCGTCATCCGCAAGAGGCATGCGCTCCAGATTTCTTTCTTTATCACCGCTGTGACGACTGTCGGCTTTCCGCTTGCGGCCACGTATAGTACGGCGGAGAGCTAGAGGCACAGCAGCTACATGTAGCGCGAAACTCAGACTTCAACGGGTCAATACCGCCTGTTAATGCACGGATGCCAGGAGGTTTTCTGCTTGTCCCGGCTGACTAACCAGACGGCCATCTCCCTTCCCGGTTTACAACTCCTTCGAACGCTTCGAACTTCAATAGTAAGCAAAATCTTGTTTGTACCCGCTGACAATGGCCAAGTGCCAAAGCGTAACATAACAGAGCTGGTTCGGATTCGCGGTGTCATTTGGAATGGGTGTGTCCACCTGCGCAGTGACCCATATTTTACTTCGATGAATCTGCATAGGGTCTCAAAATTTCTCCAAACTATTATCACACTGAAGATATCATACTGCATATAGTGGAATATTTGAGACTCAATGTAAGATTGTAGCCGTGCACTAGTTGCAGTTATGATCTATAGCCCGACACTCAGTGCTGAGCAGATAACAGAATTATCGAGATGTACTATAATTTCTATAAAGTCTATAATCTCTATTAGTATTACTGAGTTTCCGCCTTGCAGTATAGCCTTATTAGGCATATCATAGTTATGACCAACTCAACATTGCGATGAAATGAATCTACTGACTATTCAATTGCTTGCTCGGTTTCAGTAAACTTCTGCAGTGCAAGACGGTGCAGGTAGAGAGTGATCCGCCGGCTGTGTCCGGAGACACCAGATCAAAGTACTGCGCACTATGTGTGCAGCAAAACCCGCAGCACACACATTCCTGGTCTCCAGCACCGTCTCAATCTCGAATCTCAAGAATAACTAAATCTAGTTCTGAACACGCAATCCCAATAATCTATGACCTGTGCAGCTGGAAAGTCTTCACGATGTGTTGACCGGCAACAGTTTGCCTCCAGCGCTCCACCTGCAATCTGAATGCCTCTGGCAGCAGGTGCAACGGGTACTTGGCCATAACGCCATTGCCAAACGGTAGGCTATCCGGCCAGATGCCCACGGCACCGAGGGCGGCAAACGCAAGATCCTCCGCGCCAAACTCACCGTTCGCACCCAGATACTGCGCGCCACTCAGTCGCTCTTCAACTTGCTGGAATATGTCGTTGACCAAGGCGACGTCGGTTTCTGGATCGTAATCGCCGCTGATCTTCATGGCTCTCATGATTCTCTTCGGTATGCCGTACCAATACCATAACATGACCGCCAGCATGGCATGCAGCCAGGAGTCCGACACGTCTATGTTCATGTCACGCACCATCCACGGCTTGACGGTTAGAAGGTGGTAGTAACCCAGGCGACGCACCGCCGGCCCCAGCGACTCGATCATCAGGTCTTTAAACTGTGCGTCACTGAACGTCCAGCCAGCGTATTCGACAATCTCCGCCGATGACGCATACACGGTGCCGTCCTGAGCGACGAAGACCGGGACGTGTGTCTTGCGACCTCTGTCTATACCCCGCCGGTAGCCGGGCACGATCTTGGCGTGAACGCCCAGCGGGTACGAGAGCTCTTTGTACGGAATGCCCACGCCGGATGCCGGCTTATCCAGTGCCCAGCGGCCCAGCTCGCAGAAATGCGAATAGCCCAGGGTGACCAGCACTCCGCCATCCTCTGCTTCATCATCCGATGTGCGATGTGTTGTACGCCGTCGCCGCGTCAGCAACCAAAAACATCCCAGCGTAGCAGCTGTTGCACCGACTGCTACTGCTACAGCAGTTGGCCGCTCAGAGACTGCCCTTTGCAGCAAATCGAACCCCGGCAGCTTCGCAAGGACACCTGATATCCACGGCATTGCCATGGTGGAGTTGACTACCACAGTGGGGCGGAGCATGCAGAGCGAGGGGGAGGGAGAGACAGCGAATCCAGCCACTACTGGCACTAGCAAGTCTCGCTTCTTTGAATTAGTTTCCGTCGGAAACCGTGAAAATTATTGTAAACAATGATCACAATGATTGAATGAATGAATGATGGTCACCTAGTAGTAGATCTACTACTACTACTACTAGTACAGTCAAGACCTACCTGTAGCTGGGTCGGTGCAATGTTCGCGAAGTGAAGTGTCACGTGCGTGCTTACACAACTCAGCTGATCGATGGTGAGTAGATCTACCGGCGCGGTATGACCTTTGACTTCTCAAACTAAAATTTTGACCCACTTGAACACCTTTTACCTGTTCCCATTGCATTCTTTTGTAGTCCGAGTTTACTTCATACAAAGACTAATAATTACAGTAAAACCTGTGACTACCGACCACCCCTTGTCGCGTTCAGCAGGTAGTCGCTAGTCACAGTGCATTTTGAACGTGAGACCTTCCGTGCATGGTGAAGTGGTCGGTAGTGCCGGGCTGGTCGCAGGTGCCCGTACCGGTACGCGGTGGCCTGTAAAAATGAACCAAGCTTGCAAGGGCAAGCGGCTAGAGACTGATTGCATTAATTGATTTGTAGATACTGTGCTACACATGTGTAGTATAAATCATCTCTGAACCAGCACTTGCATCATTCACACTGACTTTCCTCGTATTCGTTCATTTCTCCTGTATCTGGTATCTTATTTTGGAGGTTTCAGCACATTTCCTTCCAAGTACAGTAGTTCAACACTTCGTCATGTGCTAGCTACATGGCATGTATGTAACCACGTAGTCTTTGCTTGTTTTCATTTTCGTGTTGTGTTCTTGCCTTGGATCCGGAGTCGGACTTCTTTTTCGCTGTTGTGTAGAACTACAAATCAATCACGTGCGCCGTCGTGCGGCCGTCGGCCGACGAGTCGGATGATCGACCGTCACTGAAACTAGTGGCTGACTCAACACCGTAGATCTACCGTCACGCGTCATACAAAATGCGTCATGCAGTTGTCCTCGTGCTAGCCTACACTACGGACATGTAGTCGACAGTCAGGATGTTTCTGATTCTGATGACACTGATGAGTGATGTCTGCACTGCGCCCGCGCGCGCGCGCGCCTAGCTTGGCCGCGTGTAGCCTGTGTGGCTGTAGGTTTATTTATGACTCCTTGATTGTGGTCGAGTGATGTAGGGCAGTGATCGAACGCCGATGAGTAACAGTTACTGCAGACTGCAGTATTCTGTACAGTAGTACTCTTGTACTTTCTACTGTAAAATCTACAGAATGAACATGATGAACAGACAGTGATATTATGAGGTGCAGCTTTGATTTGCAGCAGTGGAGTATTTACTGGTCCGACCGGAGTCTTGCTTGCACAGGCACTGGGGAGGGGCTGATAGCGACCCGCAGCCGATTCCTCTTCTCTGTGGTGCGGTGTTGGTCGCCAAACACCTGCTCAGTGTTGGCATAGCTAGCTGCACTGGCTTTAGCGATCCCATACTCAACAGGAAACCGAATAAAAAAAAAGAGAGAGAAACATGGATTATCGTGGAATGGGCTCATATGGCGATCCGCACCAAGACCTCCACTGTCCGAAGTACAAAGTCATTCTGGTCGGGGAAGAAGGGGTAGGCAAGACTAGCATATTCCGACGGCTCAAGGACGGAACTTTCCAGGAAGGCACCGTCACGACGCTAGGACTGGACGAGTTTTCCGCCACTCGTGAACTGGGTAATAGTGGTTCGCTGGTGCGTCTGCACCTGTGGGACACGGCTGGTTCGGAGCGGTTTCGGGCCATGACCAAATCCTATTATCACAGTGCCAATGCAGTGGTGTTCGTGTTCAGTCTGGACCGGTCCGCGTCGCTGATAAGCCTCAAGTACTGGATTGACGATGCAAAGGCGCTGGCCCCGCAGAACGCACTGCACATATTCGTCTGCAACAAAATCGACCTTGCGGACGAGGAGCAGGTGATTTATGAAAACGAAATCGGCGCGTTTTTCGCCTCGCCAGGTCTGAGCTCCGAGAACCTTTACAGGACATCGGCTAAAGAAAACACGGGTATACAGGAGGTCATCGACGCAGTGCTAATGAAACTGGACCAGTGTAGCCAGAGCAGTAGCCACACGGCCGGAGCAATACGGATGGACAGTCAGGAAGACGCGCTAAACCCCGAAATGCCGCCGGACAACTCCATAGCCAACAGGTGCTGCTGATAACTTGGATCCACTGAACTAGTGTGATTATGTTGAGACATGCTCGCATTTCTGTGGGTAATTGATGACCAATGGTACTGGTTGCGGAAGTGACGGATACGGGCTCGTTCTGATTCATCTATGTGCGCGCTTTACTCTCCTCCAGCCAGTCTAGCTGCAGCCAACACCAGGAAGATATAGGTTGGTGCGAGAACCAGCCCAACCCCGTTGGACTGTGTCTGCCCAGGCTGGAGCAGCTGGCGGGGTGAAGCGATGCCAAAAAGCCGCAGCCGGGCATGATCTTACTTCAGTCACCGTCAACGGCATTGTCCGGTGCGTGGTTGACATGGCTCCGACTCGTACTCGTAGCTGATTTGTCGCCCGCGATGGTGCTGTGGCCCATTCGTGCTGTTAGCTGTCCTCTGAAGAACTTGGGCGCTTGCTTTGAATTTGGGATTTCGCTGAACTGGTAGCTACGTTCCCTTAGTTCTCATCTCTTCTCTCACTGAAGCCATTTGGCATCAGCTAAGCTGTTAACTAAGCATTCCGCTGGCTCACTTGAACGCCTTGCGGACCACGCAGTAACAAAATAGATCGTGAACTTGCGTGTCAGCCTACACTGGCCGCGTGCAACACACACACACACACACTGCGCACTTCAGCCGACTTGATCAACCCTGCATGCCGCAGAACTGTTTTTTTTGTTTTTTGTTCTTGCTTCTCACATGAACCATACTGTATTCTAAATTATCAGCATAGCCAAGACATGCTGCAAACAAAGCCTTGCATAATATGCAAGGAATACATAGAATACAGATATATTATATCTGTATTCTACCTTCAATGCAGACTTTTCAGATCGCTATCATATTGTATTTATACTACCCTCTTTATATGAAGAAATGAAGACCAAGGACTTGAACTACAGGTTACGCTATAATGTCCACTAACACCACCATTAACTTTACAATCAGCTCATGCGATAACATTGCACATGAGCTGATTGTAAAGAAACTGGCGGTGTTAGTGGACATTATAGCGTAACTTGTAGTTCCTTGGTCTTCATTTCTTTTTATAAATTAATCCTTGGCTCTCCCCCTGAGTCTAACTACCCTCTTTGTTTTCTTTTTGAAACCGTAGGAAAGACTGGGATTGTCTGAGCAGATTGCAAGCGTTTGCAGCCAGAGAGTGTACTGGTACCTCATTGCAAAGGACGGGTGAAAATCTGATTGGATGACACCAAAGGACACCCTGAACCAGCGTGCGGGTTGGGGAGCTTTTGTATGGATCAGCTGCCGGTACAGACTTCTCTGCCGAATACGACTGATGACTGATGTTGTCATGAAGACGACACACCTCTTATACACCGGTCATTGGTTTCCGTGTTGCACAAAAACAGATTTCCCATGCAGATCCGGGTACAGAAAGATGTATGTGTATGTAGTCTTGAATCTTGACCCCCCCCCCCCCCAGCAGGTGGCAATGAATTTCTTGAAGTAATTCATTGCCATGCAGCTGCGGGCACACATGTTCCAGCTTGACACACATAGCAGATTGTTCAAGATGCTAGGTCCATGGAGAGTTCGGCCAGGCACATGAGCATGCTGCTGCAGCTCATAGTCTACCCCTCACTCAGGGAAGCATCTACAATACTATGACTACAATAAAATATGTCATATTGATGATATACAGTGGTCCTTTCATAATCCGGCACCATTTTGTGCAAGGGAATATCTGCAGAGAGGGTGCTGGTCTGGATATAGCTGTGCACAAGTTAATCAGGCACGCTAACAGTGTTCTAGCCCGAGATCGGTTAGTAGAGCCCCTGCTCAGACCCTCCCTTTCCTGGAGGGGAGGGGGCAGAAGAATTCCCAGATGCCCAGGCATGTACACATAGAGCAAATACGATTTGCAGACATACAGTCGGAAACGACTCCAGTTCAAATCCATGGCCGGGCATGGTTTCACACGTGCACCTAAGCACATCTTACTTAGCTGCCAAGGGGCACGGTGTTGTCCTAGTTTTAAGGTTAGGTGTGTCAAGCTGCACTCAGCATGCACACCAGAACCGACGCGGTACGGTCGCTCACAGACACGGATCTTCGGCAGCTGCTGTGCCAGCTACTGCAGAGGGCGGCACGGCTTATTTCGTTTTCGGAAGAACACAGAGACTATTGCGCACTCAACCAGAATTGGAAAGAAAAAGAGAAGAAACATCAGAAAGGCAAGCTGACTAAAAACAACAGCATAATAATTGGAAAAAGGTACAACACGTCGAATAAGTAGAATAAATAAATAATTGAATCAGCACACGAAAAAGAGCAGGGAGCGTTTATAAAGTGGTAAAAAAACACGGAAAGTATAGTCCATTGGGGGTGGTGGGGGTGGTGGAACGGAACGATATCACTACACTCAGTTGGAGTCGTTGGAAAGTTACGTGGTCGTGACGTAAAATGGAAAGCCGTGGGGGCTGAACTACTTCAACGTCGATGCAGCCTGTGAGCGAAGTTCCTGTAAGAAAAAGGACACAGGAAAAGAACACAATTGAAACCAAACTTCTTGAAATCTTATCGACAGTTACCAGTATCCAATTCATATCTAGCCAAAATTCCTTGGCTCCTGGGTCGGATTTCTTTGGGCACGACTGTAGCAGTGAACGCGCAAAGAAATGCCCCAAGCCATTGCAAACGGACGAACATTCACACCAGAGCCGACTCACATTGTCGAACTCCCTCCGCTTCTTGGCCAGAGCATCCAGCAACGCGTTCACTTGCGCCTTGGCATTACTTGCCAGCTTGACGTACCGCTGAGGCCGCGACGGCATGGACACGATCGTCACCCACGCCTTCAGGTTGTCTACTAGCAGGCGAAGGAGCTCCTCAAGTTGAGCTGCAGCACCAGAAAAGGATTGATCCAACACAGGAATATCAGCCACTGCCAGATTCAGGGGCTTCCCCAAGGAAGATATTCTAAAAAGAAAATGGAGGTACAATCTGCAGTCATGCGGGGTGACCAGTCTGGCTTAGTTACAGCAGATCAAGTGCAAAGTACTGCATCTTATCTGATAATCACTGTTTCGTAGCCAAACCGAACGCAGTATTCTCAGGCACGACTCACCGTTTGTCGATCCTTGTAGAGAAGGTATGCTCTGCTTGAGGCCCTTCACCACGGCGCCGAGCTCGAGAACATCGCGTCGCTCGCCAATGAACACGCTGCAAGCATAGCAGGAAAGGGCAACCAGACGAAAGTCATTGAGCACCACTAAAATGGAAAATAAAAATCTGCACCGTCACAAGCCACTTCCGTTCGCACGTGTGCATCTGTATGGATACTACAACCCATCATTATTATCAAGATCTAACAGATACAATAAAAAGGATAAACTGGGCACCTCATTCTATACACAGAGCAAAGCAAAGTAGGCGGGGAAATTCCAAGAACGTTTTTTCTCGTGATAATCATTGAAACGCCGCACTTTCTCTCTGTGTTATTTTCCCTTCGTATCAATAACGTGATGTTATTCCAACTGATGGAAATCATGAGCTTAGAACTTACCCAACAACTTTGCCTTCTTGTGTGTATAGAATGAGTGCGCAGTTTACCGTTTTTATTCCCATGATTAAATTGTTGATCCAACTTGGATGGAGAGCCAAGGGTTAAAATTAAATTAAAGGGGAAGTTAAGGCAAAAATTAAAATTTCACCAGTTGTAGTCTTCGGAGTGCTGAGTCGAATGGTCGTGGTCCGAGGAAGCTGAGACGCTCCCTTCCTACTTGAATCCCAATCGAACTCGCGCACTTCCACCGAAACTGGGTGACTGCGCCCTACTAGATGGGGATTTGTATGCAAAATGTCACTAAAAGCGCCATTTCGTTCTTATAAAAGCACGGATGACCGCGATTGGCCAATATGTTGTAGTCTTTTGGACGCTGCGTCGACTGGTTGTGGTCCGAAAAGGCTGCGATGCAGCGTTCCTCCTTTATTCCCAATCGAACATGGTTGAACAAGCGGTCACGTGGTCCTGCGTGCCCAAATCACCTGGTCACCACGCCAGCAGGTGACAACTTTCACACCAAGGTTCAACTCGAGTTCAACTCGAGTGACAGGACTGCACCCAAAAAAGGTCAAACAGGCTAGTAAGTTGTACCCTGCAGGCACGGTGACCAGGTGACTGGTGTACGCAGGAGCACGTGACCGCTTCTTCAACCATGTTCGATTGGGAATAAAGGAGGAACGCCGCATCGCAGCCTTTTCGGACCAAAACCAGTCGACTCAGCGTCCAAAAGACTACAACATATGGGCCAATCGCGGTCATCCGTGCTTTTATAAGAACGAAATGGCGCTTTTAGTGACATTTTGCATACAAATCCCCATCTAGTAGGGCGCAGTCACCCAGTTTCGGTGGAAGTACGCGAGTTCGATTGGGATTCAAGTAGGAAGGGAGCGTCTCAGCTTCCTCGGACCACGACCATTCGACTCAGCACCCCGAAGACTACAACTGGTGAAATTTTAATTTTTGCCTTAACTTCCCCTTTAAGGTAGCTTGGGCCTATATCGCGAAAAATATCGGAGGTCAAAAACCACCTTCTCTCCGATTTTGTTCAAATTTTCAGGGTTGAAGCATCATGAGGGCAAGCTGTTAATCCCAAAATTTGGCTGTGCGTAATGAGTCCTTCCCTGTATTTGGGGCCTGTGAAAGACACACCCATACGTTCGCATTCATGTCGCGAAATAAGAGAAAAACCTACTTATGCAAACAGGAGTTCGCTTTTCATTTGCTTCTATGAGGCAGGTTTGTACTAAACAAGTGCATTTCAATCCTTTTTCTGGAATTCAGGACCACTATAGGCACACATTGTTGAGGCAAATACGCTGGATTCAATTACGAGAGACGATCATTTCTTCGCATATTTCTGCAAGCAGTGGGCAAACGAGTCCAATGACCTAACATCATGTTGACATAACTTTATGATATTGACGCAGTGCCATGCAAATAGCAAGAAAAACACAATCATTTTCGGGCCAGTTTTGCAAAATTTAAATTTCAAAGCATTTTGGAACCATATCAAATTAGGGTTTGGAATTCCTGTTTCGTCTCCTCCCACAGAAACCTGTACTTTCAACCAGTGTATTTTTGCTGATAAAGCTACCCAGACATGTTCTGATACTATGGGAATTACTGACATGATTGCAAGAAGCAACAGATGAAGGTTGGACGCATTTTATTGTCCCCAATTAGTACTGGGGCCAATTCAAAAAATCGACCTCTAAAATGCATGCCTTGACACATGTTGGCTAACAAGGATTTTTCGGTGTTATTTGATAGATAATGTCTTCAAGAGTATCTTGGCCCAGTATGGTGTGTCCAATCGTGTCCAAAGGTCTCGAAATCACCCTCGATAGGAATACAAAATTGCCGAAAAAACTAAGTTCTCATCGGCTATATTCAAGCATTTTCAAGACTTTCTCGGTACTATATCGACTGGACCTGGGAGTTTTTACCCTTTTATGTGCCAGGAGCTATAGTAACACCGTACATACACAGGATGCGAACCGACGCGTACACTGATTTTGTGCGAGAGTTGGAAAGATTGAGCATCAAGTAGTGTAGTTGTGACATACCAGAAATGTGTTACCTCGTTTGGACACTTTCTTCAAAGTTTTGCATTGACTCGCTGGCGCTTTTGCTGTCGGAACGTCCACGAATGGATCGATGCTAAATTCAGCAGAACCTTCATTACAATGTTATCTTGGCTCCCCGGAAAAGAAGGCATGATTCCAGCAAGGAGCAGCACAACAATTATGTGTGGAAAGCAGGGGAAAGTCATCATAGCTTGCCAAGCCAGTTGTAACTATTCATAGGACTAATCTACAACCGTGGAAAGTTTCAGACCTGGCTAACTTCATCGGGCTGGAATGAAGGCATTTACTTTATGAGTACTGCTGCACAGGAGGTGTTACAGTGGACGAGCATTTGATTCGAATCTACAAGAGCGGCTAGTGTTAGTACCATGATTTGAACACACCGACCGTGGTGATCAGCTACCATTTGCACAAAGCCTATTTACCAGCTCAACAGCTCTAGGACAACTGCCTTAGGAGTGCCAAGCTGCAGTGAGAGGGAGTAGCTATGTGGTGTGGAGTGTTACAAAAACGAAATCCGAGTACCTGGAGGTAACCTATCACAATATGCAACACCAGCAGTAGAAGAATCATGTCCTTGTCACAGAATTTGATGGCTGGGCCTAGGCAGTGTGAAACTACAGTTATACTTATAAAACACTAACTGCAAGAAAGAGTCCGATGTCCAATGTCATGGCTTGTCTCTCCTGAACTGATCACGGCATGTAGTTGATGCGATTCAAGAGCGGCGGTGAAGAGGGACAACATGTTCATATAATACCTCATGTACTAGTGGCTAAAGAATTGTCCCTGACTGCAGAGCCAACAGTGATGGTGTAGGTGGCGGAGTAGAGATGGGCTCAGCTGTACGGCGTAGAGTTTCCAAAGCTCAGACGGAAGAACAACTTCAGTTGAAGTGAAACACATGGAAGCGAAAGTATTCGCATCACAATGTTGGGATCGATCAGCTTTTTAAACTGCAGCTATTCACCTGTGAGCGTTGTCCAACTGCAGCCTTGAAGTCTTTTCAAAGCATTTAAGTATAGTGACAAAGCTAGCCAATGTTTGGACTGTTTTAATATCTACTAGTATGCAAAGGATTTTGGTATTTTCATTTTCATCATTTTTTCGTTACAGCACTGCCATCGCATACAAATAGTGTTGTCCTTCTTACATTGCTGCGAGATCTATCGTATTATCTACACGTACTTCGAGTAAATTAGTTCAGGTTGAAACTGTCCTATAGCACTTCTTTCCTTAGACACTGACAGTTTCCTACCACCTTTTCCTGTTAGTACTTGGGTTACAATACCTATTCTCTCAGTTGAAGTGTAACGCCGAACCGTCTGACGCTTCTCTCGTGTTTGCAGTCTGATAATTATAGTAATGCATGCCTGTAAATAGTCTCATGTACCTGCTAGCTGCACATACATGTACCCGTACCTCAATGCTAACATTTGACGCGACATGTAATGTACACTCATGTACATGCCCAAGTTTCATTGCACTTCGGAAATTTTGTTTTGACACTGTAAAAGTACAGTACTTGTCGTCGTACTGTATCTACTGCTTATTCTGAGCAAAATGAGGTGCTACTTGGCCATATACATGTCAGTAAAAATGGATATAGGAGCAATTTTAGTTAGGTTGCCATGGTAATAACGGCCTTTTTCTATTGTGATGTTTTTCACCATGTTCGGACACAATTCGGCAATCGAAACCTATGCCGTGTTCAGGAGGCAAAAACCATCCAGGAATGATCAGAAAATCCTTGTTAGCAAACATGTGTCAAGTAAAAGTGAGAAATTTCAAATGGGCCCTAGGACTAAATGTAAACCTGTCTCTTTCTTAGAGAACGCCTTGTTTGGGCTACTTCGAGGGGCCATAACCCCTCCAAAGTGCCCAATAACATACCCTAATATATTGATTTTCTCATTCTGGACACCCATAGCATTGCAAAAAAGGTGTTAACCTTAATTTGGCCATCACAAGAATTCAGCGTATTCTTGCAGTTTTTTTCTTTTGTTTCGGCTTGTATTGGACCAATTAAGCATGTTTATAAGTTTGAACTGAATATGTCCATGCGTTATGGAAATATTTATATGTTCCCAAAAGGGAACGTTGGCCGGATCGCGTACCAAAATGACCATGGTTTTTATGAAGGGAAGATGCAATATGATATAATGGATTATGTTGTCTTCTAAGTGTTTGTGGAGCAATGCAAACATGAACAAGCAGTAATGGAGAAGAAAAAAATATGTAATAGTCGTCAAAGAGTGTCCAGCAATGTTTCTTAGTGTTTTCGGCTGCTACCGTTCGCGTCTCGTATACACCGTGGCATTCGATCCTCGATCGAAATGCAGTCGAACTCCACACTGAGAACAGTAACATATCGTGGTTTGTCTGCACCATTTACAACGACATTGTGTTGTCCACATTCTTGTTGTCAAATGCGCTTGTATTGCACATCAACAGCAAGACACTGGTGCTTCTCGGCTATAATAAAATAGGACGGCGATCTCATTATAATAAAATAGGACGGCGATCTCGGGATGAGCCTGGATGTAGGACATTGGCTTGGGGCTCACCGCTGCTTGAAAAATTGGCACTCTCAGATCAGTTGTAGGAATGTGGAGCCAGACAAAAAGCATTACAAGGAATCTCTCAAGATTGTCGGTCTCCGAGCTAATGTTGGCCTTGTCTGTATCGCGGGTATCGCGCAGTATTTACTCGTCCAATAGTGTTTAGAGATGTACAGGGTGTGTATATCTCGCGATTGGCAAGTGGGTGATGCTGTAGTGATCTCATGGTGATCGTGAAGGGATTTGTCCAGTTCAATTTCAGGACGCCTTTCGTAAACACCAGTCTATTTCACCCAACGCGTTGTTCCAGCGGGTTGGCGTTTTTTGCGGTCGTACTCACTATCAACAGGAAAGGCACCAACATCATTATCCTCTCCATTCGTCACGTGGTAGTTGTCTTGGTCCATATCTCTTGCAAGTTCGATGAAACCCTTATCATCCGTTGAATCATCTGATTACTACTCTATTTCACCGTCCACGTTCAGATCAACGAGAAGTGGTGAGCACACATGCTCTTTCCCTGGGCACAGCAAATTCACTGCATCAGAATCACGGAATCATTAGCACCATGCAGTTCTGAATTTGCAGTGCTCAGAGAAGGAGCAACTGTGCTCACCACTTCTTTTTCGAGTTCCTGAGCTGCAGGATGCCTTACCCCTATAGCGCTTACGTTCAGATTGCCAGTAATCGGTGGCGCTAGGACTAAGTCCTGAAGTGTGTTGGAGTTCTCAACAATGTCATTAGCTTCCATTGGAATCTTTGAGTCCCTTTCCAGAAAGGACTCTGCTACTGTAAACCTTTCCCTCTGCCGTACCACATTACAGCTAAAGCGATATTTTCTGACAAAAATGCAACCGCGCGGAGGAAAAGATCATCGAAAGTCCAGGAGAACGCCATAAAGCATCCATACTTTGCTGAATATTGTTCAAGTGAATCTTGTTACACAAAAGAAAACCTACTTCAGAAGTATATTCCTTTGGAGACTGTTTAGCAATCTTTACTTTGGCAAATGTCAGCCTCGCACAGCATTGCTGTATTCCGCATGCTAGTGAATCACAAATATATGACCAAATTTGGTTACCATGGAGACGGTCCAATTACCATCAAAACATCAAAAAGGCTCCATCAGTTATATATCCACGTTTACGGATGTTACAAACAAGAAATATGCGCTAGATATACTGGTTCCTGAAATCAGGTGAAAATGAGGTATATCTGGGTCTCGGATCTGGCCAACGTTCCCTTTTGGGAACATCGAAGAAAGACGGCGGGTTTCTATGTGCCATGATCAAATTTCCGGTGAATCTTCAGGCCAGTTGGGTGGCCATAGTAGCAGAGTGCACTTCTTACGTGTGGATTACTCTGAGAAAGACTGTTTTTCACACCAGAATTCTCAATTTCTGAAGTACGGCCGAGTACCGAAAATTCACGACATTTCGCGTTATATCCCGATACTTGAAAATTTCAAAAGCCTGACAAATATTCCAAGATTCATGATCATCAGCCTTCTAGATATGTATATAAACAGAAAATACAGAGGAAAAATGAATTTCCCTTGACCAAATCGCATGCGGAAAGAAATGTTCCCTTTTGGGAACATTGGCCTGATTACTGGTGAATTTTCGGAAAAAGTATTTCAGCATGAGCTACCTTAAAGAAATTTCACCAGTTGTAGTCTTCGGGGTGCTGAGTCGAATGGTCTTGGTCCGAGAAAGCTGAGACGCTCCCTTCCTACTTGAATCCCAATCGAACTCGCGCACTTCCACCGAAACTGGGTGACTGCGCCCTACTAGATGGGGATTTGTATGCAAAATGTCACTAAAAGCGCCGTTTCGTTCTTAGAAAAGCATGGATGACCGCGATTGGCCCATATGTTGTAGTCTTTTGGACGCTGAGTCGACTGGTTTTGGTCCGAAAAGGCTGCGATGCAGCGTTCCTCCTTTATTCCCAATCGAACATGGTTGAACAAGTGGTCACGTGCGCCTGCGTACACCAGTCAGCTGGTCATCGTGCCTGCAGGGTACAACTTACTAGCCTGTTTGGTTTGACCTTTTATGGGTGCAGTCCTGTCACTCGAGTTGAACTCGAGTTGAACCTTGGTGTGAAAGTTAGTTGTCGCCTGCTGGCGTGGTGACCAGTTGATTTGGGCACCCAGAGCACGTGACCACTTGTTCAACCATGTTCGATTGGGAATAAAGGAGGAACGCTGCATCGCAGCCTTTTCGGACCAAAACCAGTCGACTCAGCGTCCAAAAGACTACAACATATGGGCCAATCGCGGTCATCCGTGCTTTTATAAGAACGAAACGGCACAGTCACCCAGTTTCGGTGGAAGTGCGCGAGTTCGATTGGGATTCAAGTAGGAAGGGAGCGTCTCAGCTTTCTCGGACCAAGACCATTCGACTCAGCACCCCGAAGACTACAACTGGTGAAATTTTAATTTTTGCCTTAACTTCCCCTTTAACCCTTTACCAGCCGCAGGATTTATATGTAAAAAACGGGGTCTACTAGATTGAGAATAGAGACTAAACCGTAAATAATTTGTATTGACACCTTTATAGTTCTGGAAAGCTGGTAGAATTACCTTTCATATGAGACTGAAACAAGCTGATAAGGTGTAGAATCGTTGCCATTCATGGCGAACAATAACTCGAGCAATGCGGCCGAATTAGCAAATTCGAGGACCCTGACAATATGTACACTGTTCAGCTTCAGCTCATGCACCAGTTCATTAATTCTGTCAAGATTCAAACACCAGCAGAACCAGGCTGTTCTAGCGCACATTTTTGGTGCATGTCACGCGCATGGGCTGTGCACTGGGGAAATCGCAAACACATACTTCAGCATGAAGTGCGTCACAGCCACACGCTTGAAATTTCAACTCCACCCGTTTGCTGGACTTCGAGCTTCGGCGCTTGAGTGTTTTACTTCGCGCTATATCAAATGAAACATCGTTGGAAAGCTGCGTTCAATAGCTTTCCAATGAGCCTTCATAATTATGTTGAATTTGAAGTAGGCAGACCGAAGTTATAGCTGTTTGTACAGTGCTCTATGCTCGTTTAGCATGAAATGTGTCACAGTCACACGCTTGAAATTTCAACTTCTCCCGTTTCCTGGACTTCGAGCTTCGGCGCTTGAGTATTTTACTTCGCGCTATGTCAAATGAAACATTGTTGGAAAGCTGCGTTCACTAGCTTTCCAATGAGCCTTCATAATATTATGTTGAATTTGAAGTAGGCAGACCGACGGTATAGCTGTTTGTACAGTGCTGTATGCTCATTTAGCATGAAGTGCGTCACAGCCACACGCTTGAAATTTCAACTCCACCCGTTTGCTGGACTTCGAGCCTCGGCGCTTGAGTATTTTACTTCGCGCTATATCGAATGAAAAACCGTTGGAAAGCTGCGTTCAATAGCTTTCCAATGAGTTGTCATATGAGCCCCAGCCGGCAGAAACCTGAACATGTGTAATTTTTTCAAAAATTATTTTTTCGCTCGAAATTGATTTAACACTATTAACCTCTTTAGCGCGCATGCATTTGACACTGCCCCACGCAGTCAAAATTGGGCAAAATTGAGATTTTTGAAAATTCAGTTTATTGACTTCTGTCCTGATCACACAGGACTATGAGGTTCAGAAAAGATGAAAACAATGATATTTACAGGATTTAGAGGGATATGTACACGGAAAGGGAGTAATTGAAAAAACCCGAAATCTCAAGATTTTGACAGAAATAAATGAAAAATTAAAACTTCTCGCATGTGTGATAAATTCTGAAACATGGAGTGGCACATAGGCCAGGCATGTCCACGCAGTCCAGGCAGCAGATTGTGACCATTTTTCTAACCCCATTGTGGGAGCATACGACACACCGGCGCTGCGATTTGCCCTCAGGCTTGCCGCAAGAGGCAGGTACGGGTGCGGGGTAGTGACCCTTGCGCCCACCAAGCCTGGGGGACACGACTAGGCCACGAGCAGTGGCAGGAGTGGCAGGAGTAGCAGGTGTGGCAGTAGCAGCGGCAGCAGCAGCAGGGACAACTGGTGTGGTAGGTACAGGGCCAGCAGCATCCGCAGGAGCAGGGTTGGCAACAGCAACATCATCAGCAGCGGCGGGACCCGTGCCATCCGCAAGCAATGCAGATAATACAGATATAACATATTCATGGTGTGGCATACTCTTGGACTTTTTATATAATATATATGAATTCAATAATGCTTCTTCGATAAAATGTGCACCTATTTTTTTGTACCACTTCATGGATTTTCTCAATGCACTGTAGTACGACAGAAGAGCATCATTGCGATCCACACCGCCCATGTACTGATTGTATTGGTGAACAAGGTTGAGTTTGTGAACCCGTTTCCTGGTTCGGTCGCGTTTATTCGTTGCAATAACATTAGGCTTGAACAAATTGGTGAGAAAATATACTTCTTTGGTGTCCGATAGTTTTACAAATAATTTACTGCCCATTGTACGATATGCAAACGATCCGCGTTTCTTCAACTTGAGGTTCACCAACCGCTTTGGAAGGCCACGCCTATTCTTTCTAATTGTTCCACACACTCCGGTCTTCCTGGTCTCCAAGTATTCAGCCAGCTCAATACTAGAATAAAAGTTATCTATGTATACGTTGTAGCCTTTGTCTAAAAATAATGGATCTAATAAATGGACAACTACGGCACCAGATTTGCCGACTTTCTCTACTAAGCCAGGCTGATAGGCATGATCATCTCGGCCAACATAAACAAAAAAGTTAGACATATAACCACTAGACTCACACAGAGCATATATCTTGACACCAAATCTTGCTCGTTTCGAGGGTATAAACTGCCTAAAATCTAGTCTACCCTTCCATGGCACTAATTCTTCATCAATAGAGATATGTTTATACGGAATGTACACGGTCTGAAATTTATCCTGGAAAAATGTAATCAACGGCCGAATTTTCCTAAGCTTGTCGGTTCTAGCCGTCTCGTCTTCATTGTTTGCAAAGTGCAGAAAACTTGCAATACACATCCATCGGTCGCGCTTCATCGAGGCGGGGAATAAAGGGGTGAAAATCAGAGGGTTCCTGTTCCAATAGAGATCGATTTCTGGCTTCCAAATAAATCCCATCAGCAAAAATAGAGCAAAGAACACTTTCATTTCTTGTACGCTAACGTCTACCCATTTCCTAAATCTGCTACGAGCTGGGAGTGTGTCACGGTGTGCATTTAGATATTGCTGGGCAAATCGATTGGTCTCAGTGCAGAGCAATTGCCAAAATTGTAAAGTAAAAAACAGGCAAAAATAATGATATGGCTCAGCATTTTCTGGCACTGGCACCTTGATACCGGGCTGGGCAGTGAACGAGTCTTGCAAGGGCTGGTTTTCTTCCATCTTCCATTGCCCTAATACATCACAACACGAATAATGTAGGAAATATCAGGCCACATGATGCCCTACAGTGTAGGAAGGCTGATGTACGTCTCAAATACTCTGGAATTTAGGCAACATTTTGTTTGAAAATTCTCCAGTTACGCTATGCATAACGCCAAACAGATCTTGAACGATGGCCAGGAATATTACAGTAAGACTACTTTCAACAAAGGTACAAACGCACGTATAATAGTTTTACTCAGCTCAAAGTGCAAACACAGCGTACTCAAATTCACACGAACAAATAAATACTATTGAAAAGATAATTACCTTCGCTCCCATCGTCTCCTGCGGCAAGCTGCTCCTGGATGTGGACATGCGACCTCTCGGACGCCTGTTCATCATCGTCGCTCTCCGTGCCACTAGTACTACTGCTGCTACTGCTGTCACGGACGTCCGCCGGCTGCGCTTCATTCGCAACATCAATGTCCGCGTGCTCCGCGACGTACTCATCGACACTGGCGCTTGCTCCGCCACTCACATCAGGCGCAGTTTCGTTCTGAACTCTGGCCCTTGCTGGCGTCCATAGACCCTCCTCGTCGCTGTCGCTACTCACTGACGGCTCTACATCGCTGTCTGAACTCAGAAACAGCTCGTGGAGCGCTTCGTCCACAGTTCTTCCTCTCGCGCGGCGCAGCATTTTCAACCAAAATGTTCTCGCCTGAAACTATTCCCCGTGCGTCTCCTTTCGTTCGATTTTTCCCGCCTCGAATCACGTGCCGGTTCCAGGCAGCCCCCAGCAGCCCGCGAACAGCCAGCGGTCCACGACAGAGCCACTGGGACTCGATACGGACCCCACGATCACGATAGGCAGCTTCGCTCTACAGCGTCGTACTAGTACGACGGTCGTGGGGCATGCAACTAATGTGCGTCGTACTAGTACGACGCTCGCGCTAAAGGGGTTAATCATTCAAGTTATCAAGTTTGGTGACAATCTGATGAGCGAAAGCATGGAAAATAGAGTTTGAAGTCACACAGGTCAAGATTCGGTACAGTGGGCGCAGCATCCATGCCCAGTAACTCCATGCAAGTTGATCCTACAGTTTCTGATTGTGATGTGGAACAGGTACATGTAAGTAAATAGAATGCAAGTCAGGCTTGCCTTCTTGGTGATGCAGGCATGAGTAGTTCAGAAGTGTGACGATATTCCGTATACACCACTACCTTCTTTACAACACCAGAGTGCGAAACGATGATTGGTGGCTGGCCTTCCAAATTGTGTTCAGGGACCTCTGTGCTGCCAGTTTGAGCGTTGTCCCAAAGCTTGCCATACTGATAGATGTACTGACCAATACCACTGACATCCACTCCCTTGCACACTTTCACTCAGACCATGATTTCAGCATAATTGTATTTCAATGATATGAGCGAATATTCGCGTTTTCTACCACGTGAAGATGTTGCCCCAAAGCGTTCAGCCGGTTTGACTTTTTTGGGATCGCCTTTCTCAGCACAGGCAGCAGCCAGCTTGGCGTCGTCTGGCAAGGTAGAGTACTGATATTACTACGCTCTGTTTTGCGCCGTGAGAAGCCCTCCATCAGTGTCTGCAACATCATTGTTGTCGATGTAGAAATACGGATCGCTCAGCGGGTCGACATTCAGCTTCTCCTCGCAGTCGCTATTACTCCAGCACTGACTATCGTCGCCATCAGTATCCAGTGTCGATTTTATGAGGGCTCTTCATTGCTATGCAGATGAGACTCGCCACTGCTGGACAAACTCAGCGAGGTCGCCACCAAAGAAATAATTCCGATCGCGAACTAACTTTCAGCGCCGCTTCGTACAGGGAGTCTCATGCTGACTACTCTGGACATAAGTCCTTGTCGCGACACCTGTCGCCATCGCTGTGTCTAAACTCAACCTCCGTGTGACGAGCTCTCACCTAGCGCTAAAATCAATTGACCAGAGACATTTGAAGACACTTGAAACTCCTTTGACAACAAAGACACCCACTCGATCGAAAAAGAATCTTCAAAAGCCAGCTCACTGCGCGTCCCAAACTTTGACGTCACATTTTGATGATTGATATCAAGTACACAAGTGCTGGTTTTCGCTGGCCGGGGCTCATATGTTAAAGTTGAAGTAGGCAGACCGAAGTTATAGCTGTTTGTACAGTGTTCTGTGCTCGTTTAGCATGAAGTACGTCACGCTTGAAATTTCAACTCCTACCGGGTGCATTCAACCGTGATTTTCTCGAAAAAAAAATGGAGTGCAGCACACGGTTTTCTCGATGGTAGGTGATTTCGTAGGTTTTCAGCAGTAGATTGCGATTATTCCGACCGCGGTGCGGCAAAAGACCATGGTTTACAGAGCGAAAAACGAATGCGTCGAATTCGACGCACTCGCACTATGTACGGCTGGTAAAGGGTTAAGAAAAGAGAGGACGCAAGAAGAAAGTAAGCAGCAGCACTCGGCACTTGAAAATTCGGCGTGGTGGTGAAATGGACGCCAAAAGAGAGGACCATAAGTTTACAAGTTATCCGTTTTGTCCAACAATAACGATTATAAGCAGGATACTGTTGAGTCAAAATGTGCAACAATTAGCACGAAACTGACTGATGTGATACTGACTCAACAGTATCCTGCTTATAATCGTTATTGTTGGACAAAACGGATAACTTGTAAACTTATGGTCCTCTCTATTCTTAATTAAATTGTTGTCTCCACATAGGTTGCCTAACCGAGATGTCAAATGCTTTACCTGCACATGACGCGGCACAGCTCCGGTAGCTTGTCCCACATCTGAACTTCCTTCTCGCGGTCCACGGGGCACGTCATCGCCATCATGGCATTCTCGGCCTCTCGCTTGCGAATCTGCACAGCAACGCGTGCGACGCGGAGCAGAAAGAAATGACAGAACAAGACATAATGTATACAGCTGTGTAAAGTGTGTATGTGACTCATCAAGACAGGAAAAGATCACACGGCTGATTACACAGCATATTGCCCGATAGGGCGGCAGTGACCATGCTGACTGAAAGGAAAGCATGCCAACATACCTTTTCAAGCAGCGACGAAGGAATACCCTTCATGCTCATCTCCTTCGCTTTAGTTTCGCTGGACTGCGGTGTTGGTGGTGGCGTTAGCGTAGACTTGATCGCCACAGGGTTGGGTTTTGGCGCCGCAGGTGAAGTGAGGGCGGGTGATTCCTTGGCCGCCGTCGATGCTGCAGCTACAGCCTCCAGTGCCCGAGCCACCTAGAGAATGCACACCGTCCACGAGCAAAGGGAAATGATCAAACTGGTCGGGCATCACGTTCCAAATTTATGCACGGCACACACAGCCACACACGCTCGTAGTCACCATACACACACATACTACCCCCTCCCCCCCCCCCCCCCCCTCACACACACACACACACACACACACACACATGTTCGAAGGATGGACATCGGGGCTAACAGTTACGAAAAATGAAGAGCATTTAAATGAAAATGAATGAAAAGATGAAATAAATGAAAAGAAGGAGCATCTATTAAAGCAATACGGCTGTAGTCGTAGAAGTATAAAAGACCAACTCATGGCAAAGGAATGCACAAGCAGCACACTGCAAGTTCTTACCTTCTCCGATTTGACCGACGCCAACTGCAGCACTTCACTTGCCGATGAACAAAGTTTGGACGTCGGTGGCTCGGGCAGCTCTGCACATGGAACTTGCGATGCGGAGTCGAGCTTGAACTTTGGATGCCAGTGCGTCAACTGCTTACTGTCGTCATGCTTGATGCTGAGCTCTCCCAGGAAACTCTGCAGAAAGCAACAGTACAGTGAAACCTCAGTATAAAGTACACTGGATATAACATACGGTGAAACCTCAGTACAAAGTACTCTGGATATAACATCCAGTGAAACCTCAGTATAACGTACTCTGGATATAACATCCGGTGAAACCTCAGTATAAAGTACTTCGAAGTGCTCTGGATATAACATAGAGTAAAGGGTCCGTATACAGTACTCTGGATATAACATACAGTGAAGCTTCAGTATAAAGTACACTGGATATAACACGCTTTTGCAGTCATTTTACCTTGGATATACAGTACAGTCTAGCTCGGCTATACTGTAAAAGCAGAAATTTTCGGTGGTGTAATATTTTCGGTATTCTCCAAAATCGGCGGCTCGGTGGAGGGAAATTTTCGTAAACCCGCTTTCCTGGTACATGTCATTGTGAGTGTACTTGTACCGAAATTTTCGGCGTGTTTTATTTTAGGTAAAAATTGTCGGCACCAAAGTTACCGAAAATAAAGCACCACCGGAAATTTCTGCTTTTACAGTAAAGTACAGATAGCAATGTCTCCTCAGCATCCTCTATGAACCAGCATGTACGCGGGAACTCAAGTGGTGCCGAACCGGAGTACTATGGGACCACTGCACACGAAAAGGCCCATATGGGTAGTAGGCATTACGGGCACGCAGCACAACATATTGAACGTGAGATGGCTCGTGCCACAGGTGCGTACAGTACTGCCAGGCAGTGCCGAAAAACGACCAGGCTAGAATTTCACCAAGAACAGAATATCAATGTATACAGGGTGACGCAACTGTGCACAGGCTGTAGTACGTGAAAAATAAGAACGGTTCAGGCTACGAGGCTGACCCCCATTCCCCAGTTCTTCGGCGACCGACAGAATTGTAATTAATATCACTGACCTGATGCTCCTCGTGAACACGCGAGAGAAGACGTTCCCGGAAAGCCTCCTTCCGCTCGGTCTTCAACTGGATCACCTCCTTCGTGCCTGGAAAAGAAGGCACGGAAGGCAGACTGATGTCAGTGCCAAGAGAAGATGTACTCATCCACCCATCGGGAGTAATTTACAATCTGCACTTCATCTCGTACATGCACACACATGCATGCACACGAGCCTAAAAATAATGATGTCCGCTACAGTGCAGGCAGTCGCTGAAAAGGGCCCTGCATTCAACATGCCTCGTTGTGCTTGCAGCTGTATACAATGGAACAGGCCGGCCAGTACTCTAGTCTCTAGTGTGTCTTCTGTGTCCCAGGCGTATAGTGACTAAAGCCAATGGGGTACTGCCAACGGCGGTGATAAAATGAGCAACACAACACAACATGCTGCACAATACAAAAGCCCGCAACCCAGCAAAACGATCATGCTGTACGGAAGGAGTGTCTGAGGCAAGGCCAGCTAAACACATTACTGCCACCGTACCAGAGGGCAGTGTTAGCGCAGACGATGTGCCACGACCGCGCTTCAGGTCCTCTTTCCACGCGCTGTTCAGTTTGATGTGGAGCTCATAGTCCTTTTCGACTTTCTCCTGCGTGAGGATGTAGGCGGGCGGCAGGACTGTGGTCATCCGTGCCACGTCATTCACAGTGTACTCCCTACAGGAAAAAGACAAATGGGAAAGTAAATATCGCACTTCCGCGTCACTACAAGGCGAAATACAATAGGGTTTACTGTTTAGAAAGATACCCAGATACAGTGAAACCTGTCTAAGGCTGCGTTTACACGACAACGCTGGGGGCGAAAACGCAACGAAATCCTTTCGGATCCATGGTTCATTTACACGGTATGCGGAGCAAAACGTAGAAGTTGTACACCAAAACGGAAGAAAACCAAAACGCTGGCCAAGGTGGAAGAATTTGAAAACGGAAATGTTCTGCCGGATAAATTTGGGTGTGTAAACAGTCGAAACGGTGTGCTGGCCTCGTTTTCCGTCACGTTTGTTTCGTTTTCGGCCGTTTACACGGATCCGACAATCCAAAAAAATTGTTTTCACAATTTTCGTCATATGACGTGTGTTGTCGTGTGCCTGTTTTCAACCATTACTTGAGTGTGATTGGTGCTTCCACGGCAACACTTGGCACATGACGAACTTTGGCGGATCCTTTGCTCTCGTGTAGACGCTTGAAAACGGTACAAACAGAGACCACCTGTGATCGTGTAAACGGACGAAAACGAATAAAGAAATGCGGGACTGAAAACGGAATACTGGCCGTGCGTTGTCGTGTAAACGCAGCCTAAGACGACCGCTTAAGGGACCTTCAAAACGTGGTGTCTGTTACCAGGTGGTCTCCTTATCCAGGGTCATTTGACTGGAAATAGCATCCCTTGGTCCTGGTTTTAGTGGTCTTTTAGGACAGGTGGTCGCCTTTAATATCCGAGTGGTCGCCTTGACAGGTTTAACTGTACATCAGCAGAGAAAACGAAGCAGCCAGCGTTCACTTCCATGTTCCGCTTGCCGCAGTGCTATGTGTATCGGCCACCGTAAACGTTGTGCTATACACCCACTATGATAAGAGGCCAGCTGTCTTGGGAGACCCGCGCTCACTTCAATCAAACCCACCCAGACCATGCTGCTACATACAGTGGAACCTGTCTACGCCGAACACACTCTTGGGACCTCCGAATGTGGTAGCCGTGCACTAATCTCCTTATCCATCCAGGTTCCCTTGGTCCGCGTTTTAGTGGTCCTGTGGGACAGGTGGTCACTATCTATCGGAGCGGGCGCCTTGACAGGTTCGCTTTACAGTTTCCTGGTGCGAATGTGTGGCACGGAATAACAGTTTTCATGTACAGTGAAACCTGTCTAAGACGACCGCTCAAGGGACCTTCAACATGTGGTCTCTGTTACCAGGTGGTCTCCTTATCCAGGGTCAATTCATTGGAAATAGCATCCTGTGGTCCTGGTTCCAGTGGTCTGTTAGGACAGGTGGTCGCCTTGACAGGTGTCACTGTACATGTGGTCTTTCAACACCGGTTCTAATGTACATGTACTTCCACTCCCTCGCAAATGACCCTGGATAAGGAGACCAACTGTACACAGGGACCACATTTCGAAGGCCCCATGAGCAGTTGGCTTACACAGGTTTCACGGTATACGAGGCATGACAACTTACTTCCGCGTCATGCGCTGCACGCCCTCCTTGACCTGGGTGAACGAGCCGCCGTACTGGCGCCGCAAGCACAGCAGGTTGTCAGTCGCCTCCATCTTCTCCTGCAGACGCTTGAAATGGATGGGCAGGGGCAGCATCGTGCTCAGCTTGGCTGCGGACGGCGCAGCAGCTTCGGACGAGAACTTGATCGGCTCAGCCAAGCGCTGCAGGCGAGTGGACGGCAGCAGATCGTCATTGGTCGACGACAAACTGATGGACGCCTGCCCCTTCGTTTGAACTGGCACGGCGGCAGACTGCTTCGGAGCAGAGCTACGGACGGCGTTCTCGGCTTGTCGCGACCCCCTCGCAGTGAGCGACATGGGTGCGGCGAGGGATGCGAATCGCGATGCGGCAGACAGCGGCGCCACATCGTCGCTGGGAGCTGACGGCTTTACGGGCTCTTCCGATGGCTGCCGACACCAGTCGCGGTTGGCCTCTTTCAGAGAGGTCTTTGTCCTGAGAGCACACAGAATCCAGCACACGAGAAGGCAAGAACATGACCACACAATCCCAAGGTTCTTCAGCAAGAAGTATTATTATTATTAGTAAGGACGTTTAGCAATGCGAAAATTCGAATTTTTGGTGGTGGTGATATTTCGCGAAAATCTATTTCGAAAAAGGAAACTTGTGAGGTTTAGCAATGCGAAACGACTTTTTCTCGAAGCTATTCGAATCTTATAGTACCGTACCGTATATGCAGCTCAGTCTCAAGCAGGGGCTGTAAAATTACTACTCCCTGTAGGCAAATGCGTACCGAGAAAAGAGAAAGTTACTTTCGCAAATCACTGCAACGTCGCGTCCAAGTTTTCGAAGTTTGGAGCTTTTTTCTGTACCCATTCCCAGACTCGAATTTCTTTCGAACTTCCACGTTGCTTAACGTCCTTATTATTATTATTATTCACACATATCCGCCGGATGAGTACGCGTGGCCGAAAAAAATGCAAGAAGTATTAGGCCAAGTAAAAAAAAAAGCTAGATGATCGTCCCCGTCCGCCCCAGTTTTTGTCAGCGCCCCAAGAAATATTTTATTTTTTAAATCGTGAGTTTTTGCCGAAATCGTTGGTTTTTTACCGATCGCGGATGCAGGAAACATGTGCACGCTTTGTTTAATACTTTCTTTACTATATGGACCACATACTACTAGTATATCACAACGTCAGTATCGATCTGCTGAAGAAAGAAAAAGAAAAAAAGAAAAAAAAAGAAAAAAAGAGAAAAAAAACCTTGATGTTGTTGTGTACACTGTGTGCATGAGAGGGTAAAAAGTAAAAAAATAAAAATAAAATCCTCCCGCCCTCCCCGATTTTTCCAAAAAAAAGGACGATCATCTAGTAATTTTTTTTACTCGGCCTTAGCGGTACCAAATTCTTGAGTTTTTTTTACTTTTTAGGAAGGTAACCAAAGAGCACAGCGTTCTGTATTCACTAAACAAATGTGCTGCAACTTCCCTTTCCAGGCCCCAATACACACACACGTGCACACTGTAGTAAACTAACGAGTCTTCTCCGCGCAGATTTTCAAATATTTCCACGGGCCTCAGCGATCGTTCAAGTGACGAACTTCTCTACGGAGCGTACAGCCTAGCTTATAGAAAGCCACATACCGGGCATTGTTTGCCAGCGAGAGCACGCTGCCCACATTCCTCCTGGCACGGCCATGATACGCCACTCTGCACCAAAGAGAGAGAGAATCACAGACATGGCGATGAGTGCCTAAAAAGATGGAAGTCAGAAGTTTCTCAGAACGCAATGACCAGTGTACAGTAGACCCCCCCCCCCCCCCTTTATCCGGGCACGTTGTCACCATGCACTGCCTGTAACTACATTTTAAACTACAATGATCACACAGCAATGGCGTGCCGTCTGATGAGTGTTTCACACGAAACTCTGAGTAACGGCGGAAAGGGACTTGTTGCGTCATTGCTGTGTGATCATTGTATTACTGGCTCTGTCCACTGGACATAGAGCACTATACGCAGCCTGAGGACCTTAGACAACTGGCTGTAACTACATGTAGAAACTGCTCGTAACTCAGAACACGCACACTTATTACATGGAAGTAAACACATTTTTTCCCTGGATTCCAAAATGAATGGTTTTTGGGGCCATTTTTTTTTAGGGCTGAAACAATTATATCGATAACTCGGATATCGATCGTTAACAGTGCAATCGATAATCGTTAGTGTGCCAAGTGAGTGCTAACGATGTTTATGCATGCATATCAGTGACAGTGTTCTAGCCCATGCACTCCATCCGATATTAAATTCGAGTGCTATCATGTACTTTCAAGCACAGAAAAATTTGATAAGTGGTTTTGAAAAAGATCGGGAGAGAAGACTTTGCCTTTTCAGTTCTTTTTTTTCAAGTCGGAGATGAAAGCAGTTTCCAAAGGGTGATAACAAGATTCTTCGCTCTGGAAACAACATGAAATTCTCTAGTTCATGTTGATAAAACCAGCCAGATGTCTACAGATGTCAACAGTGCGGTGCCACAAAATTCTAAAGTAGCATGAGCATCTTGGACTTTCTTCGTAAACTGGTGTTCAAGGTACATGAGTAGAGCCGACAAGAATCGATAAAACCAATATATCGATCGTTAATGATATTGGTTGATCGCTAGGAGTTAATGAATGATCGTTTCAGCCCTAATTTTTTTGCAGAAACCGGATTTTGTGAGTCTAGACTTGTCAGAAAGGCACCCGGACCTAGAGAGTCAGGATGAGGGGAGTTTCGCTGTAATTCACACTAACGATGCAACTAGATCGCTGGTCAGCCACACCAAATACCGACAAAGCTGTAGCAAGAAAGATCACCAACATTGCAACAACCGGAGAACAGCAAAAACTACCGTAGTAACACACATATAGACGCACGTGCCTGTATTCGGATATAAGCGCACTCTTACTTATACGCGCATACTCTTGTAGGCGAAGCACTACCAAAATTCTCACTTTGACACAATCACGGATAAAAGTCTGCAAACAGCATACAGGAACCGTAAAACTGACACTACAAGACCAAGTCAAACACAAAGACTTGGCTAACGAATTCTGATCGCGCATGCGCGTTCAGGTGAAAATATTTCATTTTGAAAATTGGATTTGTAGCAAAAATTCACTTCTAAGTGCATGTGCTTATACGTGCGTTAGTACGGTATTAAATAAAATAAACAACGCATTAATCTTGCAGGTGAAGGCTCAGGAACAGCTCACAAAAGTACAGTAGGTATCGGTTATAGCGTGGGTGTTTGAAAAACGACTTTCTATTCTTATTTCCGATATTTCTTACACACGATAAATCAAGTGTGACATATCATACGCATGTGCGCAGGGGCAGGAAGATCATCGTACATGCAACGCAGTACTTCTGTACATGTGGCTGGTCATAGTCCCATAGGCTTACCAAGCGGCTATGCAAAATGAGTTACATGGCCACAACAGTTGAATCTGCAGCACTACGACGCAACGAGTCACATCAGAACGGCATTGGACAGATGTTATTACTACAGGCGATACACTTTGTACTAATCTGGCATGTTTCGCTACACAAAGTCCATTCTTAGGACCGATATATTCTACTATGGGATAAAATTGCTTGTAAGAATAAATGTGCACTTGAAATCCATGTTGTGATTATGAAAACATGAGAGTTCATTCTTGTAGGCAGTACAGTATATTCTTTTACACGACCACGCTATAACCGATACGCACTGTACAGTGGAAATTCAAGCAGCATTGAATGCCAATGAGCCAGTAAAGTGACTTACTTTGGGGCGAATAGCTCACATGGTGAAGGCGCAGGCTCCTCGGATTTACTGCAAACGACAAACAGATAATGCATACAAACACAAGCAAACTGCCAACCGGATCCGTTACAGGGAGAGAGAGAGAGAGAGAGAGAGAGAGAGAGAGAGAGAGAGAGAGACGGAGAGAGACACACACACACACACTGAAATGGAATTGTGGTGACATCATCAGTACAGTCCAACTGGCGGAGGTGCGGGCTGCGCAGCAGGCTGATCCACAGCTTCAGGAAGCCATCCAACAGGTACGCGATGATACACCTGTGTCCGCCAGTACCTTCAAAGCCGTCCGATCCCAACTCTGCCTGCGTGATGATCTTCTGTGTCGCAGTGTAAAGGTTCCTGTACTTGGCGACATTGTTGTCCCAGTACTCCCCAGTTCGCAGGAGGATGCTGCCATCAACGTCGCGCATTCCGCGTCGGGCCATGCCGCTTGGCAGACCATGTACGAGTCACTCCGGCAGCAATGCTACTTCCCGCACATGGCCGAGAAGTGTCAGTCGCACGTCCAGCAATGCCGCCAGTGCCGCGCCGCTACTACCTCTGGCACTCGTTCCGCTCCGCCCACTCGACCCGATATTCCCGGCCGCCCATGGAGTACTGTGGCCATCGACACCCTCGAGCTCGGGACGGACCACAGTGGTCAATACTCCTGTGTTCTCGTCGCCGTCGATGCTTACACCAAGTGGGCAGAGGTCGTACCACTGCTTCGCCACGATGGGCAGTCCGTCGCAGCCGCTTTCACCTGGCTGTGCTACAGATGGGGTGTCCCCGACGTTATCCGCGTGGACAACGGCTCAGAGTTCTCCAATGCCCTCGTGAAGTCCCTGTTTGACGCCTTTGGCATCACTGTCAAGACCGGTGCCGTGCGCCATCCCCAGTCGCAGGGTTCCGCCGAGCGGTTCAACCGCACCCTGCTGACCATGATCCGGAAGCTAGGCGAGGACACCACTGACTGGGTGCCAGATCTGTCGGTACTTCTACATCACTACCGAACCCGACCCCACCGTGCTACGAGCACCACCCCGATGATGGCCATGCTGGGCTGGCAGCCGAAGACGATCGTTCTGAGCGCCGATCTGGAGTCGCCTGCCTGGCAGGTTGAGCATGCCGAACGGTGTGCCCGTGTTCGCGATCTCCTCGACTCGGCTATGTCTTCCCGTGATTTCCGTGCCGACGATGCTGCTTGCCGTTTCCAATCCGGCGATGCTGTCCAACTGAAACAGCCCTCGCGCCACCAGAAGCGTCTGCCTCCGTTTCAACCGGGCTGGTCGGTCACGAAAGTTATCTCCCCGTCGACCGTCGTAATACACCGTGATGGTGCTGAGAAGGTCATCAACGTGGACCTCCTGAAGTCCGACGGCCGTCCTCCAAGTCCCGCACCCACTCAGGGTGCCGATCCTCTCCCACCTGTCCAAGATTCCACCGATGACGATGCTGACCATGACGTTGACTGGCACGGCTATCGGCTCGCTCGCCTCCCTGAACCGCAAAGGCAGTTGCGTGACCGCAACACGATCAGCTTGCCATCTCGCTATCGTCCACGAGCACTGTTCTGATGTCTGCTACTACAAACTGTGTTATGACTTCTAGTGCTGCCCTAGTAGGTCACCAGGCGAAGGGGTGAAATGGAATTGTGGTGACATCATCAGTACAGTGTGACATGCATTCCCTGTGTAGATATGACCGTAGAGCATGCATTGATTGGTGTCAACATTGCCTAGAGAGTGTAGAGGTGCTTGCAACAACCAGTACCTAGTGGTTTGGCTCTTCTGAGTACTGGGTGAGGCATGTAATGTCATAAGCATATTGTGAACGTCTGGCTGACAAGACTAGACACTCTGCACGGAGGTGTGCCGGCAGTTATCATTCCTTGTTACATTATGCAATCATCTGTGTTGTTAGTCTGATTATGGCATTCCATGGTTTCCTTTCGTGCACGATCCAGGTCTCTGTCTCTGTCTGCCTGGACTAGCCAGTCCTAGTGCTCTCCCACATAATTTCACCAGTACTAATATCCCATGCATTCACTTCATTCAATAGAATCTAACTGTAGCCGTACAGTGGCCGTTTCGTGTAGTGAGTGTGCTGGTTGTGTGCGATTAAATGTTGTAGGAGATTTCCACAACAACACACACACACACACACACAGAGCGAGAGAGAGAGAGAGAGAGAGAGAGAGAGAGAGAGAGAGAGAGAGAGAGAGAGAGAGAGAGAGAGAGAGAGCGAGAGAGAATACACATGTACAGCACTGTGTCCAAGACTAACGAACAGCAGAGGTGCAAGTAAGTTGAAGGTATGTATTGCACAAGGGTGGCCTTGCCAAATTCTAACAGTAGACAAAAGAAGGTTGCCCTATCCTATATCGGCAAACGAGCTGCACACTATGTCTTGTTTCGGCGAGCTCAAACCATACTCAGTTCCCCGCCCAGGCCTCCTTTGCGAAAATGTACAGTGCTGGCAACTGAAATCCGACCCCCTAGCCTCTCGTACGAATCGCTAATGCGGCTAGCGCACCGCTAGGGGGGTCGGATTTCAGTTGCCAGCACTGTAGTACATAACTCTTTTCGCCCCCGCTCAACAACTACCGGACGCCCACTCCACCACCAGATGCACAAGGTCACCTACAAAGGGAGGATTTCTGGCATCGAAAACTTCAAGCACAAAGTTAGGCAATAATGTGGGTAACAAACTACTAACAACTACCGGTACATGCCTTTGTCAAAGAACATACATTGTACAGTAATAGTATACACAAGGCATGTTACTTATGTTGGTGAGACCGGCTTGGGCTATCCCATTGCTCAATACTGCTTTTACGCACAGGCCCAGCTCAGCACTCACCTTAGTTCTGGCTCGCTGAACAGCCGGTCAAGGGTTTCACTGCAAACCGAAAAAAGAAATTCAGCCGCATGCACAAGCATAATGTAACGATTTTCATTCACAAATCTGCGATAAACTTTTCAAAGAAAATAGACAGTGTACGGTGTTGGCCAATCAGGCTCCATCAGTGCAACTACGAGTTAAAATGTAACCTAAACTGCTAGCCATAATGTGCACATGTAGTTATGATTCAGAAAATGGACCAATATTTACAAGTTAATTTTGTTATGGTCCACTTAGGGCAACTCTCAAAACATAATCGGTAGACCATTCCACGCTGTATTGCCAGACACTCATGAAAAAGGTCAACCTTTGACTATCGTCAAGAGTAGGCAAGATCATCTCTTTCTGAATGAGCTGCTGCAGTAAAGTACTGGTCCCTATCCATTGTGCTTTTTGGCTAAATTCAAGATCTTATTTGAATACAAGTCGAGCATTTGAGAAGATCACCAGCAGATTTCGTATTGCTCCATGAACTTTATTACAAGCACTGGGATTTTCAGACTACGGCGTAGTTTCTGCTACAGCATTGTTGCTGCAGGTTTCAAAAGCTGATGTGTCCCGATTCCACCTGCTAGTACCCTCCAGTCTTACCTTGCCTTGCTCCTGTTCTTGCGCGCCGTTACTATCCTAGGTGCCTCTAAAGTGGTTACACTGCACACGCACCCACACGCGCGAAATGGATATAAATTATACGTGTAACAGCGGAACAAACTTTTGAAGTCCATTGAAAGGCATTAGATCTTACTCGCTGAGACGAGTTCTCCCCTGCTCCGTATCAACTCGTTTTCTTTTCGCCGCCGGTTCAGGCTCGTCTCGAGCTTTCCTCTTGCGCGTGTAGTACGAGGTGACTTTGGCCTGGTTGGACATAACTACTAATCAATTGACACAATCTACCCATCCAAGTTCAACAACAATCTAGCTCACTCCCCCTGCAAATGGCCAAAGAAATGAAATGAACATGCGATTTCAAAAGTAACATCACCTTCCTTTTGCTGTACGCCAATCCAGCACCTCAACAGTTCTGCAGTCACGTGCGCAAGCCCTCTCAGCTGATCGAGATTCCCGCCAAATAGTGGTGAATTTATGGAATGTCATCACGAAAAAATTCTAACCCAGCGCGCGGTGGCCGCGTGTCCGAGGGCCTAAGCCTACGGGCACCGAGTTCCCAAGTGGTCGCAAACAGCAGGGAGCGATCAAATCCAGATTTAGATCTGCTTCATTCTCGTATACTCCAAAAATCACCTCATCTTCTTCGTGAAATATTGCATGATCGCATGAGTGCGTGGACTGCTGAGTTTTCCCTTCCTTCGAAATTTTCCGAACACGATTCTGGTTAGTAGCTCCATACACAGCTTTCTTAATCGTATGAATGATCTTTGACGGTGGTACGAGAGTACTGTTGTAGTTTGCCTTTGTTGGGCAAGGAGTGTCACCAGCCAGCTTCAAGTGTTCCGAGCCGCAATTACGAACACCCAGGAGCTTTGCAGTAATTGTTATTGATTACTCCCCGTATCCCTGGAGTGTGATGAAGGGAATTGCTCCGCGCACTGGCAGATGATGGTTATCGTACCGCCGAGAAAAGTGAGTTTGCGTCAAGTGCTTGTTGTTCTCTCGACAGTCGAATATCTATGAGTGCAAGTCATTTGCATGTCAATAGTCATGCTGAGAGGATCTGGTGCTATCGATGTCAATTCTTCTGAACACGGGTGCTAGAATTATGTAGGAACAAACTGCATCGAGGAGCCACACGTTCCAGGGCATGTTGCTTGTGAATAAGTGGGCAGATCCGTTGTGTGTTTGTTGCTCACGACCGACCGTAGCCCGTCATGTACATGTATTTATCTTTTGAAATGGGCGTTATGTCGTGTCAGGTCACAATAATTCAGAATATGAAAAATTAATAGGACTAGTTTATTTATTGCAATTTCAAATTTGGACTTCACGGAGATTTTTCAAAACCACATGCCATGTACTGCTCTTTTCTCTCCGAAACTCAACACTTGCAAGCCAGATATGAAAGAAAGAAAAAATCATTACACTGGCTTGCAAGTGTTGAGTTTCGGAGAGAAAAGAGCAGTACGTGGCATGTGGCCTCAAATTTCCTAATAGTTTATTTATAACTAGCAGCACCACCGGCCAGCGTTGCCTGGCCGAATGTGGCATGCGGGTGAAGCAAGTTCGTGAACAGCACACGTGCTCAGCACGTGGTGGCTAGACCGCTGAAGTACTGGTGAGCTCACCAGATCTGCACTGACTGCACTCTGCATCTGATCTGCAGTGAAGAGCGCATCGCACTTTTGTTCGTAAGTTTATGAATTTTTTGAGCCGCTTCATCCGCCACCAGGTGATGGACAACCCTGACCAGCCTCCCGAAGGCGTAACAGACGTCCCTCCTTCTCCTTCCAACGATGAAGAACCTCCCTCATAGATTTGCACCCTCCTGCGGAGCCCACGCTGCTTTGGCAGTGGCGGAGGGTCGCTTGCCGACGTAACCGTCGGAGATCATGAAATTTGCACCCTCCTGCGGAGCCCACGCTGCTTTGGCAGTGGCGGAGGCTCGCTTGCCGACGTAACCGTAACCGTCGGAGATCATCATGAACAATGGACTGACTAATTATTCACTTGTCCTGCTACACGATTCTGTGGCTGCTTCCGCTAGCTACACGATTCGCACGCTTCGCGTGCTCAGGGCAGCGCAGTAGGCCTTTAAATTTTGGTTTGAAATTTGCACCCTCCTGCGGAGTCCACGCTGCTTTGGCAGTGGCGGAGGCTCGCTTGCCGACGTAACCGTCGGAGATCATGAAATTTGCACCCTCCTGCGGAGCCCACGCTGCTTTGGCAGTGGCGCTTCGCGTGCTCAGGGCAGCGCTAGTAGTAAGTAACGAGCGGGTTCTGGCACAGGGGCGCCCGGGTCCCAAAAAATGGGGTACTAATAGTACCCCATTTTTGCGGTGAAAATTATTTTTGGCCCGGTTTTTTGCGGATAAAAATATGTGTCAGGGTGCCCTGACCTCAAAAAAAAGGGGTATTATTGAAAATATGTATTGGGGCGTTATGCTCTACCCTAAACAATAAGGTAATATGGTGTCATGATTATGTAAGTATAAAAGGTGTGTTCTTGAATGATGATCCAGTCAGTTTCAAGTTGTTGTGGTGCAGTGAAAATGGATTCTGAATTTGAGATCCTGTATGCTTATGTCACCCATTTTGTTCACCCAGGGGATGGCTCACGCCTGGTAGGAAGAGAGAGAGAGAGAGAGAGAGAGAGAGAGAGAGAGAGAGAGAGAGAGAGAGAGAGAGAGAGAGAGAGAGAGAGAGAGAGAGAGAGAGAGAGAGAGAGAGCGAGAGCGGGAGAGAGAGAGAGAGAGAGAGAGATAAAGATAAGGAGAGAAATTGTCAAAGATCTATGAACTATCGAGACACACACACACAGACAGAGAGAGAGAGAGAGAGAGAGAGAGAGAGAGAGAGAGAGAGAGAGAGAGAGAGAGAGAGAGAGAGAGAGAGAGAGAGAGAGAGAGAGAGAGAGAGAGAGAGAGAGAGAGAGAGAGAGAGAGAGATAAAGATCTATGAACTATCGACACACACACAGAGAGAGAGAGAGAGAGAGAGAGAGAGAGAGAGAGAGAGAGTTTAGTCATGAAAGATATCTACAGACGGTACGACCCACGAGCGCTTTCTCGAAACTTCGATTACAGGGGCTGACGCAGATGCCTGGATCGTGACGAGCGATTCACCCAGATCTTCTTCGTCACGGACAATGCTGTCAACTGCCTTCCGCTTCCGGCTTTCTATACTGTCACACACGACTTCGGGCATCTTGGTGGGATGACCTTGCTCGTCAATATCAATTGTACCAACACGTACAACAATGCGGGTAATCCTCGTCGCGAGGACCGACAGCCGAACAGCTTTCGTTGTAAACTTGTTCATATCACGGTCTTGTCGAAAGATGTCCCTCTCGTTCAGATCTTTTATTAACCTGATGAATTCCTCGGCTTCAATCTTCTCCGCATCTTGGAACGTCTCCTCGACGTTGTCGAGGGCACCTTCAGCCTTGGAGAGGTTAAACATCGATCTACGCCCGTCGTCCCAGCATCGCAGCAGTCTGCCTGTATCCCGCCATGATGAGGATCCATAGTCCTCTACGCCGTCAACGATGATCTTTGGGAGACGCTGGTGTTTCTCACCGCTAATCAACACCATAGAAGAAACCCTGCACAGATACTCCGCAATCTCCATGGGAGTTAAGTCGACCCGATCCGGGTGAAGCAGCACGGGTCTTAGCTCGTAGGCTGTGCCCAGATCGGTGAGTAAGCGAACGGTTAATTCATCTTTAGTACAAGAAAATAGGTACCACCTTTCAATATATTGTTGGGATGTTGACCAAGACATCTTCTTTTGCTATCACTATAGACAGGGAGAGAGAGTTAGCAATTGTGACGCATAATGCAATATCATCAGGCTGGCTTATAATGTGACTCGCAAGAATGGCACAGGAGATATACTCACCACAAGCTCCGGAGTCCTTCACGGGACTCCTGACCAACACGAAGATCGTTCAGAAGAACATCCTCGACAGGACGGAGAAGAAACTCTCGTTGCTTGAGGGTAGACGCGGAGTACGACTCTTTTCCACAGCAGATCGATCACCACCATCCCTGAACAATGAACTAGACATCTCGTCGCCGAATTTCATTGCTCTGGGGGAGAGCTATTTCATCGTGAAAATGCGCTATAGTGTCAAAAACAATCTCAATAACCAGCCTGGAGACTACACGCGATGGGTGTGCACCACGTCACCAGCCTTTTCATGGTTCAAGAACATTCGAGTGGAGATCAACGGAACAGAGGTCACGCAATCGAGTAAAGTTGCCGACATGCAAATGGTTCAGCATATCCTCAGTCTAATGGAAAGCAGCAGCGAACGCGCTGCTCCGCAGCGCTTCAGCGTGACACAAAAACACACGTCACAGGTGCCTCTTCTTTATAAGGAGCGTGACACACACACACACACACAGACACACGTCACAGGTGCCTCTTCTTTATAAGTAAAGATAATAGTAACTCACTGGGGAAGGCTTTTTCCTTCCTTGTGGATTATTTACCAAACTTGATCCGCCCTTGCCTAAAAAATCATCCACATCACAATCTTCAAGTCGGCTTGCCCATTTTGTAATGTCGAGAGTCAAGAGTATGCAACCGTGCACCAGTTGCGCGGCGTGCTGCCTTCATTACGTCATGCAGCTTCATCCTAGCAGTGTGGAAGATCAAACGCAACCATTTACCCGTGTTTGGAAATGTAGCTTTCGGACTGTACTCAAGTCCTTGCTCTCACCATCTTGCGACCGTGCTGCAAAACAAACAAATGAAGCAAACCTGGGAATGCTTGTGTGTATTATCCCTCTTGCTCTTTTGGTGCATACGTGGCTGCTAGCTACGATTTAGTACGCATAGCGCCAACAGCAGCAGCACACACACACACACACACACACACACACACACACACACACACACATACACACACACACACACACACACACACACACACACACACACACACACACACGCGCGCACATTCACTCTCTCTCTCCCTCTGTTTTCTCTATTCATCTCTCTCTTTCTTTCTCTCTCTCTCTCTCTCTCTCTCTCTCTCTCTCTCTCTCTCTCTCTCTCTCCCTGATGTAGAACACTATTGGACCGCAGAAACCTTCTATTCACCACGCAACTGTTGTGATCTTTCTGGAGTTCTTTGCATGGGGCTTGCTAACAAGCCCGGGCATCACAGTAAGTGTGGCTGTATACCGGCATGGCACTGTGTGTGTGTGTGTGTGTGTGTGTGTGTGTGTGTGTGTGTGTGTGTGTGTGCGCGCGTGCGTGCATATGCGTGTGTGTGTGTGGCTGTGTCACATTCATTATCTGTAGTATCTATTGGACCCCAATGATGCTAAGTGGCTTAGCTATTCTTACACGGTGCAGATATTTTCTAAATCCAGAGTATTTTGAAGAAGAGGTTGATGCGACTTCGGTGATACTTGGGGAATAGTGTGTTGCTCCCTACGTGGGAGCTCGCGCTTTTCCTGTCGACTTGAATTCTCACTTGTCTGACTCACGACTGCCATCCAGAGCATACGAGAAGTCCATCGAACCTTCCACTCGGTGAACCTGCAAGAAAGCACCACTCCCTGCTCAATACCCAGTGTGGGAATTCACCCCTCATCAGTTGAGCTTGAGTAGGCTGAGGAAGATTATCTGATAATAGGGAGGTTTAGTCCCACGTAATCCGTGGGTACTTTACGTGTGTGTACCACGTGATACTCAGTGACCCACGTACAGACGTTTTCTGATTCACGACATACCGTGTATGGAGGCTCACCAGAACGTGGGTGAAAATCAGAATGGAGCGCATTGTGCAAGCTGTGAGGGTGCTCAGCTGAAGAAGTTTCCGAAGCACGAAATCAAATTATTGGATGAGCTTCTTAGGCCCGGGTAGCTTCGTCTTTGACCAGGTTTGGGCCTTTCGCTTCATGCTTTTGTTTGTTCCGTGTGACTTAACACAACATTGCAACGTGGGTGCCCTTCGTCCACTTTACGTGGATCACCCACGTACGCGTTTCCGTTACATGGGAACTAAACCTCCCTTATGTCTGAAGAGCACCACTTATATAGTGCTCTCCAGGCTAAAATATCACCAGGAATACAAACTTACAGAGGCGCTCCGTTTTTCGTGTGCTCTGGATGGCAGTCGTGAATCAGTCAAGTGAGAATTCAAGTCGGCAGGAAAAGCGCGAGCTCCCACGTTGGGAGCACACACACTTTCCCAGAGTATTTTGTACACATTATGTTATCATATATTTCACACGATGGCTTTCTGTATGGAATTTAAATTCACCCAAAATGTTTGCCAATCGCAGTGATGGAGCTCATTCTCTCTGTGTGAATATGATGTGCATCTGAATGGTTCTGGTGGCTCAGACTTTAAACATACTTTTGTTGAATTTTTATATGAATATTTCGGGACTCACGGTACATGTCTGGGTGTTGGCTATTCTCTCTCTCTCTCTCTCTCTCTCTCTCTCTCTCTCTCTCTCTCTCTCTCTCTCTCTCTCTCTCTCTCTCTCTCTCTCTCTCTCTCTCTATTTCTCTCTCTCTCTCTCTCTCTCTCTCTCTCTCTCTCTCTCTCTCTCCGTGCAGACTCTCTACAAAACATTTCCTCATGAAACACTCCTGGTCAATGGTCTCATTCAGGGAATCAAGGTTTGTAGATCCAGAGCTGCCGCTGCATGCTCATAACGTGTTGACTGAACTTGGCCATTGCAGGGTTCGTGTTTTGATTTTGAGTTGGTGTGTGGAATGTGGAATGACTTGTTCACTATTCCTGTCTTTTCTAAAACACAGGAAGCAGTTCACCTGAAGTATTGTTCTGGTAAACATAATAGAGCATGACTATTTTATTGACCGAATTCAAACTTGCACTGAGAGCAGGGCAACACACATGTTTCTTTCCTTTGCAGGGCATTCTCTCGTTCTTGAGTGCTCCGCTCCTGGGCGCCCTGTCAGATGTGTTTGGACGTAAGCCATTCCTGCTGCTGACCGTGCTAGTAACGTGTCTACCTATACCATGGATGAGCATCAGTCCCGGGTAAGACATGCTGCCTGTGCTGGCGCCACGCTGTACGTGTTAGTGGCTTTCTCTCTCTCTCTCTCTCTCTCTCTCTCTCTCTCTCTCTCTCTCTCTCTCTCTCTCTCTCTCTCTCTCTCTCTCTCTCTCTTTATCTTTATGGTTATCATTATCTTTCTAACGTTCCATGATTGGTGTGTCAAATTCTTGAAAGTTGAAACATTTGGGATTTTTGTGATATGTGTTGTTGCATATCGATGATACTCAAATGATCTGCCTCTCCTCTCGTTCTACCTATTTGTGTATATCTCACTGATCAGGCTATACTTCGGGCTATACACGCTGTCTGGCCTGTTCGCCGTCACGTTCTCGATTGTGTTTGCCTATGTTGCCGACATCACACCGGAGAATGAGCGTAGTGCAGCTTACGGCCAGGTGCGTTGATGTCATAGTATGTGTGTTCGCGTATTGCCCGTGCACACATACTGTATTTCTGGGTACAATACCATCAACCTAGTGGTACATACTAGTACGCAATAGTACACCGAGATCCATCCTAGAGTTGATTAAAACGCTATGCGTATGTGTGAAGCTTTAGATGTTCAATTTCTTCGAGCCTTTTTGTGTCCATCTTTGGTGTTTTGCTTAGGTCTCGGCCACCTTTGCAGCTAGCTTTGTGCTGAGCCCTGCTATCGGGACTTACATTGCAGCCATGTTTGGCGACAGCATGGTCGTGCTGCTGGCAACGTTTGTGGCCGTCCTCGACCTGCTGTTCATTTACCTGGTCATGCCCGAGTCGCTGTCGATCATGTCCGAGGTCCAGGTGCCATGGACAGGCTCGATCTCCTGGGAGCAAGCCGATCCACTGCGGGTAAGACTTGCTACATGCATCGTACTGTACAGAAAACTGCATGATAACTTACACTGTATGTTACTCAATCTGCGGACAGAACTGTGTCGTCCTTTGTGGACTCATCAGCGTAGCACAGAGAAAATGAGGCCGAACCTGATAGCAATGAAAAGGAATTTTCCAAAGCCAGGCCCGAACGTACCTTGCCAGAGTGCTCAAACTGACAATTCATTGAGCTCTGCATAACGCAAACAGCAAAGGCACTACCCCACATGAGACAGTGTATGTTATGTATGCATGTACTTCCGAATGCCTTAAAAAACTTCTTTTTTTTAAACTGCAATTTATAGCCAGGACACTTTATGTCCAGGGTCAAACGACTTGTAAAGCATAATCATGAAAATGCAGGGTCGGCAAGAATAGTGGTTTACATCCCATGAGAGAAGTGGATCCAGGGTGCTTTGTACTGAACACACTTCTTTTTTGGGGTAATGCATTCATACCCCAGACAATGTCCGTACTACTTCGAAGTAGGTGAGCTCCACTGTACCAGTAGTATGTGTACTGTACCCAACGCTGTTCCGTGGACATGTTTGTGTGGAAGTGTGCAATGTCACGTGTGTGTTTCCCGGTTACGTTATCAGCGTGCATGTTGTGTGCCTTCTCTCCATTCTCTGTGCAGACGCTCCGCAAGGCCACCAAAGACAAGGGTCTGCTCACGATTTGCGTCATGGTCTTTCTGTCGTACTTGCCTGAAGCTGGGCAGTATTCGTGCTTCTTTGTCTACCTTAGCAAGGTACGTGTACAGTGTACAGTGTACAGTGCTGCTCAATGAAATCCAGTCGCGTCACTCAAGTGTGCGCCTTGCATCATTTCGCAGCCCAGTGTTCGCAGGTCTAGGGCTGCGCAATGCCCGACGCGTACTTGGGTGACGCGGCTGGATTTCGGTGAGCAACACTGTACATGCACCATGATGTACAGTGTACTGTGCACTCACCGGAGCTCAGCTAAAAGTCACTTTCTCAGCCATCTCGAGCCCTGTTGCCAGACCCTTTGCAGCCACTTGGCTTACTTGCTGTGCACATGATGGTGCCTACGCCATTTACCCTTTACCCCTCTCTCTCTCATACCTTGCAATCCTGTTGGTTTCTTCTCGTTGCTGTTTCAGGTGATTGGGTTTAGTCGCAAGGAAGTGTCAATCTTCATCGCTATGATGGGATGCCTGTCAGTGTTATCACAGGTCAGTGTGTTGTGGCCAGCCTTTAGCCTGGCTGTGGGCGATCTGCAGCTGACATTCTGGCCATGCATTGCGCTGCACATGTGAACTTGTGGACGTTAGTCCACTCTAACGCAGACACAACGGTGATGAAGCACCCCGGAGCATAGATTCCGAATTCAAAGATGCCCCCCCCCCCCAGTAATCTGTACTCTGCATGCCAGGTGTACACCCACAGCAGTCTTGGCCTGTTCGACAACAACATTGCCTGAATTACCATATTTTACCAGTCATAAATCGACCCCCCCCCCCCTCACTTGTAATTCATTATTTAGGTCCTAGCTGTTAGCAGGGCGACTTATGGCCCGTAAAAACTGTACCTGGTCCCGGGCATGCCTAAACCGGTGGACCAGTCACCCCCAGCATTGTGTAGTCCCGGCAGCATGATGATTGCAATCGTTACTGTGCAGTACTCATTGAGTGCTGCTGCTATCGTATTTTCCGGAGAAAAGCCGCACTTAAAACGCCAGTAATTCACCCAAAAAACGTCGATGCGGCTTTTACTACGATGGTCAAGTTAATGGTGATAAACAGGGTCTGTATTTCGTGAAAAAATCTGTGTGTGGCTTATAGTCAAGTTCTGCTTATACTCCGGAAATTACGGTACATGTAGTTTTAACCCTTTAAGAGCCGCCCCATACTTGAATGCAAAACTTCAAAAGATCGTAACTCAGTCCAATCTCGCTCAAATCAAGTGATCGAAATATCCAGGGCGAAGAGAAAACTATCACCTGTCGGGAGAAACAATCCGCAAAGCGCTGCGAGCAACGGTTCCCGAGATAAATCACTCGTAAGTTGAGCCGCGATCGCGGCAATTTCAAAAGCGCGCAGTGCGACTTTAGTATTGAGAATTTTGAGACTTGTCGTCACGCTGGTTTACTCGAATTTGCACGGGTTTCACTGTTGATATTGTCAAGAGTACACAGCGAAAAAATTGGAACTCCACGATCGAGTAAAATGAAATATCTGGTGCGGGACGCAATTGGACGCATTTGGGGCATTTTTCGTACTGTCGCTGCGATCTAGCGCTGGATAGACGGTGTGCTGGCTATCATGATCGACCTCATTCTCTTCCTCTCGCGGAGACCTTTCCAGGAAGCCCTAGATTGTGAGGATTGAGTGAGTAGAACTGAAGCTATGATCCAAGGAACACGAAAAAATGCAGAATTTTGAAATTTTCCTGTGGCTCTTAAAGGGTTAACTCGGATTCTCATGTGTTTCTTCTCTTTTTTACATGTAGTTTTGGTTGATTTTTGTTCATGTTGCCCATATTGCGCTCTCGTGTCCTGTTGCTACGTTTAGACGGTGCTGCTCGCTCAGCTGGTCAAGCTTGGGCACAAGCGCTGCATCTTTGTCGGCCTCGTCTTCCAGGCCATTCAGCTCTTCTGGTTTGGTCTGGTCACGTACAAGTCATGGTAAGGCCCGCAGGCGGTCTCTTCTTTTTGCACTGTGCCAGCGGCCACTTGCCCTGTGTCGTATTTTCTAGATATGCTGCACCTGATGGACTGTGAGTGACGTTGAATCTGCCGGGCAACAAATACTCAAGTTTTCATTGAATAGGAAGTGCTTCAGTAGATTGATACTGTGACATGAGATCCAACCTTGTGAATACAGAATATCCGTATTGCCTGCACAGCTTTATGACTGCAATATTCATGAGAAGTTTGTTTGCCTCTCCGCTTTAGCATGCTAGTACCGTAGCTTCAGCTGCAACGTGTTTTGCTTCTCCACGGTCGGGTGACATGTTGGAATGCACGTGATGCGCCGCAACGTGCAATTAGAAGAACCATGTTGGGCTTTGAGTCTTTGTCCTAGCGTCCGTGTCCTTTCTGTTGTGTGCCTGCAGGATGTTGTGGGCAGCTGGTGCTATTGCATCCATTTCTGCTGTCAACTATCCTGCGCTAAGTGCCCTTGCATCTAATATGGTTGGCCTGGACCAGCAAGGTAAGGACTATTCACATAGCTGCTCGGCTCGGTTCATGTACTGCAATAAGGAGAGTACATAAACCAGAGTGTGCAGATCCGGGAGAATCGCTCTATGGTGATTTTCTTGGTTTAGATCATAGTGACTCACCTTGCTGTATCTTGCACCAGTTCACTTGGTCGTTTGACTGTATCACCCCGGTTCAGTGTGAAATATATTGCCAGTCTTTATCCGGACAAAGACTTTCACGAGTTCCATATCCTGAGGTGCTGGTAGGCACGCTTGCTTGGGTTGTACAGTACCGGTCAGAGCAAAGGAAGTACTTAAACGTACATGCATACAGAAGTGCATAGTCGGTTCGAGTATTTTTGCGAAACGAGTACTCGCTCTTTTCACATTTTCGAGCAAGTGCTCAGGTGTTCGATATACTCGTTTCACCCCTAGACGAAGTTCGTACAACTTTCGTTAACCTTGGAACGGCCTTGAACATTTTCTCTGTGTTTTCGTACGAACCATGTGCATGTATTCGTTGTGTTGTGCTTCTTTTAACTTAACTGCTAAACTGTGCTTTTTCTCATTGTTCCTTGCAGGCGTTGCGCAAGGCGTTATCACCGGTGTACGGGGCCTCTGCACCGGCCTTGGTCCGGCCATCTTCGGCTTCCTCTTCTACTTCTTCCACGTGGACTTGAACGACGACGGCCTCGGGCTGACCACCCTGCCGCCGGCCACAACCTCCATGCTGAACCAGAGTCGTGTTTCAGCTCCACCGACGCTCTCACACCAGCATCCGCTCAGCCGATTCAAGCCACTGCTGTACTCGACGATAGATCCCATTCGCTTGCAGGTACTGTGCACGTACTGTAAAAGCCATTATTCCCGTAGCTATGCAGCAGACGTTACTTCAGTAACGTCTCGCGCTAGCCAGGGTTCACACAGCTTTAATTCCCGTAGCTATGCAGAAGACGTTACTTCAGTAACGTCTGGCGCTAGCCAGGGTCCACACAGCTTTAATTTGGTGTTTGTTTGTTTGTTTGTGTCACGGCCGGAGCTATCCCGTATCTGTCCCGTATCTGTGACTACAAAGGCTCTACAGGATTGTACATAACAGCTGTCCACAATATTTGCGGGCTCCTGTATCTGTCCCGTACCGTACCAAAATTCGTCGTATTATGTATACGACTCCCTGCTGTAGAGGGAGATTTGGAAAGAAATAGGGAGACGAGGAGGAAATTAAATTAGAATAGACGCCGATTAGGTGATAGGATGCGTCAGCATAAACATACTTTGGAAGAGAGATCCCGTCGTCTCCAAAATAAGCGCGAACGAGCGATTCAGGGCCGGTCACAGGAAACGTCGGAAGAGAGATCCCGTCGACTCCAGAACGCCCGTGATCGGTAGAGTCCGGCGGTACCAGGCAACGTCAGGACAGACATCCCGTTGAGTCCAGAACGCCCGTGATCGGCAGAGTCTAAGCCGGTCCCAGGAAACGTCAGGACAGACATCCCGTCGAGTCCAGAACGCCCGTGATCGGCAGAGTCAGCGCCGGTCCCAGTAAACAATTTCGACGTGAGCAGCAGGTCACTCGCGTTGATTTTTCGACGTGCGAGCCAAATAACGCGAGCTGAACTTTCGCGTCGCAGACATCCCGTCGACGCGCAGAAAAACTAAATCTGCAGCCTCTTTTGCCGTCGGACAGGATACGTATTTTAGGAGACTGTAAAGTTATGTAATGTGCTCCACAGGCAACCATGCATTCGGCGTCGTCATTGGCTCAACAGGTCAATGTACATGTATTACTACAAAAAGGCCAGAAAATCCGATCACTGTATTAAAATCAACTAATGTTCGCTAAAGTTGATTGTTCCAACTAGGAACACACGCTTCTTGCCGAACTTGACACTTGACTGACTCACGACTGCCATCCGGAGCACACGAGGAGCACGTCGCACCTTCCACTCGGCAAACCTGCAAGAAAGCACCACTCCCTGCTCAATACACGGTGTTTCGGGGAATTCACCCCTCATCAGTTGAGCTTGAGTAGGCTGAGGAAGATTGTGCCTGAAAAGCACCACTTATATACTGCTCTCCAGGCCAAACCATCACCAGGGATACAAACTTACAGAGACGCTTTGTTTCCAGCGCGACAAACACCTCGTGAAGCTCCAGGTAGCAGCGTGAGTCAGAGTCGCTCATGGAGTTGTGATAAACAGACGTTGAGAGCCAGTATAGCTATTCGCAACGCCGTCACCTCCAACAACTAGTCGCACGTCCACGTGAGGGACAACAATACGAACTTAGAAGTTGCGACTTCGGCGGTAATAGTCATGAAGTTGATTGTTCCAACTAGGAACACACGCTTCTTGCCGAACTTGACACTTGACTGACTCACGACTGCCATCCGGAGCACACGAGGAGCACGTCGCACCTTCCACTCGGCAAACCTGCAAGAAAGCACCACTCCCTGCTCAAAGCGCTCAAAGCGAAACAAAGCGTCTCTGTAAGTTTGTATCCCTGGTGATGGTTTGGCCTGGAGAGCAGTATATAAGTGGTGCTTTTCAGGCACAATCTTCCTCAGCCTACTCAAGCTCAACTGATGAGGGGTGAATTCCCCGAAACACCGTGTATTGAGCAGGGAGTGGTGCTTTCTTGCAGGTTTGCCGAGTGGAAGGTGCGACGTGCTCCTCGTGTGCTCCGGATGGCAGTCGTGAGTCAGTCAAGTGTCAAGTTCGGCAAGAAGCGTGTGTTCCTAGTTGGAACAATCAACTTCATGACTATTACCGCCGAAGTCGCAACTTCTAAGTTCGTATTGTTGTCCCTCACGTGGACGTGCGACTAGTTGTTGGAGGTGACGGCGTTGCGAATAGCTATACTGGCTCTCAACGTCTGTTTATCACAACTCCATGAGCGACTCTGACTCACGCTGCTACCTGGAGCTTCACGAGGTGTTTGTCGCGCTGGAAACAAAGCGTCTCTGTAAGTTTGTATCCCTGGTGATGGTTTGGCCTGGAGAGCAGTATATAAGTGGTGCTTTTCAGGCACAATCTTCCTCAGCCTACTCAAGCTCAACTGATGAGGGGTGAATTCCCCGAAACACCGTGTATTGAGCAGGGAGTGGTGCTTTCTTGCAGGTTTGCCGAGTGGAAGGTGCGACGTGCTCCTCGTGTGCTCCGGATGGCAGTCGTGAGTCAGTCAAGTGTCAAGTTCGGCAAGAAGCGTGTGTTCCTAGTTGGAACAATCAACTTCATGACTATTACCGCCGAAGTCGCAACTTCTAAGTTCGTAATGTTCGCTGGCGATTTAATTTCGCTGATTTCGCCGCTTGGTACCAACCGGCCAAAGTAAATCGCAGGCCAACGTTTGTCATATAGGCAAATTATGCATGATTAAGCAATGGATGCATGTGAGAGCCAAAATACCTATCGATTTCAAATTTGACGTGAAACTGCGCGTCACGTCGGAAATAACGTGCATCTTAACCTCTCTAATAGAGAGGTTTCTATTTCTCATCGGCCAAAATTTGTTGATTTACAATATAAGGAGATAAAAAGAAAAGAAGGAGCAAAACAAAAGTAGATGATTATTAGAGAAATAACAATCCGCAATAAATTCTGCAAATACTTTTGCCTAACTCATAATATTCAAACCGATTGAAACGTTTTTGCAATAAAGTGATGTGGCCAATCAACGAAAAAGACATTCCCATCAGTTCTTATAACATGTACGATGAGCTAGGCAAAAAAGCATAAAAGCATAGCGTAGGGCCCTGAGCTTCCAAGCTCTCTCGTTTGGTATTTGTCTGTTTGTTTGTGTGTTTGTGTCACGCTTGGCGCTATCCCGTATCTGTACCGTACCATCAAACACAGCTGGCCACATACAGCTGGCCGCAATATTCAATTAGGGCTTTCAAACGCAAGATCATAACGTGAAGCCACTTGGAAGAATGCGTATGAATGCGAAGTGTATGGGGGAATGCATGTAGGGCGATAGTGCGGGTTCGAATCCCAGGTTATGCCTAAAAATAGGGGAATTGAAAATTTTTTAACATCCCTATCCTTTTTTGCCTAGGTCATCAAGGCGGTAGACGGTGTCGTATTACCCTCGACCGTACCTGTCCCATACCGTACCGTGCCATCAAAGACGGCTGGCCACAATGCATATTCACATAGGGCTTTCAAATGCAAGATCATAACGTGAAGCAACTTGGAAGAATTAGTATGTATGCGAAGTGTATCGGGGGATGCATGCAGGGCGATAGTGCGGGTTCGAATCCCAGGTTATGTCTTCAAAAAAAAAGGAGAAATTTATATGAATTTATAACATCCCTATGCTTTTTTTGTCTAGGTCATCAAGGCAAAAAAAGCATAGCGTAGGGCCCTGAGCTTCCAAGCTCTCTCGTTCTAACGAGGCGCATATATAACGATTTCCTAAAATTGACTGGCTTACGTGAACAAAAGGTAACGATTCTGACTCATTCGCAACGCTCAATGGCAACAGTATTGTATCGATTTCCGTATAACGATTTCTATTTTAACGACAGATTTCTCCTCGTTAACTCGTTAGAGTTAGCACTTCGTTATCTATATGGGTTTAACAGTATCCTATAATTATAATACTGTGGCTGGGTGATCTCTGATCCAGTGCTTCTCCTAGCCCACGGCACTTCTCTCACTTGCTATTGACTTCCCCACGCGGGCGTATTGCTGAAAAGAGGGCTCTCCTCTAAATTTGCTTGTATGGCACACCCCTGTTCACTTTCTATCTATCTTGCTCGCTTCTATCAAGCTTGGCGTATTTCTCTCCAATGCACTTCAACTTGTTCATGTGCTATCTCCTCATCGGGTATCAAACACGTCTAAATGTATGTGTGTGTGTGTGTGTGTCTGTCTGTGTCTGTGTGTGTATGCATGTATGTGTGTATGTGTGTGTGTACGTGCATGTGTACGTGCATGTGTCTGCCTGTCTGTTTGTCTATCCTGTAGCGCCCGATGGCTGGCGCACCGTTCCTGCTGGGTGCGTGCCTCGTAGTCGGTGCGCTGATCACCACCATTCACTTCTCGCCGCGCCGCGTCGGACTGCGCCCGGACTCTCGCGTCATAACGCTACGCTCGGTCGCGCCAACGACAGCCTCTGCTTCAACTTCTCTCCCGATGTCGTCAAGACACAATGTAGCATGACATGTGCGTATTGTGTCTGTGAGTATACATACCTTCATAGTTTTAGTCTCAGTGAGTAGACATGCATATCTGTTAGCGCTGCGCCTTGAATCGCATCATAATGCTACGCTCGGTCGCGCCAACGACAGCCTCTGCTGCGACTTCTCTCCCGATGTCGTCAAGACACAATGTAGCATGACATGTGCGTATTGTGTCTGTGAGTATACATACTTTCATAGTCTCTCTGTGAGTAGACGTACATATTTTTTAGCGTGGTGCCTTGAATCTTTTGTTTGAGATTCCATGCTGCTTCATGATATATTTTTTTATTATTAACGACCATGACAGTGTTTACATGCACATAGAAAAGAAGAAGACAGGATTTCACATTCAGAAAATTACAATATGCTTACATTTGAGTGCTGCTCATGCGGCGACAGTCGCCCTCACAACACACGGCATCAGTCTAGATTACGCGCCCATCACGACAAAAGCACGAAACGCCATGCCTGTCTTGCTTTAGCACAATCTGCAACGTGATTTTGTTCGATAGTTTTTGTTTTTGTTCATGCCATGCGATTTGCCAAACATACCGATTTTTTACCGGTATCAGTGTACATATAATACAAATAGTTTCACTTTTGGTGACCGCACGGCACACTCAGCCTCAAACCCCCGCCATGTATGCATGGTACTGACCGCTCTATTTTTTTTAGATGAACTCTGCTCGCGATGAAATCTTATTGCAGTGATATGGATGCTTTGGCAGCAGTTAGGTGTTATTCTGAACATTTCTTTTCACCACTCCTAGCGATGCTTTTTTGCAATTAAGAAAAAATAAAGACTCTCCTTTCCTCTACAGTGTTTGCGTGACACCGGTTACCAGTGCTTGTGGTCATGTGACGTGTGGTCATGTGACTTGTGGTCATGTGACTTGTGGTCATGTGACGTGTATGTTGTGAGGAGAAGACGGTACGCAACTCGTGTGTGTTGTGTTGTGTTGCCTGGCGTCTTGAGAGAAGTGTTGCGCAACCTGGCTGGAGCGACTCTTCTCAGGGCAACTCCTTGTTCTTGTCGGTACATGTACCGTAAAATCCCGCCAGAGCACCCCGTCTCTCCCATCCGCCCCTCCCTGACTTCTTGTCAGGGACGTGATTGATTGTATCCTCGTATGACTCTGTCGCAGTCTGTGATGCCGTACTGCACTGCAGACGCGTGCTCGACCCCGTTGGAAATGTACGCAACAGTGCCCACCCTCCTGACCAGGGATCACACAAACCCTGCGTTTTGTCGGGTCTGTTCGACTCCTGGCTCTTGACCTTTGGTCGGTGTACGAGATGCATGAACAGTTTTCGTAGGGTGAGTACTTTTTCATGTAGCACTGAATGCGGCAAGTAGGACTCGCCCATCCATCCCTCCCCACCTGAAGCGTCGAGGAGGTAGGGGCGCTCTGGCGGGATTTTACGGTACAATCAAGAGTACGTAAACCCTTGGTACAATCAAGAGTGATGTGAGTGTTTATCTACTCTTGCTACAATGTATGTACAGTCGACTACATTAGTCATGTAATAATAATTGTATGCATGTACATGTATATGCGGACCAGGGGCAGGGAGCTCCGGAGAAGGACTTTCATGACTCCCTAGCCTCGGCCTACAAGTGTCCCCTGGTACACATGGTAAAGCCCAGTTTAGTAAAGGCCTATAATTAGATACAGTGTACGTGTATAATCAAGAGTGCATAGTTTATGGACTCTTGATATAATAATTAGACCGCCGTATACGGGCCATATATTTTGAGGCCACTGCATGCACTCACTATGATAACGTCACCATGCCGGCCTGTGATCGTGCTTTCTAACTACATGACACACACACACAATGATTGTCCCTTTTCTTACAAACTTTGGGGGACTGCTGTAAGTACGCGCAGAATGGCGAAAATCAAACTACTGTGCATCCACGTCATACGTATGTGCTGTGAGGGATTATTATGCGATGGAGGAAAACGACGTCGCTCAGTCTCAGATGTAAAAAATATACACTCTGTCTACATGGTCTACATACTAGTCCTTGCCTGAATATTTCACCGATTAGATCTCTCACGAAGATATTCTTGTTTCTGTGGTATTGTTCTGTTGACGAACTGAAGACCACCATTCAATTCCTAATTTGCGTGTACACTGCTGTATTTGGTGACAAGAACAGAGAAGAGAGGACCAGGACCGATCGGTGTGAATTGGGAATAATAATTACATTTTTGCAGTGTGAAGCTATTTTGAATTCTCATTTTTCCTATTTCAACTGGTCCGAAGCACCATCAACTCCGGCTAGATTTGGCTGGTACAGCCTAGCTGGTGCTGGATGAGTTGGATCTGATGGTCGTAGAGTAATTTTCATTGGCAGGCTCTGTCCCATTGGTGGCCATTCATCCTATATCGTTTGAGAACAATGGCTTTGTTCGGAGCCCTACACACTGCTACACATGTCCTGATTGCCACTAGTGCATTTCTGCTGCTACTGGGCACGGTTGGCCGGGCTGGCGCATTCGACCCGTCAGAGCTGGAGATATTCGACCTGGTCGAGGAGCTGGGCACGACAACGTTCTACGAGCTACTCGGCGTCCAGCAGGATGCCAGCAGTGCTGAAATACGGCGCGCGTACCGCAAGCAAAGCCTCGTCTTCCACCCGGACAAGAACCACGAGGAGGGCGCTGAGCTGAAATTCCGGCAGATCGCGGCCGTGGCCGAAATACTGCGCGACGAGGAGAAGCGCGCCATCTATAACCGCGTGCTGGTGGAGGGCCTGCCTAACTGGCAGCAGCCGGTGTACTACTACCGGCAGGTTCGGCGTATGGGCACGGCCGAGCTGCTGCTGGCGGTGGGTATCATTTCGACCGTCGTCCACTACGGCTTCCTGTGTGCGGTCTTCCTGGAACAGTACTACCAGGCCGAGGTAGAGACGGCCAAGCGCAGCAGGCGCAAGGGTAAGAAAGCCAAGAGCGGCGGCCAGCCGGCGGATGCTGGCGACGAGTCTGAGGAGGTGCGCCGTACCCCGTTCCCCGGTCCGCTCAGCCTGCTGCCCATAGTGCTGGTCAAGAAGCTGGTGCTGTTCGTGCTCAACGCGCCGTCGCGCTTGCAGCAGTGGAAAGCGGAGCGGCAGCAGCAGCGGGAGGAGGCCGAGCAAGCCCGCCGCGAAGAGGATGAACGTCAGCGCCTGGCCAAGGAGGAAGCGGAACGCGCCGCAGAAATGCGCCAGCGCCGAGTCCAATACAAGCTCAAGCAGAAGCAGGATCTTGTGCAGGATCTGGGCGATGACGATAACGTAGATTGGGGCAGGGTACCGAACGCGGCCGAAGCAAGCACCAGCGAGGCGAACGACACGGCCGAGAACGAATCTACTCCCGCGTCGGCCAGGAAGCCGTGGACCGAGGAGGAGATAACGGCGCTGACGCGAGCATTTGTCCGCTTTCCCGGCGGCACGCTGAAGCGCTGGGAGAAGATCGCCGACGAGGTGGGCCGCAGCGTGGGCGACGTGACGGCGCAAGTGAAGCAGCTCAAGCACCGCGTGGCTAAGGCAGCAGTGCCACCGGCCGCCGGCCTGGAAGCGTCCAAGCGTGCTGCTCAGTCCAGCGAGCGACTGACCAAGGACATCACGGTGCGCACTAACGGCGATGCCGGCGGTGCCGCTGCATCCACATCTGCGACAGCGGCTGCTGCCACGCAGCACTGGAGCCAGGAGCAGCAGAAACTACTGGAGCAGGCACTGCTGAAGCACGGTCGTGACGCAGCTGATCGCTGGGAACGGGTCGCCGCCGACGTGCCCGGTAAATCCAAGGGCGAGTGCATGGCGCGCTACAAGCAAATTGCCCTGCAGGTGCGGCAGCGCAAGTCCACGGCTGCCCCCGTGCAGGCATCCAGCTAGCTACGGTTGAGCCACCCTGGTACACATGTATAACACAACCCACTATAATTATTATTTCGCTGTCTCTATTGGCACAGGCAAATACCTGTTCATGAAATCCACACTTGCCTGTCTTGAAAGTCTTGATCTTCACGTCATAGCGACGCTTATTTACTTTCTCTGCTTTGCTCGCGTTCAAAGCCTGCCGCATATTTTATAGGACTGTGAACAAGCTATAAAGTGGGTCTTGAATTTTTTTGGGCATAAAACACACCCTTCCATGTGCACATAGAAAATGTTTTAACACTACTATAATTATATTCTTTCTTTACCCAGAGAGAAATAAAGGTTGAATTCACTGTATTCAAAAGCTGGTCTCTTCATGTTTCTTTCCTGCTTCCTGAAGCCAGTGTTGTGTAATAGTGTGTTGCTCTGATCCAGGGAACTGAACACATTGTGTTTCAGCTTTCAGTGAGTTTCGAAGTCTGAAGAAAATGTTGAACGGTTGCTGCTTGGATGACAACTACACCGTAGCTTAGTGGTGGAGCATCGCTGGCCATCCCTGGTTCGAGTCCTGGTGGCGACGGTCAATTTTCTCTTCAGACTTTTTCCCGCGGTCGCATCTTTGCCTCAAACCAATGGATACGTGACGTCTGATTTCAGATCAGATCAGTCTGGATGCGCTCGCCTCCACTCGATTACTTTTAAATTATTCACTGCACCGGCATGGCCGGGATGCAGACGCAGTGCTTCTCTCAGCTCTCGCTCGGCCTCGTCCATCCGCCCGGCATGAACTAGCAGCGTGCCATAGTTGAAATGCGCGTCGACGTAGTCGGGCCGGATGCGCAGCGCCTCGCGGAACGCGTCCTCCGCCTCGGCGTACTTCTTCAGCTCGCCCAGGACGCTGGCCAGGTTATTGAACGCCTGCGAGTTGTCCTGGTTGCCGGGAGCGGGCGCCTTGATTGCCTGTCGCAGTGCTAGCTCCGCGTCATTCAGCCTGTTCAACTTCATCAGCACGCTGCCGAGATTGTTCAGAGAGCGGCGCGCCTGGTTCGGATTTCCCGCCGCAAACTGGAACTCGGCGGCGGCCTTATCCAGCTGCCCGGCGGCGTGATAGAGGTTGCCCAGGTTGAAGTGCACGTCGTGGTACTGCGGCTCCAGTTCAAGTGCGGCGTTGTACGCGCGCAGTGCGTCGTCGTGACGACCCAGCTCTACCAGCATCATGCCGTAGTTGTTGTGCAGCTTGACGTTGTTCGGATTGGCCCTGACCCCGGACTCGTACAGCTGCAGGTCCGTGTTCCAGTCCTCGTTGCGATGCACCGTCTTCGCCGCCATCAGCAGCAGGGTGACCGCGCCGAGAACACACACCACTCGGCGCGATGCGGACGGCAACAGCGGCGAGGTCGTCAGGCGCTGGTATCCCATGGCAATGATCATGCACCAGCCGGCACTGGGTATGTAGAGCACGCGCTCGGCCACCACAAAGCCGACGCGGAACAGCGCGCCCGTCGACGGCGCAAACGGCAGAACGAGCAGCGCCAAGCCCAGAGCCGGCTGCCATCCGGCGCGAGGCGACGCGAGCAGCTGGCGCAACGCCCCGAGGCCATACACCAGTAGCATTGCGTACAGTGCGAGCGACGCACAGTTGCGCCAGTCAAGCATCGTCTCGACGAGCGGCACAGAGCCCAGCGACCAATCGCAGCACAGCGGGGCCGGCCACAGCAGCAGCAGCGCGTTCCACGCGTAGATGTACTGGAAGCTGAGCAGGCGCACACGCCGATCGGCGTGGAACGTGGCGCGCATCTCCTCCGGCTTGAAGATCGGCTCTGTGCCGTGGTTCATGGCTAGACGCAGGCGCAGGCATACGCCGGCACAGGCCGCTAGCACTCCTACGCGTATCAACGCCGCCTTGAGCCGCTTGCCACCGTCGTTGTCACGTTTCCAGTGTGTGAGAATGTCGACGGCAGCGTAGACAGTGAGCACGGTGATGCCCTGCTCCTTGCTCAGCAACGACAGAACGGCACACAGTACGGCGACACCGAGCCAGAGCCACGCGTGAACACCACCGTCGCCGTCTTTCGTCGGCGGCTGTTGCTGCTCTTTCGGTCGTCCTCCGCAGGCTACGACGCGCCGCGCATACACGATGGTGCCGGCGAAGAAGAAGATGGCGGAAAGGACCTCGGCACGTCCGACCGTGTTCGCCACCGCCTCGGTGTGCACGCTGTGGACGGCGAACAGTAGGCCTCCGAACAGGCATGCCTGCTTGGCCAGACCGAACTCTCGCAGGACTCTCCAAAAGAGAGCACTGGCTAGGGCGTGCAGTATGGTGTTCACGGCATGGAACCACCAGTGGGCCATACCGAACGTCAGGTAGTTGAACCATCGATAGGACAGTACGGTCAGCGGCCTGTACGACTTGTGCGATTGCTCTCTGGCCATTGAGCCGCCCCAGAAGTCGTTGCTGAACAGCTGCGACAAGCTGCTCCGGTCGGCGCGAATGTCGTCGTTGGTCTCGATGCCGCGATGATCGTCGAACACTAGCCCACCTCGCAGTGTGTTCAGGTAGCATGCGCCTGCAACAGTGGCCACCAGTAACGCCGCACTCCAGCCCTGCAATGGCATTTTAGTCGAGCCCATTTTGTTCTTCCGTCTCTGCTTTCCGGTACTTCGATGGGCGCCGCTATTATTTCGGACTCCACAATGCACTAGCTGCACCGCGGTGCTCCGCTCATCAGTCTACATTTATCATGAGGAAGATCGGGTTGAAGAAACTCTGCAACGACGACGTCCGCGAAGCTTGTTCCTCGCATGAATGAAAAACATCGATCGAGATACAGACTGTAGATCTACATAATTAATAAGGCCACACTGAAGAAGGTCTGTGGTTCGACTCACCCGACCGACCGTACATTTTTCAGCCCGACCGTAACTTTTTTTCGGCGGGCTGTCGTGTGACTGACGTACGTGGACTGAACACGTCCACGTCTACGTGCTGTGCAGCGTGAGTCTGCGGACGCAGGCGGCTCCTTTTGGACTTGACTTGTAGTTGTACTGCAGTGCAGTGCAGTGAGTGGTAGATCTACGACTGCTGCCTTGTGCTGGTAGTAGAGTCTACTCGATACGACCACCGGCAGACTGGCGAGACTTATTTTGAAGTGACCGTCCGGTTGAGAGTGACTGCCTCGTTCCAGATTAAGGACGGCCTTCTGTTTTGGGATGAAGGACAGACGAGATTGCACTTTCCTCGTGTATTGGGAACGATATTTCACCTGTAACGGTAAGTTGCTGCTCCATGACTGTGTGCAAGCACAGGAAGCATCGATGGAAAAAGCCCATGTATTCGTGCACGCCGACACCAAACTAGCAATACATGTACCGGTACATTGTACAATTTGTACTTCGAAGTAGTTCCCGAACTTACTTTCAACTCGCATCGTTCTTCATTTGCTTGATGATTTGGACAGTCAGAGTCACCGCTTGAAGTTATTCTCTTCTCGTTCCAGAGCTACACAATGTTTCAAAGTATTAGCCAGTGATCCCTTTATACAACACTAGCAGCACCCCCGCCAGCGTTGCCTGGCCGAATGTGGCAAGCGGGTGAAGCAAGTACATGAACAGCACACGTGCTCAGCACGTGGTGGTGGCCAGACCGCTGAAGTCCTGGTGAGGGAGGTTCTTCATCGTTGGAAGGAGCTGATGATTCGCACGCTTCGCGTGCTCAGTGCTTCTGCGCGCGGCTGCTACTGCTACACGTACTGATCGTGCCTGCTATAAGGTTACGTTTGGTTGGTCACATTCCCAAATGGGAATCACTTGGAATCACTCGGAATCATTCTCGCCCGTTTGGTTGGTCAAAAAAGTGCGTTAGGTTGGTCACATTCCACATGATTCCAGAATGGGAATCGCTGAGAATGATTCTTTTTGGAGAATGATCATTCCACCTCACATGCTGGAATGAGCATTCTCATTCCGGAATCAAAAATGATAATGGCTGCCACGAGCCAAACAATGTAGCAACAGGTTCAAGTGCCTCAAATCATGCACTCAGAAGTACCATGACTCTCTCAAGGAAACTAGAGTCGGGTAAAAGAAAAGACAGCCGCCGTTCCACAAAGACATCATGGAATTGTTATATCAAGTGATTCCTAATTGATTCTGGCGCGTTAGTTTGGTCAGGTGATTCTTGCCGATTCCCATTCCCGAATGGTTGTCATTTACATTCTGAAAATGACCAACCAAACGCAACCTTAGTATACATGTAACATGGTATAAGCGCTACCACCGTACCCGTACCGACACTGTTCGCACGCTTCGCGTGCTCAGCACGTGGTGGTGGCTACACGATTCGAACGCTTCGCGTGCTCAGTGCTTCTGTGGCTATGGCCGGCTGCTTCCGCTAGCTACACGATTCGCACGCTTCGCGTGCTCAGTGCTTCTGCGGCCGCTAGCTACACTGTGCTACACTGTTCGCACGCTTCGCGTGCTCAGGGCCTAGGCCAGGCTAGGGCAGCGCTGGCAGCTGCATGCTCCGCAGCGCTTCAGCGTGACACAAAAACACACGTCACAGGTGCCTCTTCTTTATAAGGAGCGTGACACACACACACACACACACACACACACACACACAGACACACGTCACAGGTGCCTCTCTTTTATAAGTAAAGAAGATGTATGGCATAACACTGCGTAATAATGCCGATGTACTGGGTGTCTTAGGCCGATTCCACACTACACCAAATCCTGCCTAAAAAGCCATTTTTCAGGCACTTTTCAGGCAAGTTGCCATGGCGATCACTTTGAGAAACGCGCGAAAGTGAAAAGTGCTTGTTGTCTACAAAGCAACACCAGCACCCTCTTTCAAGGCAACTTTTTACCTTTTCAGGACACTTTCTGACTTTTCTTCAGCCTTTCGATTTTTTTCCGAATGTGTTCCCTGTCGTACATGTATGTTTCAGTTGTGGTGAGTTGTGAGCTGTCAACAATGCCTAGGGTCATGTTTAGCCAGGAGCTTGAGGGCAAGCTGATCGAGCTTTGGAGCGGATATTTGAGGCGACCTCCGGCCGGTACAGTTCGCAGGAGCTACGCCGGAGGAGATCGCCATCAAGCTGAATTTGTTTGCTGAACAGCTCCGGGAGGAGGCAATATACTGCGTCGATCGTCCATTCCAAAATCGACAACATGAAAACGAAGGCGAAAGGACTGTACGAGACATACACAACGAAAACTGCCACCGGAATGTCTGTTGGCGAGGTTGACAAATATTCGACCTATGATCTGGAATCCGCCTACACAGCGCGCGCTAGCGTGGTCAAATTTCAAGATTGGGCACGCGAAAATGGGTGATATTCGAGGATTTGGCCCAACAAAGAGCCTCTCCACTACCGCCGTTGCTAGATCAAGCACAGGAAAGCCTCACAGTCTAACCTTCAAAGCAAAGTCCCGTGATCGACACTTGTAGGTGTGAATGCAGCTTCACTTTATAAGCCACTTTATGCCTTCAAGGCAAAGCCACTTTCGGCGTAGTGTGGAATCGGCCTAACATGGTCTAAAGGCAGTACAGTGTATTTACATGTACTAAAAAATATATTTAAAAAAAAAATCCGCCCGCCCGCCCGTAAAAAAAATGTCCATGTTAGTCGAACCACACACCTTCTTTAGTTTGGCCTAACAAGAGTATTTTTTTCTCTTGATATTGATCAGAGTATTATCAGAGCCGTAGCCTGGCGTAGCTAGGTCAAAGCGTGCCATGCAGGGGATGACATCTGGACATGGCACACATTAGTAATAGGTTTTTCATTTGACCCGACGAGACCACACGACGCTTGCAGACCACAGCACGAACAGTTCACCAGCCACACTCCACGAAAGCAAGTAGTATTGTAGCGTGGCCCAAGTGGTTGGGCACACAACAACCAACAAGTCTCACCAGAGCAAGGAGAAGTGGTTGAAGAAATGAAGGATGATCTTTCTTCAGAGACAGAGCTTTTTATATGTGCCAAGACTAAGAGAGTTCAGGTTTCACATAACAACGAGCAACGGTTTAGACCAATCAGGAGATTGGTCTAGAGAGATGGCACAGATTCGGCCAATCAGAAGACATGTATTGGAAGAAAGTAAAGAAAAAAAGGAAAGCTTCTGAAAAAGGTAGGTTCGAACTTCACATGCAAAGGATACTAGTCTTATGACTGTACAGGTTTTAACACACCAAGCTACAGTGACACAGGCACTTGACTACAATGCAACAGGTACAAGGTTGAAGAATCTGCATGCTCTACATGGCCCCCTCCCAGATTGAATCACGTCCTCGTGATAATGTGAATATTGTAAAAATAAAAATGAAACGAAAGAACCCAAGGAAGAAGCTATATAAACTGTGTGTTAAGCCAACCCAACACTATATCTAAAAAAACTCAAATCTCAATCTCTCAAATCTTCACAAGAAAATTGTACATATCAATTGTTCTTGACTCTCATTGACGGTATCGCACCGGCCTCTGGAGATTTGCCCGATTGCGTAAGTTATACCCACCTGCCTGTGGCGGCATGATCGGAACGGCCGGCACAACGGGAGCTGCCGGAACAGCCGGGACTGGAACAGCCGGAACTGGAACAGCTGGAACTGGAATAACCGGAACTGCCGGAACCGGAACAGGCGGAACTGGAATAGCTGGAACTGTGTCTTGCACGTAATCAATTAGCGCCGGTTGAGGTAGGTGTGCTGGCACTGGAGCGTGCTGCTCCTCCGGTACTTGAGTCGTTGACTTGAGCCGGTTGATGTGCACCACCTGGAGTTTCCCTGTATCACAGTGCTCAATCCTGTACACCACGTCATCGATCACCTCGACAACTCGATACGGCCCGGTCCATGGCTTGAGGAACTTCTTTGTGTTGCCTGCTTTCACAGCTGGGTTGTGTAAGCGCACCTTGTCATTGATCGCAAACCGTGGCTTGGTCGTCTTTGCATCATAGTAGTCCTTCTGACGTTTCTGTGCTTTAGCGCCAGCTGATCGAGCGTGAGAAAACGCCTGCTGCAAGGAGATCTCGAGACCAATCATATAGTCAGGTACAGATTTGACATGTTCTCTGGAGTCGTTAAACATAATATCCACTGGCAACTTAAGCTCTCTGCCGAACATCAATCTAGCTGGGGTTTCCTTGGTTGAACTATGTACGCTACTACGATACGCCAGTAAACAGCGTTGAATATGCAGGTCCCAGTCATTGTGATTGGCATTGACTCTGGCACTCAGCATGTTCTCAAGTGTACGATTCATCCGTTCAACTAAACCATCACTAGAAGGATGATATGGAGTCGTGCGTGTCTTCTTCATATCTAACAGTTCACAGATGGATTTGAACAAATTTGACTCAAATTGCGCACCTTGATCAGTGTGGATAGACAGTGGCACACCGTAGCGACAAATGAAACCATCAATCAGTGCCGAAGCTATTGTCCTAGCAGTCATATCCGGGATGGCAAACGCTTCTACCCACTTCGTGAAATAATCAGTAATCACAACAATGTAGAGGTTACCTCGATTTGTTCTGGGCAGTGGTCCCATGATGTCCATAGCGACACGTTGCAGCGGAAATGATGGTTGGTCCACCTTCATCGGAGCGCGAGCGGTTGGTGCTGGGGTACGCCTAGCTGAACAAAGCGCACACGCCTTGCAATGCAGCTCAATGTCAGACGACATAAAAGGCCAATAGAATCTAGCTTTCACCTTCTCTAGAGTACGTTCAGTAGCGAGGTGGCCACCACTACACTCATTGTGCATCCCAGTCATAATTCTCTGTCGCAAACTGACAGGTACAACAAGTTGCAGAAATGAGTTGCTACCATCTACTGAAGTGTACGTACGATACAATAAGCCATCTTGCAGAACCAGCCGTTTCCACTGACTCCACAGACGTATCAAGGTTAATGATGCTCCTTTCATAGCACTATCACTGCGTTTAGGCCTGTCTAACAATGCTTGTTGCCAACCAATCATGCAGTCAATGTCACTGTCTTCCGCTTGAGCTCTGCGAATATCTTCTGCACTAAAAAAATCTGCCCAATTGCTTCCAAGTAAATTGCTATCATCATTCGCATGTTCTGCAGGTTGTGATTCAACGTCAACATTACCCACGTATGCTTGATGTCCAGAATCCTGCGTCAATGCATCACCAGCTGCTGTATCCGGAGAGACTGATGGCACGGCTGTAGGGACAGGAATGGAAGACTGGGAAGGACAGACAACAGTAATATTTGGATCCATTACTGAAGGCTCGGCAGTGGCCGATGCAGGATGCTCCGAATTGTCCGCAGGTTGGCTATGGAACCGTGACAATGCATCTGCGTTGGCATGCTGAGTACCTCTACGGTGGACAGTTGTGAAATCGAACGCTTCTAGTTTCTCCAACCATCTCGCCAGGATACCTTCCGAATCCTTGAAAGACTTCAACCAGAGAAGGGCTTTGTGATCGGTTCGCAAGGTAAAGTTTGCACCCAGCAAATAATGTTTGAAGTATTGCACAAAGAAGACCACTGCATACATCTCACGCCGAGTTGTGCCGTAGCGACGTTGGCTCTTACTAAGTGAACTACTAGCATACGCAATTACCTGCTCTCTGCCCTGATCGTCAACCTGCGATAGAGTTGCACCAATACCAGTGTCAGAAGCATCCGTGTCCAGGATAAACTTGCGGGATGGATCCGGGTACGTCAGGACAGGAGATGACGTGAGCTTCTGCTTCAGGATATCGAACGCTTGCTGACACTCATCCGTCCACGAAAAGCTTGCCTGTTTCTGCATTAGCTTGTGTAGCGGTGCTGCAATTGTCGCGAAGTCCTTGATGAACCGCCTGTAGTAGGAAGCAAAACCTACAAATCGACGAACCTCGGTTGCAGAGCTAAGTGGTTTGAGACTGGTGACCGAACTGCAATTCTTGGGATCAGGGCTCACACCACCTCCCTTGAACACATGCCCAAGATACGTAACCGACTTGCTCAGAATCTGGCACTTACGAGGCTTGACCTTCAAACCTGCTGCCCGGAATTTTTCAAATACTAGGCGCAGTCTAACCAGATGTTCTTGAAATGTTTTCGAGAAAGTTATGGTGTCATCTATGTACGCTGAACATACGCTTGGCACAAGATCACCCAGAACCATGGTCATCAGGCGCTGGAAAGTTGCTGGGGCATTGCACAACCCAAATGGCATGACTTTCCATTCAAACAATCCAAATGGAGTGACAAATGCTGATTTCGCCCTTGCTGCATTAGTTAGCTCTACCTGCCAGTAACCGGATGCAAGATCTAGGGTTGTGAAATACTGTGCGTCACCCATGTTGTCTATCGCATCATCAATCCGCGGAATGGGGAATGCGTCTCTGACAGTTACAGCATTGAGTTTGCGATAATCGACACATAGTCTAATAGCTCCATCAGGCTTCCGAACAACAACAATAGGGGCTGCCCAAGGACTGTTGGAAGGATCGACTAAACCCTCAGCTAAAAGCTGCTCAACATGTTCACGAACCTCATTTGCATGGTGAAGCGGCAATCGTCTAGGGGCTTGGCGAATAGGCTTGCTGCTAGTGGTCTCGATGTCGTGTTTGGCAACACCGGTAGAGCCAAGATCCATTGCTCCCGTTGAAATTATGTCGCTGAACTCCGAGAGAAGAGACCTGACGGCTGCTGCCTCTTCTGTATCGAGATGACTAAGGTCAAACAACTCAACAGGGTCAGAACACATATCAGCAGCATTACAGCTTTCAGCAGTACAACCACGCTCATCCGCGGCTTCTGCGGCTTTCTCAACAAAGCAAGATTCGAACATGCCAACAACTGTACCCTTGTTTATAGTGACAGGCCGTGGTAGCAGGTTCTGCAACCTGACAGGAACAGTACTGTTCTCACTCACGGTCGTGACCACTCTAGCTGCACTGACACAAAATTTATCTACGAACGACTCTGTTGGCTCTACCATTCCGCACGATGGAGACATAAACTCAGTGTCACGTAATCTACCTTGCGTTATCAACTGAGAATAGCCCTGTAGAACAACAGATTCAGCCAATTGCACTGGAATGGGGTCTGTTTCCACTCTCTGACATGAAAGGTGCTTGGGCCCAACTCCCTGTGTTAATGGAAGGGTCTGATTGCTCAAGCGCAGACAGCCTTGTCCCAGATCCATAATACAACCGTGCCTACGGAGGAAGTCTATGCCTAATAGTACGTCAGGCTCAATGTTTGCAACTACCATAGTGTGCTGAAGTTGGAGGCTGCCAAACTCTAGCTGCACATCCACCGCTCCTTCCACAGTCACGCCACTGCCATCAACACTTCGGACTGATGTAGAAATTTTGTTTAATTTTATATGCTTATGTTGTTGATAGAATGCTGAGCTGACAAACGAAATCGAACTTCCAGAATCAACTAACATGTGGACATCAGTTATGCACATTGAACTTACTTTGCCGATAACATACTGGCAACTGTCAACAGCAACGGAATGGCATACTACATCGGAAGGCGCGGCGGGCAGCACTTCCGGGCCATGGTGGTTTGGAGCTGACTCTGGACCCTCTATGCCAACTCCCGGCCGTTTCCCGAAGGGCGCTGACGTTGTCCCCGGGGTGGAGGTGCAGTCGGGCAGTACGCAATCAGATGTTCGGCACTCCCACAATGGTAACAGCGGCGCTGTTGTTGGGGTTGCTGCTGGGGTTGCTGCTGCGGTCGCTGCAAAGATGACAGAGCGGTTTCCAATCGTTCCATCCTTACTAATAAGGCATCCAAACGATCTTCCCTGGCAGCACAGACAGCCGCGGCCACTGGCTGAGACGCACTAGTAGTAGCGTCCGCTTGGAGTATGGCAAGTGCTCGAAGTCCTTGCTGCAGTGCCTGGTCAAGAGTTCGGGGGTCTTGGCGACGTACCTCCATGCGCAACTCTCTGCTGTCCAGACCTTCAATGAATTGGTCACATGCCAGCTGGTCCTGCACGAGGTTTGGCAAGGTAGGGTACGCTCTGCGAGACAATCGGCGAATCACCTCGCAGTAATCAGACAACGCCTCCTCACCTCGCTGTCGTCTGGCCTTCAATTCCGCTCTGTGGAGGTCGGTCCTGACGGGTGGAGCAAACCGACCCTCCAGAGCTACCAGTAATTGCTGAACATCCTGGCGTGTCGCGACAGGAAGCGACTGGTAGTAGCACTGCGCATTATCTATCAAGTACAACGGGATGTACTGTGCCTGGTCCTGCGGCGTCCACTGATTAACCAGGCAAACTTGAGTGAAGTGGTCACGCCAAGTAGTCCAGTCCGAGGCTGCTCCACCATCAAAACGTTCCGGAGTTGCCCATGGCCGGATGGGTCGAACGGGAGCTGGCTGGGCGGGCTGAACTGGCTGGGCGGGCTGAACTGGCTGTGCGGGCTGAACTGGCTGGGCTGGCTGCACTGGCTGGGCGGGCTGAACTGGCTGTGCTGGCTGGGCTGGCTGAACTGGCTGGGCTGGCTGAGCTGGCTGAACTGGCTGGGCTGGCTGGGCTGGCTGGGCTGGCTGAGCAGGCTGGGCCGGACGGGGCGGCTGGGCCGGCGGTACTTGCTGGTTAGGCTGTGCTTGGGCCATTCCGAACCAGGAATCACTTCACATTGTCACAACAACAAAAACATAGCATGAAAAAAGACCGAAACATCCACCGCTGCCACCAGTTGTAGCGTGGCCCAAGTGGTTGGGCACACAACAACCAACAAGTCTCACCAGAGCAAGGAGAAGTGGTTGAAGAAATGAAGGATGATCTTTCTTCAGAGACAGAGCTTTTTATATGTGCCAAGACTAAGAGAGTTCAGGTTTCACATAACAACGAGCAACGGTTTAGACCAATCAGGAGATTGGTCTAGAGAGATGGCACAGATTCGGCCAATCAGAAGACATGTATTGGAAGAAAGTAAAGAAAAAAAGGAAAGCTTCTGAAAAAGGTAGGTTCGAACTTCACATGCAAAGGATACTAGTCTTATGACTGTACAGGTTTTAACACACCAAGCTACAGTGACACAGGCACTTGACTACAATGCAACAGGTACAAGGTTGAAGAATCTGCATGCTCTACAGTATTACTCCTGACAAGTCTTGTTTCGTTCCATAATGAAGATGGCAACAAGGAATCATGGCACACACTACCGGATACCACTGGATACGGGTAGTTCACATTTCGCGACACTCTTCAGTCTAGTCACTAGTCTTGCACTACAACCAAGAGTCCATAACCCGCGTTATCAGTTATGGACTCTTGCTACAACTACAAGTACAAAGTAAAGTGACAGTTACCAGGTTACCATGGTTACCTTGTAGAGTTGAGTTAGTTAGTATTAGTAGTTGCATGATGTTTTGTGGTTCTGTTCTCGCCCGCTCATTTGCTGATTTGTGGTGTTGGCGCTCTAACTTACTTTGCTTGAGCTATGACATGATGATGGTGTCTTTCATTTTCCATCCTTGCATGGCTCTTCGAGTCTCTGCCTAGGCATGCATAGTGCCACCATTACACATGTGCCATGCCCATAGCCGGCGTTGGGGCAGGATGACCCCTGCTTCAATGAGCCTGGCCTAGGCTAGGGACAGTAGGGTACCGTGGTGCTCATCTCATCTTCCTCGCCATCTCTACGCTTCAGTCTGCTTCAGCACTCGGTCACTACACGTAATGCACAGATGTACGTGTAGCACTGAAGCTTCCCCGGCGCCAGGGAGTCGCATCGACCCGGGGTTTCACGACTCCCTGCTTCACGCCGTGAGAAAGCAGCTGTACCGCAGTACCAAGAGTATAATTATAAGCTCCCAGCTGGGAGCTTATTTATAAAATAGTAATATTTCCTCTTGGTAGTACCATGTACCAGGGTGGACAGATTTCCGCCGAGCACACACCGCCATGGCAATCATGATCACAATTGAATAGGGTCTACCAGACCTTCTCACACCAAAGAAAGAGACGGGACACACGAACAAATTGATAGGAGAGGGAGAGAGAGAGAGAGAGAGAGAGAGAGAGAGAGAGAGAGAGAGAGAGAGAGAGAGAGAAGTTGCAAAACAACGCAAGACTGCGTGCAGTGCGGCGCTGAGGGGCTAGTATCTTTGTACAGCAAGCCTGGCAAATCATCCTATGGCGCAAAGAATCAGCCATCGGGGAGAACACTAGAGGTTTTATCAAGAACAGCAGCTGTACAATGTGCACATGGAACATGCCGCGGATAGCCACACTAAACATAACACAGTCACAAGTCAGTCAAGACAGGATTAAAAACACACACACACACATAGAAGAAAGAAGATCAGAAACCACAAACGAAACATTAGACTGAAACACTAGGTGGACATCAAAATTACAGAACGCTACAACTGTACACAGGCGGAACAAGCCAGAGCATCATGTGAAAATATACAAAAAAAGAAAGCAGCAGGGGACGACGAGCACTACTCAAAGAACTCGCGACCAAGATAATGAAAGCCGAGTACACACCCAACAGTAGAGAAGCTGGCGAGACATTGCGAAGTCCAAGTACAGCTGTATCCAGCAAGGATACGGCGCAGAGCGGGCGGCAGAAACCTACAGCTGTTACAGCGAGTTACTTACTCCATCAGCAGAATAGGAGCAGGGCACAGCACTTTACGACGCGGCGCTCGAATTGTTGATGGGAGTCACTGTGGAGGAATGGGCAAGACAAGGATAATGCAATAAAATTAATGCTCACATCGTGTAACAACAAAATCAATGATATCATTCAATCAACACAGAACCCACTACTACTGCGCCACTAGTTGCCGCTGCTCCCTCCTGCTTCCTCTCCTCAAAGGTAGGGTGGTGTTTGTCCTAAAAAAAAAACAAAAACACTCTAAACCCATGATTTGAGCGAACAGACAACTGGTCACGGCCAATTTGGCCTCGGGGCGTGATGCGGGACTCAACAGCTGGGAACTTCCCTTGGACATGCTAGCTGCTGGCAAGGATATACTCATTCAAATTCACACTAAGACTCGGAACTTCGGAAAGGAAAAGGAAGAAGGAAAAGGAGGTAAATCAAGTGGTTAGATTTTCTAAATGTTCCCGATGTTGTAGGTGTTCCCGATGTACTCATGCGAGTGGCTAGAAAACATTTGAGCTTCATATAAGCAAGGTGAAATGGCGAATGGAGATCGAATGTCAGATGGAGACCGATCGAGAGCGCAAGCCCCGCACCAAAATGCCTTCGCTGGCTTGCACCGCTGGTCCAGCGCATCTAGAGTTCATAGTTTCCTCTCTTCAGGAGTTTTCCAGGATACCCAAAAAAACACAATTAATTGTCCATGGGGAAACAGTTACATCCAATCAAGATTAAGTTGAAAATCATTGTGAAAAAGACGCAACTGGAACATGGTCTCAAGTAAACATAACGTCACACTCCTACATAACTTTACCTGAGTGGCCGGATCGACAATAGGTACAGCTGATGAGCATTCACGGTGGCGCTGTGGTAGTGGCACTGCGGCTGCTCCGGCAGTGAGGCCGGCCGGTGCTGGCTGTGCGGCTGCTGTGCCCAGCATGGGTGGCTGTGGGGTGTCAGCATTGCCGTAATACACGGGGAAGCCGGGCTAAGCAGGAACAAGGACCAGATCAGAAATAGACGGTTAGATCACCATGCAGCCATTGTGCCCTTCATGGAGGGGGGGGGGGGCTGTGGGTTGCCAGCATTGCCGTAATGAACACGGAAGGGCTGAGAAAGAACCAGGACCAGATCAGAAATAGACGGTTACAGTGTTACCAAGTGCCCTCTACCCCCATGCCCAGTGCCATTTTGCAGAATTTTTCAGAGTTTTGCGTACTCGTTTTTCAGGTCAACATTTTGACTGATTATTAGTGTAATTTGGGGAAAACGACACTGTACAACTTTTCCAGCCACAGAGTTCACTTGTGAAGCAGAAGAGTAACACGATAGGCAAGAGTGTACATGTATAAGATCATGCTCAGAGCTGTATACATGTATGTACCGTAAAGTCTTGTATAAAAGCCGCGGCTTCTATGACTTTCTTGGTGAAATTTTGCAGGGTACAAGACAGGTATTTCTATGTATGTCAACACTAAAACCAGGCTTATGTGGGATTTTATGGGCCCAAAATTGCGGCTTCTATTTAAGTGCGGCTTTTTTATACAAGACTTTACGGTATTTTAGTTAACCCTTTCTATCCGGTTCTTCTCTCTTGCTTCAGCACGGTCATGTAATTTCTTTCGTCTCCTTTTCTATCTTGCATATCCTCTGTATCGTCCGTGCCCTGTAAATATATTTATCACTCTTCTATATCGACCTCCACTAATTCTCGTGATCCTTGACTGGTCCTATATTACCAAGAGTCCATAACCCCCCAGAGTGTGCAACTCCAGGTTGGGGTCTGGCGCAACGAAATCCAAACATTGCGTCATCCGGTCCCCGGGCAAGCATGGGCGGATGGGGCCATGTGCATATCTGGTACATCCGGCGGGGGTTCCAAGTTGAAGCAAGCCACGGAAGTGTCACGTAAAACGTTTGCTCCACGGGCTATGCAGTGTCAGCAGAACGGCTTTGATTTCACAGTCACAGAATTTTTTTATTTGAAGAGAGTTTCTCTGCTCGTTGTCTGAAAAGCTTGTATTGGGAGAGTTCGTGACTCCGGGATAGCAAGAATAGGCATGGATATAGATTTACAAGATTTGATGGAAATAGCTCTTGGCACACGGCATGAAGACCCGATCGATTTCGAAGTACATGTAGATGTGCTTCAACCTGCTCCTCAGTCCCATTTTGGTACATTTTGGTACAATTTCCAACACTCGACAATCGAGAGAAGAAAATGAGGAGCCCAGATCGAGCAAAAACTGACGAATATCGTCCACAGAGACACTGCACTCCGGCGACAATGGGGAGCGCTTTGCTTTAGGTTCAACAGTGGCCATTGTTCTTCTCTTATCGGAGAGACACTCAAAAGAGAAAACTGTTCGACAACTCTAAAATAATTCTTTGTGTACTTGAGCCTTTCAGTTTCAGGCGTGTTACGTGGCCGTGGATTCGTAAAGAAAGACCCCAAATTGGGCAAACGGGCGAAGTAGGTCCGGGCCAAACTTCCCATTTCGTCATAGCTACTCACTACATGACGTATGAAGTTTGGATTTCGTTGCGGCACTGATTTGTGCTGAGAAGGATCACGAGTTGCACACTCTGGGGGGTTATGGACTCTTGATATTACCCATATCGCCGCAATATCGACCGCTTATATCGACCGCTTGTATCGACCACTTAGGCATTGTAATCTTTCGACTTTGGAGGGACTTAGAATTTTTCTCTCCACTTCAAAAAGAAAAATTGAAAGAAAGAAGACAAAGGAAGAGAACAAGCAGGATTCGAACCCACAACAGTATGAATCTCAAGCAACCCCTTATACCACTCAGCCACTGTGCTGCAGATGCTGAACTTTGTTGTTCTTACAGTCTTGTACCCAAAATAGGCAACATCCTATGTACACTATAGTACAAATGCTATACTAAAAAGGTTAAAATAGCTCCTAACGGTTCAAATTTTGGGGTTATGGCAAAGGAATCGTGATAAATAGGATATTGACCTCGACTTCGGTCTATATGGGAAATATAGGCCGAGTAAAAGACCTCGGCGGACCTCGGTCTTTTACTCGGCCTATATTTCCCATATACTGTATAGCAGAAAATTTTCGGACGGAATTTATTTTCGTACGATTTCGTACGCGGCCTTTTTTGTACTAAAATTACTTCCGTACGAAAATTTGTTCATGTGAAATTATGTACACTATACATGTGTTCTGCTTGCAAACACGTGTATTTAGTATGCAGCACTGTACGAAAATATAATCCGTACGAAAGGTCGAAATTCGTCTTTGTCCGAAAATATTTCCGTCCGAAAATTTCCTGCTATACAGTAGACCTCGTCTTGGTCAATATCCTATACATATATATATATATATATGTCCTGGTGGTGACAGTCAATTTTTTCTTCAGACTTTTCCCGTTTGTTTCTTTCCCTCAAAACCAGTTAATATATATACTGGTCGGTCTCAGTTCCTGGAACTTTAGAGCGTATGATACTGTTGTGTCCTGCTCAAGGCAGGCCAACTCTTCGAAAGATGAGAATGAATCATCAGTAAAACGCAATGGCTTTTAAGGGGAAGCTGGCTGAAAAGGCGCCTTGAAAGGTGACATGTGAATGTGTTATGCGCAAGTCGCCAGAGGTCCTGCAGTGCAGGGCGTAGGGTGCGAACAGTAGCACTAGCAGCCTAAGTGCTAACTTAGCCTAAGACCCAGGCAGGGAGAGGTGCTACAATATCACCACAGATACACAACAGCGAGAGTGCGTTTTTATCCGAATACAGGCACATGCGCCTATAAGTGCGTTATTACGGTACACTGCTTTATGTGAACTCCGTCCAAATGGGGGGGGGGGGGGGGGGGATGGCTATTGTCATTCCCCCGTACTCGCATGTCAGCAGGCCACAATTTTTTCAAGGCCATCTCAGACAAAGAGCATGGAAGGGGCATTACCGGCAGCAAAACTTACAAGACAGCCTCTGGAGCTGGCAAACCTCCCGCCGCGTACCACTTAGCGTCAGCCGGGGCCGTGGGCGGCATGTGCGACACAAACTGTTGCTTGGTGGGAGGGTGTGGCAGGCCAGGGGCCGCAGCCTGCGGTGCAGCCGCCTGAGGTGGTGGTCCTTGCACGTCAGCAGGGCCTGGCATGTGCATGGGCTGCGGTGTTGCTAAAGCCGTTGGTTGAACCACACGTGCAACAACGGGCTGATCGGCAGCCTGTGGGACTTGCGGTGCCTGCGGCTGCTGCTGCTGCGGTGGCGGCATCTGCTGTTGTTGCTGTTGTTGTTGCTGCTGGGACGCAAACTGTAGCAGGATCTGTTCCTGATGCATAGAGCGCTGCTGAGCTTCAGTGAGTTGATGTTGAATGTTCAGCATCGTCTAATCGTGCTTCATCACCGCCTGGTACAGCTCCTGCAGCTGCTGGCTGGAGGACTGTTCTAGTTCTTGCTGCTCAAGCTGCTGAGGCTGGTGAGGCTGAAGAGAGGCAGCAGTAGCAGTGGCCTGAACAGCTGGAGGGTTCTCAGCAATCATGACACCAGCCGGTAGAGAGCGCTGCTGCTGCTGCTGCTCTTGCTGTTCCTCCTGCGGCTGTAGCCGAGGCGACTGAGGCTGGTGAGGCTGAAGAGAGGCAGCAGTAGCAGTGGCCTGAACAGCTGGAGGGTTCTCAGCAATCATGACACCAGCCGGTAGAGAGCGCTGCTGCTGCTGCTGCTCTTGCTGTTCCTCCTGCGGCTGTAGCCGAGGCGACTGTTGTTGTTGCAGCTGCTGCTGGGGCGCAAACTGTAGCAGGATCTGTTCCTGATGCATAGAGCACTGCTGAGCTTCATCGAGTTGATGTTGAATGTTCAGCATCATCTGATCGTGCTTCATCACCACCTGGTACAGCTCCTGCAGCTGCTGGCTGGAGGGCTGTTCTAGTTCTTGCTGCTCAAGCTGCTGAGGCTGGTGAGGCTGAAGAGAGGCAGCAGTAGCAGTGGCCTGAACAGCTGGAGGGTTCTCAGCAATCATGACACCAGCCGGTAGAGAGCGCTGCTGCTGCTGCTGCTCTTGCTGTTCCTCCTGCGGCTGTAGCCGAGGCGACTGTTGTTGTTGCAGCTGCTGCTGGGGCGCAAACTGTAGCAGGATCTGTTCCTGATGCATAGAGCACTGCTGAGCTTCATCGAGTTGATGTTGAATGTTCAGCATCATCTGATCGTGCTTCATCACCACCTGGTACAGCTCCTGCAGCTGCTGGCTGGAGGGCTGTTCTAGTTCTTGCTGCTCAAGCTGCTGAGGCTGGTGAGGCTGAAGAGAGGCAGCAGTAGCAACCGCCTGAACAGCCGGAGGGTTCTCAGCAATCATGACACCAGCAGGTAGAGAGCGCTGCTGCTGTTGCTCTTGCTGCTCCTCCTGCGGCTGTAGCCGAGGCGTTTGCTGAGGATGATTGTCTGTCTGACGCTGCGTGGAGTAGCGCTTCAGCTTGGCCCCGCCGCCGCTAGAGGGTGCCGCAGCTGATGTTGCCGTTGCTGCTGCCGTAGCGCCCACTGTTCCAGGACGATTGGTCTGGTAAAGGGCAACACGATCAAGGATGGCTACGGCAGCCTCCAGATCTTTTGGTTTGTCAGTGTCGATGCTCAGACTGCCTGTCATGTTCAGCGTGACCGTACGCACCGTGGTCTGCGTTGCCGTAGTAACAGTGGAGCGCCGAACACCTTCTTTCGGGGCACTTCCAGGGCGTCTGCTCGATGCATCTTGAGCCTGACTGTTGGCAGGGGGACGGCCACGACCACGGCCGCGACTCTGCGTTCCTCGTTGTTGGTTGCTGGTAGCAGGGCGCCCGGTGTTTGGGTCATGTTTTTGTTGCTGGTGCTGCTGATCAACATGTGGCTGTTCGCGCTGTCCACCAGCTGCTGTTGGTTCCGACGAGTAGTTGGCATTGCTGGGAGTACCGGAGGTGCACGCCGTCCGCTCCTCACCGCCCATGCTGCTTGCCTGTCCAGTAGAAGATGCCTGCTGCGGCCCGGACTTGGCTGGTGCAGGAGCAGCTCTGTCTTGCCCCTGTTCACGGCCACCGTCGCTGTGCTGACTGTTGCGCCAGTCGTACTGCTGTTCGGCTGGGCCATTGGCTCGGGATTGTGCCTTGTAACCACCAGCATCGCCACCACTACCGGCGCCATGCTGCAGGTGACGCAAGCCACTGTGGCGCTGGCGACCACTGCCGCTATCATTATCTTCACTGCGGCGTGCATGTTGCCACGGTTGACCCGATCGGTTGCCACGCCGATGGCGCCGCCGCCGTGCACTACCACTAGCAGCACCGCCGCTGCCCCCACATTGCCGAGGCTGAGGACCGGACACCAAGCGGTGATCATAACTAGTACCCATGTGGCCACCAGACCTGAAACCAAGAAAAACAAACAATGGTATCAGCAAACACAATGTTTTAACCCATGTACATACGACAAGTCTTCAAAACAACACGCCATGTAGGACACGTGTCAGCAAGACACCAGCAGTGTTTGGTCGTACCGCATGTTTTCTAAATTGTACTTCAAACATTGCATGCTGTGCTCAGGCATTTCACGCAACAGCAACGCTTGGTCACACAGCATCTAAACCGTACACACTTTGAATGTTGTGCAGCCAATCCACACTCGTTCAACCTTCGAGAGAAAGTGACCTCCACACATCAGCAAGCTGCTGGAGTGTCACGTGCTACCTCAGTACACTCAGGTTCTTACACCATAGGACATTCAGGACATTCAGGCATACGTCTTTTCCTCCGCTGGCTTTAAGCCAAGGCGAGGAGCTCTCGCGGTACGTTTTGGCGATTGCTTTACCTGCGGTTGCAGTTGTGCCGGCGGTGCCCGGCTTTGCTCCGCAAACAGCGGTCACAGGTGTGGCAGTGGTACTGACATTGGCTGCAATCAGGTGGGCGAGGTGCAACTATGTTGGAAATTGGAGCGTCACCAAGGTTGGGAGAGCAGCTGTGCACGGCAAGTCCACCTCGGCTAGCAAACCAACGAAGGCACGTTTCACACATAGATCATAGATCGGCCTAAGCTGCTCTTCCCTGCATTTGTGCCGAAAAAGTCGGCTTTGACTGGCGAAGAGTCGCTCACAGACCGCACAACATATTGACTTGGCTGACGTATCAAGTTGCAAGCGCCGTGCAACAATGGCAGCCGAGATAGACTGGATCCACTCGCCACGTTCACCTGCGAGGTCGTACCAACCGGTGTATAGACCAAACGCCTTGAGGCCATCACGTACCACATCACGCCATGAATGCCTGGGGCCATGAGCAGGGCGTTGAGCATTTAGCCAAGAGAACAACACTGCCTTTGGAAGCCAATGGTCGTCCATTCTGGCAATGTGGCCAAGCCACTACGGACATCGACGGGTAATCATGTCAGCAACTGGCTCTGAATGCATTCTATGCAGCGAGGCAGATGATAGGTGGTCCTCCCATTGTTTGGAATGCAAGATGCCGAGAGTGGACACGAACGCAGCAGTTGTGGAATTGCTCAAGGCGGCGTATGTCGGCACGCAACAGCAGTGGCGTACCCAGGGGGCCCGGGGTGCTTTGGATGCTCCAGCGCCCCCCCCCTCAAATCTGTGTCGACATAGGCCAACTTGATGTACCCATGCCGCTAAAAGTACCATAACTTGGCGATCGATTGTTTGATTTACGCAAACAACGGCCCATTGGAAAGGTCTTGAGAGCGAGGCTATTCATTGAGATCCATTGCACTTGCTTCCTCCATTACCTGATTCTATTTCTCCATTTACCAGAAGCATGATTATACAATGTAAGGTCTTGGGAGCTTATTTACTCTTGCCAGAAATTGTGATGGAAGTTTTGCCTTCTTGCACCGTATGATTCAATATTTGAAGTAATGTATTAAAGTTGTTACTAGTACTTCAACGTACATTAGTCAAATTCAAAATGTTTTCGTGATAATGATCCAGCACTATTAGTGTACTCTGGGATCTAGCTTAAAGAGGAAGTACAAGTTGTCTCCATAGAGACGGGTACGTTTGGGATTGGGTACTTCAAGGCCTCATGGTTGCTCCATCCTACAGAAAGGTCCTATATTCTCCCTCAACTTCGTAAATCGTGGTAAATAGCGCACTAAAAATCAAGATATCAACCATCCATGCATGCACAGGAATAATGCATTATTCGGTTCTTTGGGGAAAAGGATGGAACACCCCCTCATTCCGGATCTTGCGCACGCCCCTGAACAGTGTCCAGTTCTCAGACCCGTACCACAGCACAGACAACACACAGCGTGTGTAGTGTGTAGTTTCGTCTTCAAAGTAGAAGGGATGTGTTCTGAAAAACTGACGCTGCGGTAGAGGCTGCCAAAGGCCTTGGATGCAGCAGCTATGCGGTTGGACACATCAGCGTGGCACTATCCGCCCGGTGTTATAACCGAGCCAAGATAAGTGAATTGGCTGACATGCTGTATGGCATTTCCTTGTAGCGGGGTACGGTCGCTGCCATTGAGTTGGGGCCCAATAGTCATGAACACTGTCTTTGTCATGTTGAGAGACAGCCCGAATGCTCCACTGACCTCCGCAAATATCTCAAGCATGCGCTGAGCATCCGAGTGGCTGGGTGCAAACCGTTGGCAAGGCTGCATATTCAGCAAACTCACCGTCTGTGATGACCATAATTATCATTGCCACTGTGACGCTTAGATCTTAGACACACACACACACACACACACACGCACACACACACGCACCGTAGTTAACTCTACTGGGCAAACTCGAAATGGGAGGGCCACTAACACCAACAAAACACACACACACACACCCACACACACACATATCGACATACATGTACGTACCTTGGTAGATCATTCAGATCCGCTCTGTCATCGTCAATCGTGCTGACCTCATCATCTTCATCGTGCAGGCGGACATTATCATCAATAGGGGTTGCCTAGAAAACAGCAAACAGAAAGAGAGCAGTTAGCTGATGTGACAAACCAGGAGTCGCAGAAAATGAAGCAAAACAGGCCATTGGCACTAAGCAGAGCTACTTTCCCACTCTCGCGAGTCGCGACACTGGCTTCAAGGACGGCCCGTTTCCAGGTGGATACGTCTCTTACTCACCGCAGAGGAATCATCTTGCTCCATTCTGACGCTGCACACCACCCCGAGGAGACGCACGTTAATCCGTCCTCAAGCCGTCCAATACAATGTTGACAAAACAAACTAGTCACGTCACTAGAAGTATAACAACATGCAACAGGGCATAGCACATGCAACCTTCCCTGAGCAACAGCACAAAGAAATTGACTTTCGAAGTACGATGGCCCAGTATTGGTCAAACAATGGCATAAGTACTGTTCTGGTCAGGGAAATCCAGGCGTGGCAAGCGCCAAGCATTGCAAGTCCGTAAGCGCCAAGCATCGAAAGTCCGTGAGCGCCAAGCATCGCGAGTTCGCAAGCGCCAAGCATTGCGAGTCCATAAGCGCCTAGCATCGAAAGTCCGTAAGCGAGGCTAGCGCTGTGCTGGCCTGCCCAGACCTTGCAACACTGGACTGTGCACTGCTGCAAGGTGCTAACTTACTGTATTGATCCGATTATAAGTCGCACACCTTTTTACACTAAAAAATCAAGGGTAAACAAGGGGGTACCGGGTGCGACTTACAATCGAGCATGACTTACTACTGAAGTGAATATATCGCAACAATATTGCTCAAACCTGAAAATGGGGGTGCGACTTATAATCCAGTGCGACCTAGGCTATAATCGGGGAAATACGGTACTTGCCTGATCTCCCTCGCCTGGTGTGGCCCATGCGTCATCACTTGATAAACACGGATGCGTTTTAGTAGACCCTGCTGATAAATTAGAACCCTGCAAAGCATAGTGTCGCTGTGAGTACAGCACGCATGCACGAAGTTGGGCTTGATGAAACACATGCGGCAAACTGCCATTCAGTCGCGCTCCTCCGAAGGGTAGATCTACGACGCGCTGTGCATACACTATGGTGCCGGCGAAGAAGAAGAAGAAGAAGAAGAAGAAGATGGCCGAAAGGACTTCGGTGCGTCCGACCGTGTTCGCCACCGCCTCGGTGTGCACGCTGTGAACGGCGAACAGTAGGCCTCCGAACAGGCATGCCGGCTTGGCCAGACCCTTCGGAACTCTCGCAGGACTCTCCAAAAGAGAGCACTTGCCAGAGCGTGCCGTATGGTGTTCACGGCGTGGAACGACCAGTGGGCCATACCAAACATCAGGTAGTTGAGCCATCGATATGACAGTACGGTCAGCGGCCTGCACGACTTGTGCGATTGCTCTCTGGCCATTGAGCCGACCCAGAAGTCGTTGTTGAACAGTTACGACAAGCTGCTCCGGTCGGCGCGAATATCGTCGTTGGTCTCGATGCCGCGATGATCATCGAACACTAGCCCACCTCGCAGGGTGTTCCCATAACATGCGCCTGCAACAGCAACCACCAGTAACGCCACGCACCATCCAACCCTGCAATCGTATTCTCCGAGTCGAGCCCATTTTGCTCTTCCGTCACTCCTTTCACTTTTCAGCAGTCCTTCGATGGGCGCGTGCCGCTCTTTCTTCGGACTCAACAATGCACTCACATCATGTACAGTGGTCCCTCTATAATCCGGCACCATTTGTGCCACGAAAATCTGCTGGATTAGGGAGGGTGCTGGATTAACAAATCTGATTTACTGCTGCAATGTGCATGAAGAGGACATTTTGGCTACTGAAAATTGTGCTGGTTTATCGAGGGTGCTGGATTATAAAGTGCCGGATTAGAGAGGGACGACTGTACATGTACATGTAGCTGCACCGCGGTGCTCTGCTCAACGACCTACCATTTGCATGCGGCTCGACGATAGCGAGCAAACCAAGTGTTCATGGGCAGTTTACGCGTATTTAATTTTCTAAGGCAAGGCAGACTTTTTATTTACAACCTTGGAGCTCACGAGGAAGGAAGAAACTCCGCAACGATGACGCTCGCGAAGTTTCTCGCACGAATGAAAAACATCGATCAAGATACGTACATGATTGTACTGCATGCTGTGGACATGGAATGGAAATCCGGTCGCACGTCTAGCGGCCTCAGGGAGTCAGGGCGCTGGCCATGCAGTCGTGGGTAAGCGGTACCGGTACACATATGCAATTACCGTAAAGTCGCGGATAAAAGCCGGGCTTATATAAGCACATAACGTCATAACTTCCGACATAAGCCGCTTTCTGCATCAGGCTTCAATGCAAACCAGGCTTGTATGCAAACCATGCTTGTATGCACCACTGATATTTTTGCCAGGCTTGTATGTATGCACATCGGCCGATCCGGGCTTGCATAGAAGCCAGGCTTCTACGCGCGACACGTAGATCTACCACTGACTACCGGTATGGCGGCAGTTTTATACAAAGGTTCAAGAGTTGCCTATAAATTCGTGGGCAAGATTAAAATTAAAAGCAACACAATTCGAAGAGAATTGGTGAGCACACATGCTCATTCCCTGGGCACTGCAAATTCACAACTCATTTCATTTCACAGAATCATTTTCAACGCAATGATGAGAAAACAAGAGGGGTAAACACAATAACTTTATCAAAGCTGTTGACTCACGCATACACACATACACACACACACACACACACACACACACACACACACACAGAGAAGATAACAAAGATACTCAGTACCTAGACTGCAGGAGTTGCAAAGAAAGTTAAATCAATGCAGCCTCCGCGTTTGCGAGGACAGCAGACTGATCATTGACGCGGCGCATCCGCCGGGCACCGCGAAGGCAGGCAACACTGGCACGCAGGAGACCAAAACCAAGACCGACAACGCAGCAACGCCATCACCATTGCGTATGGCTCTCCGGATTTCTCTGCAGACAGAGCTGCAATTCGCTTGAGAAGAGCGGAAGCAGCTCGACCGGCTCCACCTGTGGCTGAGAATACGACAGGCACGAAGGAGGCTCGCTCAACTTCTTGCACCCTCTGACCAAACCTGCGACGCTTCTCGCGCTCATGGCTCTGGTAGCGAGAGAAGAGGAACGGTTTGAAGGAGCGAAAGGGTTGAACACCCGTACATCAAGATAAACGCGTTCAAACCGTCCTCCCCACACGCCACTCGCCGCGACATCCAGACGGGCCTGATCCTCGGTGGACGCCGTCCGGTAGCGGAAAAGCTCGCCGGTGAGGGGTTGGAGATGAGGCTCTACTTCTACGCTGTGTGCCACCTTCTTAAGTTGGCCAGCGATGATTTCCCCTACCCCATTGTGACGAAGCGTCGGGATGCACTCTTGACCTACCCGATCCGCGCTTGCATAGAAGCCAGGCTTCTACGCGCGACAGGCTTTAATATATCAAGAGTGCATAAAACTGTTTATGGACTCTTGCTTATATGCATTGACCCGTTTGATTTTCAGGCTTCTATCCGCGATGTGCTTGTATGCAAACCCGGCTTTTATTCGCGACTTTACGGTATTGACATGAGGGGAAGTTGTCTAACTACTTGGCTTGACACTGTTGACAGATGCGTCGACTCTGCTCCTGTCTAACAGGTTCAGGGAAGATGCAAGCTGTGTTTATTATTACTTCAAGTATTATTATTATTATTATTATTATTATTTTTAAAACGAAGGTAAGTTATGGGTCGCAAATATCCACGCAAACACACATCCAGTCATAATAAGGCACTTGTCATAAGTATCCGAACGTTTTCGGTCCCTTCTCATCAAGGATTATACAGGGAATGGCTCAAGCTGGAAAGACTAAAACTTATATAGCGTAAAGATAATTAGATAACAACACTCGTGACAAGGTGGAAAATTATCAAGTTTAGCACGACACAAAACTCGAAGGAAAATAATAATAGTGACAACAACATAGTGAGCAAATTAAGTTACATTGTTACCACCTCGACGAGGAGTAACACCAAACAATTGTAGCGACAACACATTTTCTTTCTGTACGCAAAGTTCAGGATCTAACTTACGGATATACAAAGCTTCTAACACAGCCAAATGTAACGCACATCTACCACGTGACAATATTGAGAAAACATTATCACTGTACAACTCACGACAATTGGTACGGGCTGACAGATGTTGCTTGATTGACGAAGTGCGATTCTTAGCTCCATTGGGTGTTGTCTCCTCCAATGTCCCGTCATCTCGCCTCTTCGTGGCATCACCACTATCTGTCTCTTCGCGTTTCCGCGGCCTTCCACGTTTCTTGACACTAACCGTTGGGTGCGCGATACCCGGTGTCCTTTCCGTTACGTCTCCTCCATTGCGGATTTCTATTGAGCTTCTTACTCCAACTTGTCCGGTGTCCGATATTGAGGTTAGTTTTCGCGGTCTACCACGTTTTCGAATATTGACTGTTGTTGTCACTTCCGTTGTCGTTGTACGTTCGTCCTCATCAGTCCGTATTTTCACTTGGCTTCTCGTCACCCTTTCCGACGCCGACAGATCCTTTGTCAGTTTCGGTGGTTTACGTGTGGGTCTTGCACCATCTTTTATGCTGTTCTCAGCTGGCCCGCGTCCTACACACGCAGAGAAGGACGGGCATGCAGTCACATCTTCACGGGAAGAGGAAGACAACATGTGCCGTTAAGTTGTGTTCCGCTTGATGCGCGCGATTGTCGTCCTCGCCGTGGTCGTCCTCCAAAATGTGCTGTCCAGTCCATCGGTGGATCTTCCTCTTCCCGTGAAGATGTGACTGCATGCCCGTCCTTCTCTGCGTGTGTAGGACGCGGGCCAGCTGAGAACAGCATAAAAGATGGTGCAAGACCCACACGTAAACCACCGAAACTGACAAAGGATCTGTCGGCGTCGGAAAGGGTGACGAGAAGCCAAGTGAAAATACGGACTGATGAGGACGAACGTACAACGACAACGGAAGTGACAACAACAGTCAATATTCGAAAACGTGGTAGACCGCGAAAACTAACCTCAATATCGGACACCGGACAAGTTGGAGTAAGAAGCTCAATAGAAATCCGCAATGGAGGAGACGTAACGGAAAGGACACCGGGTATCGCGCACCCAACGGTTAGTGTCAAGAAACGTGGAAGGCCGCGGAAACGCGAAGAGACAGATAGTGGTGATGCCACGAAGAGGCGAGATGACGGGACATTGGAGGAGACAACACCCAATGGAGCTAAGAATCGCACTTCGTCAATCAAGCAACATCTGTCAGCCCGTACCAATTGTCGTGAGTTGTACAGTGATAATGTTTTCTCAATATTGTCACGTGGTAGATGTGCGTTACATTTGGCTGTGTTAGAAGCTTTGTATATCCGTAAGTTAGATCCTGAACTTTGCGTACAGAAAGAAAATGTGTTGTCGCTACAATTGTTTGGTGTTACTCCTCGTCGAGGTGGTAACAATGTAACTTAATTTGCTCACTATGTTGTTGTCACTATTATTATTTTCCTTCGAGTTTTGTGTCGTGCTAAACTTGATAATTTTCCACCTTGTCACGAGTGTTGTTATCTAATTATCTTTACGCTATATAAGTTTTAGTCTTTCCAGCTTGAGCCATTCCCTGTATAATCCTTGATGAGAAGGGACCGAAAACGTTCGGATACTTATGACAAGTGCCTTATTATGACTGGATGTGTGTTTGCGTGGATATTTGCGACCCATAACTTACCTTCGTTTTAAAGTATTATCCGCCTCCGACCTCTTTTAAAAAATTATTATTATTATTATTATTATTATTATTATTATTATTATTATTATTATTATTATTATTATTATTATTATTATTATTATTATTATTATTATTACCGTAAAGTACCGTTGATCCGCCCCCTGTCGATTTTCTCCTTGTAAAGCGACTTCAGCGTATACAACGAAATACGATGTTGAACCGACGCATCCACTGCCGTACACAATACTTGCCAATCCAGGATCAAAATGTGCACAATCCAGCACATTGAGACTGATCCTCTACGTTGTTGTACATCGTACAACCTTGACAGCCTTGATCTAATTCCCGCCCCCTGCCGAAAACCCAGCTGGGAAGCGACATGGCGTGGGGGCGGATCAACGGTACTTTACGGTATTATTATTATTATTAGGGAGGTTCTGCTCTAGGTTTTGGGAACGCGACGCAAAGAATCACGCGAACTTTCTTCGCGTTCCCGTAACGTAAAGAAATGCTGTTCTGCTCTACGTTTCACCAAGAGTACATAACCCCCCGGGGGTTATGTACTCTTGGTTTCACCTAGAGAAGTCACGTGGAATGTGTACTGGGAATTTCCCCTTCCATATTTGGCAGTTTTCTGCATGCAGTTGATCGACACCCAGCAAATCCGTACGCATTTTCTCTGCGTGTGCCACAACGTAGAGAGCCCCATCTCCGCGTAGAAATCTGGAGCCAAAACACGCGAAGCCGTAGACTCTAACCCAGACACCTGCTCTCTACGTGATTTCTCTACGTTTCACGTATAGCAGAACCTCCCTAATACTAGTAAATTAATCAAGAGTACATACCGGTAACCAAGAGTGTGCAACTGCCTGCACAACCTCTATGCTGTGCTGCGACGGCAGAACTTCACATCACGTGACATGGTTCAAAAGGTTATGCTGGCAAACAGTGCAAAGTGACCACAAGAGAGTTGTACCCAAAGCTGGGCTGCGTACAACCCAGTATCTATCATGCACTAGAGTGCACGGGGTTCAAAAGGTTATGCTGGCAAACAGTGCAAAGTGACCACAAGAGAGTTGTACCCAAAGCTGGGCTGCGTACAACCCAGTATCTATCATGCACTAGAGTGCACGGGTTCATCACGTGATGTGAAGTTCTGCCGTCGCAGACCCCATAGCTGGAGTTGCACACTCTTGGGTTATGTACTCTTGTTATTATTATTATTATACGTCTTGGCAAAAGTACATAACCCCCCTCTGAGTCTTGGTTACCCCCTTGATAACATCAAGAGTACATAGCAGCAGGGAGTCGTATAGGCCCGGGGTTTTTACGACTCCCTGCTTCCCGACGTGCGAAGAAAGCAGCCATGCCGTAGTACCATGTGCCATGGTGGACATGTTGCCGCTGAGCGCACACCACCACAGCAATCACGATCACGATAGGGTCTAACAGACCTTCACATACCAAAGAAAGAGACGGGACGCACGTACAAGTTGATAGGAAAGAGAAGTGGCAGAACAACGCAAGACTGCGTGCAGCGCGGGGCTGAGGGGTTAGTTGTTTTGTACAGCAAGCCTGGCAAATCATCCTATAGCGCAAAGAATCAGCCATCGGGGAGAATACTAGAGGTATCAAGAACAGCAGCTGTACAATGTGCATATGGAACATGCCGCGGATAGCCACACTAAACACAACACGACCACAAGCGAGTCAAGACATGGATTAAAAAACCCGCACATATGGAAGAAAGAAGATAAGAAACCATCTAACTTGGAAAGATTAGACCGAAACACTAGCTGGATATCAAAATACACAGCGCTACAACTGTATACAGGAACAACAGGCCAGAGCATCATGTGAAAATATACAATAAAGAAAGCAGCGGGGGACGAGAACGGCTCAGAGAACTCGCGACCAAGATAATGAAAGCCGAGTACAAACCCAACAGTAGAGAAGCTGGCGAGACATTGCGGAGTCCAAGTACATCTGTATCCAGCAAGGATACGGCGCAGAGCGGGCGGCAGAAACCTACAGCCGCTACAGCAAGGGTTGCAGCTGGGCCCGTCACTTTACGATGCGGCGCTCGAATTGTTAATGGGAATCTGTAGAGGAATGGGGAAGATAAGGATACTACACTGAATGCTCACCACGTTTGTCCTAAAAACACACTCTAAAAGCCATGATTTGAGCGAAGAGACAACTGGTCACGGCCAAATTGGCCTCAGGGCGCGATGTGTGACTCAACGGCCGGGAGCACCCCTGGACACGTCAGCTGCTGGCAAGGATACACTCATTTAAATTAATACTAAGACTCACTTGAGTGGCTACAAAACATTTCAGCTTCACACAAGTAAGGCGGCACCACTGGGTGTGCGCAGCCTACGGAATTACAGTAGAATACTGATAATAGACACCCTTGGCACAACGGTTACGCTATTTTTTTTACGGTACTCGTACCTTGATCACCCAAATAGCGTTGAAGCTGCAGCGTAAAAACGTTATGGGGGCTGATTTATCGTTGTGACAAACGGTACGTTTAAGACCAAATATTGCGTGGTTTGGACTCGGATGGAGAGCCAAGGATAAACTTATAGTAAAGAAAAAGGACCAAGAAACCACAAGTTACGCTATAATGTCCACTAACACCACCAGTTACTAAACAATCAGCTCATGCGATAACATTGCACGACACTGACCGACGTTCTACAACTAACTGGCTAACAGCTCTAGCTCATCTTGGATGCGCACTCCAACAGCCTTCCAACGTGGAAGGTTCTAAGTTATAGAAATAACATGAGGAGGGGAAGGTGAGCGCAACCAAGACAAGCACGAGCTGAACGTCTCAGCTGTGAAGGGCGTTGGCGGATGTTCATGCATGTCGATGACGATACTGGCAAGACCACTAGACAATACAGTCAAACCACGATTCAAGGACGCAAAGCAACATACCACAAAACTTGTGTGGCTCAATGATGCGAAGATCAATAAAAGAGGGAAGCTATGCAAACAAGAATCATGCAAAACCGAAATGCCTCAGTAAAACAGCACAGTACTTCGACTATGACAATTTAGATGGACAATAAGCAGCGGTAACAAGCAGCAGTTTCACACGACGATCGTTTCGCCGTATAGATAAGGACGGCTCATCAGGTGTGCAAGAATGGACTCGGGTGGAGAGCCACCTTCCCCTCCTCATGTTATTTCTATAACTTAGAACCTTCCAAGTTGGAAGGCTGTTGGAGTGCGCATCCAAGATGTGCTAGAGCTGTTAGCCAGCTAGCTGTAGAACGTCAGTACCGTCGGTCAGTGCCGTGCAATGTTATCGCATGAGCTGATTGTTTAGTAACTGGCGGTGTTTGTGGACATTATAGCGAAACTTGTAGTTTCTTGGTCCTTTTTCTTTACTATTGCGTAGTTGTACCCATTTCACATTATATCGTGTAAATGGCGCCATAAATGGTTGTACCGCGGGAATTAAAAGCTATACTCATGGCAACAGTGTACTAAAATTAGCATGCATCTTGCTAAAGGTCGAACCAAAATCTCGGTATTTTTCCCCTTACGATAATACCGTGACAACATAACGTCTTTTGCTAAGGGTGTCTAATTAGAATAGTATTATGATGTAATTCGAAGGTCCTGCTTATTTCGAACATTTTCCATGCACCGATTTCCGCCTCTACAACATCGATACAAATGAGCTTGATAATTCAAAGTAGATAGCAGTACTCGTATTTTTAATTGACCCAGAGGGGCCAGAGTTCATAGCTTTCCTCTCTTCAGGAGCTTTCCAGGACGTCCAAAATAAAGACAATCAGAAAAAAGTTATGTCCAATCGAGAAAATGTAGAGGGTGCAATTCTCTATACACAGTTGAAAACCCATACATCTTCACTCTCCAATCACTAAAGAAAAAGAGATCTTAAATTATTCGAATTTTCGGGCAAGGCCCATCTTCAGGAATGTATAGCGGATGGCTACAGTGGAGTCTTCGCATTTTGAGAAACAGTTGAAAATCATTGTCAAAAAAACAACTAGAACATTGTTCTCAAGTATAGTGGAGATTGGATATAAAGACACTCCTTCGGGAGAAGACAAAAAGTCGCTATATTCGATCTGTCACTAAACCCAATCTTCACATTTAGTATGCAATACCGTTAAGTCTTGTATAAAAGCCGCACTTGAATAGAAGCCGCAATTTCGGGCCCATCAAATCACACATAAGCCTGGTTTTAGTGTTGACATTTTTACATACATAGAAATACCTGTCTTGTATAGAAGCCTGCAAAATTTCACCAAGAAAGTCAAAGAAGCCGCGGCTTTTATACAAGACTTTACGGTATGTGCATGTATATCAAAATAACAGAAATGTATTGCAGACATGCATGTGCATAGTATACATGTACATGTACAGCTGTACATGGATTTCAGATGTGTCTTGCATGCATAGTTCAAGCCAAAAGTCATGCATAGCAACTACACCACTGCACTGCGGCTACAATGTGCAATGACCAGCACGCGTGGAGCGACCCAGAGGTCCGGGCATGTGACACAGGCATGTCCCATGCATGCCACTCCGCCTGATACAAGAGGAAAGTCGTTATATTCGATTCATTTTCAGGTCTTCGGCACCAAAAAAGTGTCAGTAAATTCGATCTGTTGTTATTTTCGAGGTCGTTATACCTGATCTATAATTAATGTACAGAAAGGACTTGCTATTAAAACGACTTGGGCAACAGAATTTTGTAGCTAAACTCGATTTGTCGTTATATCCAATCTCCACTGTATTAGTAAACACAACATCACACTCCTACATACCTGAGTGGCCGGATCGACAATAGGTACAGCTGATGAGCGATCACGATGGCGCTGTTGTTGTGGTACTGCGGCTGCTCCGGCAGTGAGGCCGGCCGGTGCTGGCTGTGCGGCTGCTGTGCCCATCATGGGTGGCTGTGGGGTGCCAGCATTGCCGTAATACACGGGGAAGGGCTAAGAAACAACCAGGACCAGATCAGAAATAGACCGTTAAAATCACCATGCAGCCGTTGTGCCCATCAGAGGGGGGGGGGGGGGGAGAAGAGGGGCTGCTGGTGGCCAGTATTGTCGTAATGAACAGGGAAGGGCTAAGGAGGAACAACCAGATCAGAAATAAGACCGTTAGGCCACCACACAGCTCCTGGGAGCATAAACGCACGGGACGGGGCTCACCGGGTCCAGAACAAAAGAAAGAAGCCAGCAGCAGCAGCACCAGCAAGGAAAACACAAGAACATGCCAGCTGGACGGAGCTAAAAAATCCAAGGCTACATACCTGCTGAACTCCGGGCACAGCATGCGGCGGCTGAGTCGAGTCAAAATACTGCCGGTTGCTGTCCAAAAGAGAAGCAGACACAAAGACGGACATGACCGAGAGACCAAGCATGTAAACTTCTCGCAAGATCTGGGCAAGCAATCTGGGCAAGCAATCACTTCCCAAAACATTTCCTCCCACCCATTTCGTAACAAGATGTTACTCGTCAACAAGGGATAGCAACATTCCATGGCGCAAACGTCATGGAACGTTGCAGTTTACTATTCACTACATAGAATCTTTATTCACAACTACTTGCGCAAAGCCTTTATCTCAAGCATGAACAATGAGCACTCACTGGTACAAATTCACCCGTCCATTGCTGCAGAATAATACAGTTCTGCTCAATGAAATCCAGTCGCGTCACACAAGGTCAAGGATTGCGCCTTGCACCATTCCGCAGCCCAGTGTTAGCAGGTCTGGGGCTGCGCAACGCACAGCGCGTACTCGAGTGACCCGACCGGATTATCATTGAGCACCACTGTAGTAAATGTACAGCAACTGTTGTACTCTTGCTTATCCATGTTTCGGGCATGCACACAGGGTGTGCAGAATTCAGTGCAATAGAACAGCCCTTGTGGCACCCGATGCACTGAACGCATGTAGAGCTGTGCTGACGTGCGTAAGATTGAAGTATGTACCCGCGCCTGTGTTCACGTATATACAATTCATTATGTAAACCAAGCCCAAATGGGGGATTATGTGAACCCCACCCAAATGGGGGAGGGGGATGGCTATTGTCATTCCGCCGTACTCGCACGGACCACTATCTTTTTCAAAGGCCATCTCAGACAAAGAGCATGGAAGGGACATTACAGCAAACTTACAAGACTGCCTCTGGAGCTGGCACACCTCCCGCCGCGTACCAGTTAGCGTCAGCCGGGGCCGTGGGCGGCATGTGCGACACAAACTGTTGCTCGGTGGGAGGGTGTGGCAGGCCAGGGGCCGCAACCTGCGGTGCAGCAGCCCGAGTTGGTGGTGCTTGCACGTCAGCGGGGCCAGCGCCTGGCATGTGCATGGGCTGAGGTGTTGCTACAGCCGTCGGTTGAACCACGCGTGCAACAACGGGCTGTTCGGCAGCCTGTGGGACTTGTGTTAGCGGCACCTGCGGCTGCTGCTGCTGCGGTGGCGGCACCTGCTGTTGTTGTTGCTGCTGCTGGGACGCAAACTGTAGCAGGATCTGCTCTTGGTGCATAGCGCGCTGCTGAGCTTCAGCGAGTTGGTGTTGAATGTTCAGCATCATCTGATCGCGCTTCATCACCTCCTGCTGGTACAGGATCTGCTGCTCCTGCAGCCGCTGGCTGTAGAACTGTTCTACTGCTTGCTGTTGTGGCTGTTGTGGCTGCTGAGGCTGAAGGGGGGCAGCGGTAGCAACCGCCTGAACAGCCGGAGGGTTCTCAGCAATCATGACACCAGCCGGTAGAGAACGCTGCTGCTGCTGCTGCTCTTGCTGCTCCTCCTGCGGCTGTAGCTGAGGCGTTTGCTGAGGATGATTGTCTGTCTGACGCTGCGTGGAGTAGCGCTTCAGCTTGGCCCCGCCGCCGCTAGAGGGTGCCGCAGCTGATGTTGCCGTTGCTGCTGCCGTAGCGCCCACTGTTCCAGGACGATTGGCCTGGTAAAGGGTAAGACGATCAAGAACGGCGGTGGCAGCCTCCAGATCTGCTGGCTCGTCGGCGGCGTTGCTCAGACTGCCCTTCATGTTCAGCGTGGCCGTGCGCACAGCGGTCTGCGTTGCCGACGCAACAGTGGAGCGCTGAGCACCTTCCTTCGGGGCACCTCCAGGGCGTCTGCTCGACGCATCTTGAGCCTGGCTGTTGGCAGGGGGACGACCACGGCCGCGGCCCTGCTTTCCTCGTTGTTGGTTGCTGGTAGCAGGGCGCCCGGTATTGGGGTCATGTTTTTGCTGCTGCTGCTGCTGATCAACATGCGGCTGTTCGCGCTGTCCACCAGCTGCTGTTGGTTCCGGCGAGTGGTTGGCATTGCTGGGAGTGCCAGGGGTGCGCGCCGTCCGCTCCTTGCTACCCATGCTGCTCGCCTGGCCAGTAGCAGACGATTCTTGCGGTCTGGACTTGGCCGGTGCAGGAGCAGCTCTGTCTTGCCTCTGTTCACGGCCACCGCCACCACGCTGCTCCTGCAGCTTCTGTACCTTGCGCAGCCTGTTCTGCTCGCGCACGTCCTGCTGTTGACGCAGGCGCTCCTCATCGGCCGGCGACGAATTCGCAGAGTTGCTAGCTGCGGCACGCGCGCCATCGCTCTGACCGGGATGAGAGCGGCGTATGCCGCGCCTGGCAACCGGCGTACGTGGGCCACTGTTGGTGGGCGTGGCATTGCCACTGGAGCCGTCGCTGTGCTGACTGTTGCGCCGGTCGTACTGCTGCTCGGCTCGGCCATTGGCTCTAGACTGTGCCTGGTAATCACCAGCACCATCACCGGTACCATGCTGCTGGTGACGAGAGTCACTGTAGCGTTGGCGGCCACTGCCACCATCGTTGTCCGCACCGCGGCGTGGTTGGTCCGATTGGTAGTCACGCCGACCACGACCACCCCGTGCACTGCCACCAGCACCGCCGCCACGTTCCTGAGACTGATGATCAGACGACCAGCGGTGATCATAACTATTACCTCTGTAGCCACCAGACCTGAAGCCATGAAAAGCAAACAAATTCAAACAATGGTATCAGCAAACACAATGTTTTAACCCATGTACATACGACAAATCTTCAAAACAACACGCCATGTAGGACACGTGTCAGCATGACACCAGCAGTGTTTGGTCATACAGCATGTTTTCTAAATCGTGCAAACATTGCATGCTGTGGCGCAGTCAATCCACACTCGTACAAGCTTCGAGAGAAAGCGACCTCCACACAACAGCAAGCTAGTGGAGCGTCACGTGTGACATCAGAACACTGAGGTTCTTACCCCATAGGACATTCACGCTTACGATTACAGTCAACTTTGAGTATTACGACACTCGGAGGGGCATCAGAAAATTTTCCTTATCCGCGACAGAGGTCTAGCCAGGATTTTATGCCAGCCGGCCAACGTTCTAGTTAAAATGCATCGTTCTGGGGGCTGCGCCCCCAGACCCCCGCCATCAGTCACGGATCCACACAGACACACACACACCACTACAAATCTTTCATTGCAGCTTGCATCTCCTTTCGCTTCGTCCAATTATGGGCATTCATCAGGCAGTTGTGAACGTGAATGTGATTATAGGTAAATTAACAAAATATGAAAAAGGAAGCAAACAGCTACATGAGCATGGATCATGTGTTCACCAACGTCATGTCTGCATGCAGTGTACATTGGTCATCTGACAAGACCCAGCCTAGCCACAGCCATGTACACCACCAGAAGCAGCGAACCATGACCCAACCTGTTACATTTTACTGACGTACTCAAGTGCATACTCAAGTGCATTTGAGCTTGAGTGAAGAGCTAGCACTGAGCCTGAGTAGCCAGTGCTAGTACTGTACTGTACATAACTACGCCTAGGATATGGGGCACTACAGTCTACATGGGAGTGACTGCAGCCGGCCAAAATTACCCTTGGAGCTGTCTCAGCCGGCAGGTCGCCCTCCCAGCCGGCATTCTGCCGGCTGAGCCGGCTTTGGCTAGATCACTGCGTGAAGTGTCCTTTTACCCGAAGTCCCATTATATGTAATACAGTTGGATGGGACTTCGCTCTGGGCATGGAAATTCTGTCGTTATTTGCGAATTGTCGCTATATTCGCAGTCATTATTAGCCAAGTTGACTGTACATGTACATCATGTACTTAACACAAAATAAAATGAACTCTCGCTGATCATCCGCTAACAAGGAACATGAACATGTCGCGGACATCTCTCGTTCAACCGATCAACTCACCCACGGCGGCCTCGTCCATAGGGGCTCACCGTCCTGGAGATTTCAGACTCATCCTACAGGAAAGAGGTGCACACAAGAGGGAAAACTCAGATGAGGCGTATTACCGGCCAAAACCGGCCACGATATTTACTTTCGAATTGTGCCATATACATGCTAACTACACGGAAGCATTTTCTTCTTGTTGACACGGGTTGTTCGTGATACACATCGCAAAACAGCAAATCAAAGGCGTACGCAGAACTCACCATGATCGGGCCCTGTTCATCTTCCTTGTACAGGTCGTGGGCCCATTCGTCAGTGCCGTCCCAGAGGGGGCGCCGGGTCTCCTCGTCCTTCGCTGCTTGTCTACACAACCAAAGCACATGGAGATGAGTAACAACAAACACCCAAGACGTGAGGCTATGCTACAGCCAACCTGGCAATATTCCCTTTGGATGGATACGTACACAGGCCTTCATACAAACGTGTCAGGCACGAATAAGTATAGACAAGAAACCCAGTCCAGCAGTCAGTCAGATCTTGGTAAGCATAATACAAACCTTGTGCGCACAGCACAGGGCTAGTTCTTATCTTGCACCACACACACACACACACACACACACACACACACACACACACACACACACACACACGTACACACACAGGAGTTAACTCTACTGGACAAACACGAAACGAGAGGGTCACTAACACCAACAGAACGCACACACATGGACATACGTACCTTGGTAGATCATTCAGATCCGCTCTGTCATCGTCAAGCGTGACGACGTCATCATCTTCATCACCAAAGCGATTGTCGTGCAGGAAGTAGTCTCCGGAGTTTGGCACCAGGAAAGGCTTCTCTTTGACAGTCTTCTGCCAGTCACGACTAGTCAGCCGGACATTATCCTCACTAGGGGTTGCCTGGAAAACAGCAAACAGAAAGAGAGTAGTTAGCTGAAGTAACAAACCAGGAGTCGCAGAAAACGCAGCAAAACAGGCCATTGGCACTAAGTAATCCGCTGCATGGCTACTACCCAGCGCTAACTTTCCCTTCTGGCTACACTGGCTGCAAGGGCGGCCTGATTTCAGGTGGATACGTCCCTTACTCACCGCAGAGGAGTCATCTTGCTCCATTCTGACACTACACACCACCTCGAGGAAACACGTGATAATCAGTCCTCGAGCTCAAAGGCACGGACACAATGTTGACAAAACAATCTACCCGGACATGTACTATAACAGTACGCAACAAGGCATAGCACATGCAGCCTTCTCTGAGCAACAGCACAAAGTTGACTTTCGAAGTATAATGGCCCAGTATTGGTGAAACAATGGCATAAGTACTGTTCTGGTCAGGGAAATCCAGGCGCGGCGAGTTCGTAGGCGCCAAGCATTGCAAGTTCGTAGGCGCCAAGCATTGCAAGTCAGCAAGCGCCAAGCATGTGCACCCCCTAACAAATTTCGATCTGGGCTCAGCATGCACGTTCTGATCATGAATGACATGCACCAGCCATCCTACACATACATTGAATGCGGCTGTGCACCCTCCTAAAACGGGGAGCAGCTACGACCCGGTGTAAGGTAGCTCAAACCATGTTGGCCATGATGATCTTCTGCTTTAAGGCTAAAGTGCTACCGTACAACTTGTATCCCACCA